CCCTCTGAATGTCGAATACAGTTCCAGGGATCGAATCATGTATCACAGAGAGAGATCTACGTTTTGGTTGAATGGTGTTTCGGTGCACTTTCTCGCGATACTTCACCCTTTACACTGGTTCCTTCTGCCATGTGGAATGGCCGAGCAGAACAAGGCTTGGCAAATAGCTTGTCACTCGGTGATTACATTACAAGACACGCAAAGCCAACTTTTCCCCTGTCAAGATATAGGAATTGATCCTTCTCATTTCACTACTATGCAAGGAAGAGCTTGGAGTTTTGCGTGAGTAGTCTTTGTGGTTACCACTAGCTAACCCAGCGAGGTCAGAATGGCTGGCAACATCAATACTATGACGCATACAGTGCCCAACACGAGTCACAGAGAGTCTTGATAATGAACGAACTAATATTGATACTTGATGCTTTCTGCAAGGGATGCTGCTATTCTGCTTGTTCGGTCTCAGTCTCTAAATTGGCCTTCAGGTATGTACCTCCACTGCGAGAAATATGCGGGAGTCGTGCCCTGACCGCCATTGCTTGTTGCATAAACTCCGACAATGACTCCTGCAAGAGAAGAGTCAGTCGCATCGAATGAAGCAAGTTTACAAGGGGCAAAGTTTCATCTTACCTGTGAATCCCCAGCTGACTGGAGCATTCGAAGCATATAGGATCGTCTTCATCTCCGAACGAGCGGTAGCAGGTCCGACAGAGAACGAGTAATGCGTCATGTTTGAAGCCTTTATCTCCAAGGAGAGCGTTTCACCAGCCCATTCGTGAGGTAAGGGAACAATGATTGGATCGGGTACAGCAATATAGGAGATTCCTCTAAATCGGACATGCGGTAATAGTTTCTCTGGATCCTCTGGCGCTGTCAAATTCGTCCCGGGGAAAGCTGTGTTACTGGCATTAGCTGGGAGCAGAACAACGCCTAGATCGAGATGATGGTTTTGCGTCAGGAAAGCTGTAACTCCGGCCTCCTCCTCGATAAGCTTTGGCGCGAAATCCAGATGCACACTATATGTGAACAGGGTGTCTTGTTGGCGACGACCAACAAAAGCTTGACCAGTCGGCCCAGCATAATTGCCATTCAGGGCTGTCAAGTTTAGTTTAGATGGCACAACCTTCAGGGTATTTGGGCGACAACGTGGGGAGACTGTGAACGTCCCTGGTACTGGATATCTCCAGTAGGTGAAATGTGCTGGCAACGTCGATCCTGGGGCGAAATCTATATCTTCACCCTCGGTGATGAACGGACTGTCGATTGTCAGTTAGCATATTCAGAGAGACAAAACAACAAGGAGACTCGCACCCAGAGCCTTTGATATCTTTTTGAGTTGCTGGCATAGCCCACCCACTCATCTTACCACTGACTGGAGTCCACACAGGGAATTTGCCCTCCTTCCATGTCACAGCTGTCATGACAGTCTCTCTGCCCATGGGATAATTTAAGTACTCGGGTCCAGATCGTGTTGACAGGGCAACTCCCCACCTGGTCATATTAGCTGTCCAATATGCTGCTCAAACCCAGGAATTTTCTTACCAGTTCCCACCTCTATCGTTGAACAAGTCCGCATGACCAAGTGTTTGAACTGACGAAGGTGAGAAACTGAGAAATTTGAGAAAGGAGTCTGACCTACAGTAATTTGTTGTGTTTGCATTTGTTAGGACCGGGTTTGCCGGATTCGCTTCGTAAGGGCCTCCAATGGTCTTGGACCGCGCCATCGTAACCATATGGTTGAGCCCGGTGCCTCCTTTGATCGAGATGTTTATTAGAGGATGAATATTATCAACAGTAGAGCCGTTGCCTACCTTCTGCGGCGAGAAGGTAATACCAATCGTCTTTGAGATAAACGTGTGGGCCTTCTGGTGCTTGACCACCGGTTCCATTCCAGATTACTTGCCATTCCCCAACTTCTCCCGTGTCGAGATTGGCTTCGGCCATTTCGATACCCGGGCTGTCTTTGTATTAGTTGAACTAGAGCTAACAAGCGTGGACTGTTCTCCGACTAGTCGTACCTCACTTGCCATGCATGAGCTCCGATAATGTATACTTTGCCGTCAGAATCCCAGAACGGTGAAGTATCGTAACCTGTAAATTTGAAGTGAACGGCATTCGACCATGATGTTGGTTCGTATGGGTCTTTTGCCTTGAAGATGATCTATAAGATATGTCAATTTCCGCAACACGTCGCTAGGTTCTGGAGAGGCCGACATTATCCCATCTTGAAAAGTCAGTCTGCGGTCGATCGTCATCAACCAGAGTCGTCACTAGCCAGAAAGTCTCATCGTGAAAACGTAGTGACGGTGCCCAAATGCCACTAAGTCATTGTTAGGATAGGGTTGAAGCGTAAGTTTTGTATCTATTGCTGTACCTTGTGGATCTATTTGTTTCGGCGAGCCGAGGAAGCTGCTCTTTTCGATTTAATACGTGACCTAGCCGGTGTAAGTGAAGTGTCGCCACTGACTTATTCAGACCTACCAATCAGCTTCCAATTCTGCAGGTCTTTACTTGCGTGAATCGGTATGCCAGGAAAAGCATTGAAACTCGACGAAGCACAAAAGAAGGTGTCATCCCATTCAGGAACAAAGATACAGCTAGGATCCGGATGGAACCCTGGCAATATGGGATTGTAGAAGGTAGAGTTGCCGTTGGATTCCTCGCCTCTAGCAAACCTGGCTAGGCTTGCAACAGCTAGGCCAGCAGCCGCAATATTCATCAACATCGTAGCCAGCAATTGAACACCAATGTGTAACGAAGCTCTTGAGCCTCAATCCAATGATGCAGGAACCCATTGTGGTTAATATTTGCTGCATCATTTCACTTGTTGTTTCCCCGGATATTCATCCCCGCACACGCTTGACTATGTTTCCGGGTAAATGGTAACTAAAGTGTACAGATTCTCAAATCGGCTGCAGCTCGACCGAACTTTAGGCATTTCCTAGCCTGTTAGACCCACTGATGATCGTTACATTGACTGGAAAGAGGGCAGGTTGGAGAAGCAGAGACATCAATAAAGAAACCATGCATGCTTGCGGCGTTCTCCAAATGCGGGGGACAAGAGTGCTCAAGATTTTGGCATTGCCGTGAGATACTCTTCGGAACTGGTCTTATTTACCGTACTCATTCTTAGAACAACCAGAATTTGAAAGCATTTGGAATGTGGAAAAGAGTCAGTTATCTACCAATATTCTCTGGTCTGGCAGTGTACTATACATCTAATTGAAGAGGCTTTGTAGGAGATTCAGGATATTAAATTGCAATGCTGGAGAGTCTTTGTTGAAGTAAAATTCTACGTCGTCCAATGCCATGGGTCAGGTGTTCAGACCTCACTTATCAGTAATTTGAAATAATAAATCATGGCTTTCCGATTCATGGTTCAGGAAGTTCTCTACCGAGTTTCATGCTCATTGATTCCGATGTCATCCACTCGCTCGTGAATAGAAAACCGTCATCTCGCCCGCCTGTTCTCTCGCTTCGTCGTCATCACTCGTAACTTAGAGCTTTGAGATGCGAAAAACAGCCAAGTTTCGAAGCCAATCGAGATATAACGTCTTGATATCTTTCAACGTTTCCGCCCTTTTTTTCCCACCCGTACAGCTAGATCATCGTTCGAAGACTCGACGGACAACACCTCAAGTACCTTCTGCAGGAACAAAAGACTGCGACAGTTTCGAGCTTGGCTAGGTCGCAAAATCGCACGTGTCAAGGCCACCAAAACTCACACAATCAAGGGAAATTGGATGTCTATGCGGGAGAATGTCCAACGAGATGACAATGTACAAAATTCACCCTACGACCGACAACCACACGGAGATCAGCCTCCATACCATACGCTAAGCATCATGAACGAGCCATCAGGGGCTTTTGCAGCGATCGGTACAGCTATTTGGTATTGCTGCCATTGTTGTACCCCCGGGAGAAATATCAGCTGCCACCGAGGTAGCTTCAATAATGGCTCTCCTCGCTGATGGCATTGCCGCCGTCCCGGTCAGCCAGACACGTGCTATGGCTTCTGCTTTATCTAGAGCCATAAGACTAGTAGTTGACGTCGTGTGCCACCACTCCGGACGTGCCTGGACATGACCGGCATCACTATCTTGGGGGCTGCGCTGGCGTTTTTGTGGCATTGAACAGCCACGCTGAGACTCTTCGCGCAGTGACTGTTGCGTCTGGAAATATTGTGAGGAACATTCTCCCTTGTGCCTGGGTCTGCATCAGCAAGCTTCTGTTCGCTACACCAACTTTATCGGCTACCAGAGTCGCTCTTGACCTTGATACCGCCATCGGCAAGGTTGCCGATGCTATTGCTAGCGCGCCAGATCAATACAAAGTAGTCGATGCGAAGAGCTATGCTTCATATGGCCGTTGCATTCCAGACGAAGTGACTCGAGGCATTGCCTTCAGTGAAGAATTACAAATGTCAGCCAATCTTTACAGCATAGACCTGTGGGGTGCTCCCGTACGAAGAGAAGGGTCAGCAGTGGTTCATTGAATGTTGAGATGTTACTTCCTCAAAATTGGCTCTACATAATCTCAGGTCAGGGGTTAGAGAAGGCAGACAAGGACGGAAGGATTAACATCAACTAACGTCACCAAGTTTAATCGGATGCATAAACACTTATTGACGCAAAGGATAAGTAATGGAGAAATATTTTGAGAAGAGCTGATACTGAAAGTATTGCGTTCTCATGCATAACACTGGGGAAGGTATATATATGTGCATGGGGATAATACTGAAAAGCTTAGAAAGGGCTTGGATATGCTCATCAGACTGAGATGATGGCTTGTGAAGTCGGCATAGGGACCCCTGATATTAATGAGCAAATGCTGATTGCTTTGTTTGCCCAACTTCTTTGGTAATATAAAGACGAGAGTGTAGACAGAATCAATACACATTGGCATCAGAGTTCCAATGAACGTTCGGATGTTGATCAATTTCTTCATTCATTAGGTCATTCGCCTAAAGTAAATGTTATATATACGCCAGTTTTTCCTCAGATTTATGTTGCCTTAACCTGTTCGGTCTTCGCTGCCGTCTCGGCCGCGAGCGCCTCTCGACGTGACTTACTTGAGGGGTCAAAATACGGCCTCTCGCCCAAGCTGACAGCCCGGGATCCTGTACGCTCTCCCAGGTTGCCTTCATGGATATAGTCTGGTGTTGCTGCGTGATAAACGCTGCGATTGTCCCAGATGGCCAAGTCATTGACATCCTTCCACTTGAGCCTAACCTGCAAGTCGTGATTCTCAACGATGAGCTGAACAAACCAGCTAAGGAAGTGTTTCGACTCTTCCTCTGAGAGGCCGTGGATACGTTGCACATGGTGGCCAACCGCGAAGATGCTCTTCCACCCGGTCACAGGATTTGTCCGGATGACAGGATGAATAGCCTCTAGAATCTCGCCAACATTTTCCGGCGCACCCCTCTCAGAAGTCCATATATCGAACTTATTCTTCTCTGCAGCCTGGTTGAATAGTGGCTGTGCATAGTATGCTGTCAATGAGTCAAGGAAGCGTTGCAAGGTCGGTGAAATCCGGTCGTAGAGTTCATAACCTGATGCCCACAGTGTGTCTGTAAAAATGCCTTGTTAGCTAGGAAAATTGACATGCATGTAAAGTTTTGCTTACCTCCACCTGTCTCGGGCAGCTGGGTCAGCCTCAAGAGGGCATAGTCACTCGGGATAGGCTCAAAAGTAATATCGGAGTGCCACTGGTTCTTGCTGCTCTGGCGACGATTGCCACCTCCAAAGCCCGAGAACCGATCAGCGTAGAGCTTCTTGGCCTGAACCGACGAGATGACACTGATCTCATCGTCCTTTCCGCCGTGATCTCTGCCGGCGTTGTTGATAGGGTGGATATGTAGTTTTGACGTAGCAGGCTTGCCTGATAGCTCTCCTAGACGTTGTACAAGTTCTTTTTGGAGGTCGTCATTGATGTTGTCTTGCTTTCGGAAGAAAACAACACCTCGTTCGGAGACTGTTCACAAAACACCTTTAGTAAGACCCCGCTCGACTTCTAGGGAAATTTAGATTTAGCACGTACTAGTTATGGCCAAATCACGAAGTAGCTCATCAGAGTTGGGAGCTCGCAGCCATTTCGCGAGATCCACGTTGACGAACTCGCGACCAATGACTGGAGTAACATCGAATGAAACAAATTGATCCAGAGCACCACTCAGCTTGAGAGGCTCCTTGTGGTCGGTTCGTAGCTCTGGCAGATTCTCATATTCATCGACCGCCTCGGTCTTGTAGCCATTGTTCGCTTTGGGTGCGCTATCTTTGACAGGAACGATCTTCTCCTGAATCTGCTCCGTCACCTGCTGAACTGTTTCTGTAGCTGAAGGTGCCATGACCGAATCTGTCTACGTTGCAAGTTTGTGGATTCCTCAAAAATGGCTGTATTTGCAGAATTGCTCTCCACTTGAAAGTCATTTGGTTCTCTAGGGCTACTATTTATGCTCGCCATACACTGACATGGCCGACAACCGGGTATGGAATCCCCTCGCCGATACACACCACGTTGTACGCGCGAATTGCGCAACATGTCGATGTCCAGCGTGATGGCGACAGTATAATTCGTGATTGGCCGGGCATGGATGTCGACTCTAAGGTTCTTCAGCGACAACCGCATCGCGCGATAAGAACAAGAAGATATGGCACCGCTGTTGGCCAATAGAAGAGTTTATTGTCTGAGAAAGGGGCTAGATTCAATGATGAAAGACAGCCTCGACTTGACGTTTATGAGGCTGTGTGCATGGCAGACATATATCGACTTGTCAAAAATACCTTCGAACGAGCCATGCCTCACCGTTATCGAATGCTCAGACCTACCTCAACTCGTCTTCGGTACTTGAAACATTACGGTTTAGGGGATCGCTGGTTGGTGAGAACCATCCCCGCATTCGCAACCCCCGCGACGATGGCGCTGATGCCATCTTGGCGGAAATCACGCCGTAGATTGCAGCATCGCCAAAGGTGGATAGATAGACAAAGATCGCGGCCGAGATCCGACAAAGCGGCTCGGCACCGATAATTTCAGCGTTAATGCCATTCTTCTTCTGCCACCGGTATGACTCGGTGCACATCACAGAAAGAGCTGGGCTCCCACAATGCAAAGCGCAGGACAGACGATACGTGCAGCACGTTCAACTATGGGATCTGTCAAGTCTTGAAAAATAAGTTGTATCATCAGGCAACTGCAGCGGAGATGGGTGTTCACTTGTGAGAACTCGCTAGAGTTCATGAGGATGACAAGATGAGGTTGGGTCCGGGGCCGAGAGTAATCCGCCGAGTCTTCGGCAGACTCATGTTGGTCTGTGCGCTCCGACTTCCGTGTTAATAGAGGTTACCACGGCATAATGGGTAAGTAACGCTGGCAAGTTAGATCACTTAGACAGGCGGCGCGTTGCATTGGCCCGGAATCATGGCAGAAGAGTTCCTGACATGATAAAAGCCGAACCTTGAAGTCTTAACACCGTAGAGCATCCCGCTCAAGACCTTCTTTGAACTGCCATTGAAGCCTTTCTTGAAAGACACGATGGCACGAGAAGACAAATTAGAACTAGTCATCTTAAAAGAAACAGTATCTGCAAAGGATCACGTTACGTTATGGGTTCTACAACAAAGAAATTATATTATGGGGACGGCGCTTTCAGAAACTTACCTAAACAACTAGAGATTGAGCATGGAAGAACTGGAAGTAGGACTTACCTCCTCTACTGTATATCAACCCCGAACGATTTTACGAAGACCCTTCGGGGACCAAGTGAACCCTGTGGTGTGCTTTTTGGTGCGACCGCCACTTCTGGGGTAACGACGGCGTCGGGTCTCCTCGTCCGCAAAACTCAGATTGCGGCCCATCTCGTCCACTTCGTCCTCACTCACCTCTCCCTCTTCTCTGTCCTGAGCAGCGGCAAGAAGAGAGCCAGCGGAAGGAATGGCTGTTTCAAACGCCGCGAACCGCTCATAAGCGATCTTGGCGAGCAACATTTGTAACTTTGTTAGAGACACATCGTCGAGTTGGCCTTCCATGGTCGCATAGTTGTGGTAAGAGTGCGTTCGTTGGTCAATGAGATGGATACTTGCCCTGTCTGAGAGGAAGTTTCCCGTGAACTGCTCGAACCTGCAAGCATAAAGCCAGCCGTGCTCTGTCTCTGGAGGGCTTGGAAACTCATCAGCCAAGTCTCGAATAGAGACATGCTCATTTTTGTACCTCTTGTACTCTAGACCCCTTCCGTTGTGCGTATAGATTGGCAATGTTGCGACGGATGTGCCGTGTGTGGCGATGACAATTTGTTTCCGATATTTGCTCAACACCACACCGTAAGGAGTCGCGACTCGAGCAGGGTCCAAGGCGTCGACTTCCATCTCCTGATTGGCAGACACGTGGTCTGGGGCGCTGAAAATGCAGCCGAGGCTGTACTGCTCCCTAGAATGGATTCTGTCAGTAGATCGGAGCTGGGCGACTGCGGTTCCTCGACGTTCTGGGCCTTCACCCACCTGTGAGAGAATGTTCTGCTCCTTAAGTTGTCGATTCCTCTCTGCTATCCTTGCAGGGAGCGGTTTTGGAGGAGGAAGGGGTCTTTGAGGTCTTGGTGGGGCGTCAAATCGCACTCTGTCTTCGTTTTGGCGGGCTTGGAGCCGATCAGAGTACTGATCAGTGCTCTTGGCTACACGAGAGTTTACCTGTGATCTTGCGGAAAGCACAGAGGAGACGATAGTTGCTGTGGAAGCTCTAGCGTTGAATTGAGGCCGTGAAAGAGAAACGTTATCTCTCTGAGGGTGCTGAGCTCTGTTCTGCCGACCCCCACTTCCGTACTCGGCTTCAGCTTCATAGATGATCCTCTCCAAGGACCCGGGAGGAAAGCGGCGCCTCTCATCCATTATTTCGGTAGGTTGGACTGTCGTTACTTCCTCTTCGGGAGTTATTCTTCTTATACAGCCAATGAGAACGACCAGCGTTGCTTGGTCAGAAACGAAAACACTCCCTGTGAGAAAGGTAGGTGTGGCAGACCAGCCCAGCATCGGTGCTCGTGGCTTCGACCCCTTCGAAAATATAATAAATCAGTAACAAAGACCTGCTCGGGTCGGTTTACAACTCCATTGAAGATGTTAGACGGAGACAAGGCGTCTTTGTAATAGGAACAATACCGGGATGGTCCGTTAACAAAGAATAGGGGTTGACCCTTGTTATGTACGTTTGATGAAAGCTTGCTGCACCAGACATCATGAATGAATCCAGACAATTTCATTCTTCATCCTGAGACAATGAACCCTCCCTACCTTTTTCCTATCTAGCTTATAAGTATTCGTACTCTACATCAACTTGAAGCGGAGGAAGAGAAAGTCACATCACGTCACATCGTCACGCTCGAACAACCCTCCTATGCCTCTGATATTTGTCATCGTGCTAACTTGGATTGTTCTCAAGCGAATTTTCACTTTTTGAGCAACCAAGATCACCAAGATGAGATGTCTTCTACCAGTCAAGCCAGGGTCAAGTCCCAAAGCCCACCGAAACAATCGAGCGGTGCGTTCTTGACTATCCCCAAGATTGATCACTCTCGGTTGGCGACACTGCCGCCAAGCAAGCCAGCACTTGATGCTGTCAATGGCGAAGATCAAGGAAGTACTGGCTGTAAGACAAAACTTGACAGTGACGAGATCGAACACGAGGAGGCTGACGACTGCAGCGCGAACAGCAGACCGAGAGCCTCGGAAGACACGCAGCGCTTCATGGATTCCATGAGAACGCTCGAGGATGGGTTTGACATCGGACTTGCATTTCCCAAGCGGAAGGGCAAGAAGGAAGAAGCCAGACCTGCACCGACGCCCAAGCCAAAGGAGTTCCTAGTTAAGAACGTCAAGGGGATGGGCTTTTTCGACCAGCTGGACGCACTCGAAGGCGGCTACTTCCCTCCCATGTAGATGAAGACGAAGTACCGGTACATAAGATGTTGTAGGATGAATAGATAGTCAGAGCTAGGCTCCACAAATATACCCCTGATCCCGAATTCAAATGGTTCCCCAAACTCTTCAGTATTGACTTGCTCATTTGCTCTCAGAGCCTTCCAAAGTGACTGTGACTTCCTTGTAGGTATCTCAAGGACACTATACGTAGAATTATGCTAAATATCCCCCGTGTTAACCTCGATGTACTTGAAACTGTGTAATTACTACCTAATTTCAAGACCTTCCCGCTGTTCCCGTTATTGCCGTTGTTACCGTTATGACCATCGCGAAAATTCTTGGCATTTGAGATATTTCATACGGTGGAGACCTTCCCGCACCTGCCGTTCTACCCGATATCACGACTCCGTGATGGCCTCCTGGCCCTTCCGGGCTCCACGGGGGTAGTGGGTCAAACCGACAATGGAGCTAATCCCGAGCGACCGAGTTCAGTTTCGGTGGTGTACATACCGTCGACTGCAGTGACAGGCTCCATCTCCCATTCCCGTGCCAATTCGACCTTCCGATCAACCAATGCAATCCCATATAATAATCTCTCAGATCTCCAATGCCGACTGTACCCCAGTTCCCATGACGAACTGCTGCGGCTGATACCGGCACAGACGTCTACACGTCACACGTGGAAGGTGCCGGTACCGGAGGCGCATAAACTGGAGCTGCTCTGGAGATCTCGTAGATTTTAGGTAAACTGGGTCATCTAACCTTAAAAATTGCAGTTCTTGTTTACATTAACTTCTGAATTGTAAACGCGAGGCCGAAGCTAGTCAGGGGGCGGCAAGTAGAGTCGGCAAACGAAAGAGAGGCTTAAAATATCTTGTTACATGTCTTTCTATTTTGTTTAAGATTATAGCTAACAAATTAAAGCCTTCTATTGGGTATAAATCTAATGCAAGTCTATTAGTACTAGCTCGAGGCGCCCAGATGTCCCAGATCCCCTGCTCTGCACAGCTGTTGCAAACAAGCACTCTTCCTTGCGCCGAGCACAGGTACTGCCTTCATTCTTGTGCGTATCTTCTCCTCCTGCCATTAACGTGACGCGACTGCTTGTAGAATGCAGTGTAGTCCTTGTCTGCTCCTTCGATCTGGGATACAATTCAAATCGGTAAAGGATGCAGAACTTTTCGTCCCCGGCCAGAACTCGTATCGTTGTCTGGCTTGGTGGCGCTGATTATTTGACAGCCACTTCAAGTGTGAATGTCTCTGTAGAGATTTGCAGCAGAGACTTTTGTAGATAGCACCCGTTCAGGGGTTGCTGACGTAGCTCCTCGCCCTCCTGAGGTCGTCATCACGGTCCTCGTCGTCGCGCACCAGCCCGCCGTCCGCGGCCGGCGCCTTGCCCTTCTCCTCGTCGCTCCCGCTGCTGCCCGCGCCGTTGAACTCGGCGTCGTCCTCGCCCGCGTAGGCGTACTTGCTGCGGGCGCGGATGCGGGCGCCGTAGATCCAGAACAGGAAGGGGATGGCGCAGCACGCGAGGCTGATGAAGCACAGCAGCATGCCGGCCCACTGGTAGCCGAGGCGGTTGTACATCTGGTTGGTGAAGAGCACGACGCCGGCGCCCCAGAAGGAGCGGATGCACGTCTTGGCCGCGAGCGCGGACGCCGCCTGGTGCTGGTACGAGTCGACCAGGTAGTTGTTGGCTGCGTTGTACAGGAAGATGAAGCCGAAGCCGACGGGCAGGCCGCCCAGCGCGGGGCCGACCCAGCTCAGGCGCGGGTACGAGGTCCAGGCGAAGATGGCGAGCCCGATGGGGATGAACCAGCAGCTGGCCATCATGGGGATCAGTCGGTACTCGGCGGGCGGCTTACCGTTGAAGCGGTGGACGATGTGCAGGTAGTGCTTGTTGACGAGCGGGGCGCACAACGCTGAGAGAATGACACCGACGGCGACGGGGATGAACATGAGACCTGTGGTGCCGGCACTGTATCCCTTGCCCTTCTGGTAAATGATAGGATAGGCGACGAAGAACATGTACAGTAGACCGTACAGGACTGACATGTACAAGCTGATCAAGAAGACGATCAACTCGCCAAAGAGTAGCTGGAATGGTCGGATCAAAAAGATGCCCAATCGCTCAGTCAATGGTCGCAAGTCGAGATCCTGCTCAGTAACATGGTCTTCGGAACCGGTTGACTTTCGAAGCTTCTTGGCTCGTCGAGCGAGAATGGTGGGTGCGTAGGTCTCTGGTACGGTGAAGGTGATCAGGAACCAGACGATACCAGAGAGAATGAGCTGGATCCAATACAGCCATCGCCAGCCAGCAGCGTCAGCCAGGAAACCACCGACCAGGGGACCTATCGCAGGGCCGATGAATGGTGCGGCGGAGAAGGCGGCCATCGGAACACCACGCTCCTCGTTCCTCCAAAGATCGGCCAGAGTACCACCTACGAGGGTCATTGGCGCAGAGAATGCAATGCCATCGATAGCACGGCAGACAATCAGAGTTCCGATATTGGGAGCGACGGCGCAAGGAATGATGAAGATGACAGCCAATAGCAGCGTGGTTCCGCTAGAGAAAGGGCACGAGTCAGCAACCAAGGACAATCTTGATTATGCCTGCGAAGACTTACTAGATGATTCGTCGACCAAAGATCTCGGATAGAGGTGCAAAAATCATGGGACCGACACCGAAACCCACGACAAAAACGGTGATGGGAAGCAGCGCCACCTCTTCACTGACGTTGAATTCTTCTGCCACGTCTTCCAGATCGGCAGTGATGACAGAGGACGCGAATGCGACGACGAAGCAGGTAATAGCCACGACCATGGTACAGTACCATTTGTACGCTTTTGACCAGTTCTTTGGATTCTGCGGATCGCCGGGGACGAAGGTTACCAGCTTGTAGCGATGCTCGCCATCGGGCTCGAGAGGGCCGACGATAGAACCGGTGGGCTCCTCAGTTGTGTACTCTGCCAGGTTGGCAGTAGCAGTGAGAGTTCGGTAGGGGAGGTTGATGTCTAGGTTTGGATCCCTAGTCTCCTTGACAGACTCCGTGGTGTGCGTGCGGTGCATGCTTCCAGAGAGGGAAGATCGCCTGCGTCCAATCGAACGGCTGTTGGTGTGTGTTCTGACGGGGGCGTAGGCAGGGGCATCGGCCGCCTCGCCGGCCTCAGTATCTGGTGAGGCCGGACGGGGGCTTTGATGTTCAGTTGGTATTCGATCCATTGTAGATGACATAGAGTTGTGCAGTGTAAGAAGTGACACTTTGCGAGAAATGGATAAACACAGGCACACACAGAAGGGGCAGTGAGAGAGTCAGGGGGCGGGAGTATATATACGGCCAGGCGACTGGGCCTCTGTCTGTCTATCTCTGTTTCTTTCTCTCCCTCGATGCTCCGAGTGTGGGTCCCGGTTCCGACGGCGATCCCAGGGATTGGGCACCGAGACAACGGGGGGCAGCAATCGAGTACTCGAGTACTCAAGTACATGGGATTCCGACTGCGGAACCCGGGTGTTTTCCCAATGAAGCAATCGGCAAGGGTCTTTGCCTCATCTGATTGGCCTGTCAAAGTCTGCGTTAGGTGCTCAAGCCTCAGTGGCTAAAATTCGGTGACATCTCGGCATTGGCCTGCAATTCGCAGGTACTGTACTTACACCTAGAGCGGGAGCCCTCCAGGGGACTCACCTTGCAGCACTGATAAAGCACGACACTGCCGTGTGATTTGCCAAGTAGCCCTGGAAAACTACCCAGTATACATGGTACATGTACAAGCATAAGAGGCGCTGATAACGAATCCTGCAAGTATCGTCACGAGGTTAACTAGTGTTGTGCCTTGTAAGGAGAACTGCAGCTCCAGCGGGATGCTACATAGCGACATGCAGCTCATGCCTACCAAGTTTTTCCTAATTACAAACTTCATGTCTGGGAACAGGGGGTCATAGTAATGTCACGGCTGCATCTTTCAAGCATACCAGCAGCACGGAGATTGTATGCACCAGCTGAAGAGTCTCCCCAGAACGCTCTAAGCGAAGTAATGATTGCCGCAGGTTGAGGCCATCTTCTAGGCTCTTCGCGAAGTCACCAGGTCAGAGGCAGGCCTGCAGGTCACCTCACAGCGAGGATCGATGACGCGCGCTGGTCTAGAAGTACATTCCTAGGTACTCTAGACAGATAGATAGGCAACCTTGGAAGCTTTCCATCCTTACCGAGTTGCCTCCGCTGTTCCCGTTCCCGGCGACCTTGATCCATGTGGGGCTTCAGGCCGTCAAAGTTCAAAAGCTTGTTCCCGGAGGCCAGAGGCGAGTCGGCCGGCCGCAATTGGGCAGAATGCCTCCAAAGGCCCAGATATTGATGGAGCCGGCCCTGAGGAGTGGGGCCCGCTGTTTGTGGATGACTGAAACCCCTACAGAAGGCCAGAGTACCTAAGTACCGCTATAAAGCAGCGCCCAAGCTCCCTTGCACCGACGACAATTCCTCGGCTTGCAGGTGGAATCTTTGCAAATTTGAAGCAATCCGGCCCTTCCACTAGTCATCTATATTCTTGCTGCGCTTGAATGAAAAGAAAAGCCGCACGGAGAGGCCTTGGAATGCTTCAAATAACAAAGCACTCCTTTCGTGGCCTTCACTTAAACGTGGGATTATTGGAGTTCAATCTCGTGGGGGCTGCCACCGTCAAATGTCGGCGGACTTCAGCGAGCCACCAGGGCCTGTCACAGCGGGGTTACTGCTATTGGCAGCATGCAAATAGAACAGCTGATGCGTGCCGGGCGCTAGAACCCGGGTGCTGCACCGCTAACCGCAAAGGCTAGGCCACCCTTGTAAATCTCGTGGTTCTGTCAGCCAGCGCGGGCAATCTTGCTGAGATTGCCTGCGAATGTCTAGATATCCTCTTCCTTACCTAAGGCACCACCAGGTATAATCAATTCAATATCCAGGATCGACAATTGGCACGCTAAGTCTTGATCACGATATGGCAATAGACACGCGAAACAGGGCTTGCCTTACCTAGAATCCAGGACCAAGCCCGTCGCCTCTTACTCTTCTCCTCAGGCAGTCTGTTGTTCTTCTTCGCCGTTCTCGCTCTCTTCTCCAATTCCATTTCGAAGCCGAAGAAGCTGTCCGAGTTAACGAGGCTCGGTAATGCCTTTCTTCTTGCTGGAAGATGCAACGACAAACGCTCGCCGTCTCCTGCTGGTAGCTCCAATGTCGACAAGCCCTGGATAATCACCTGAGAAGCATCGATATGATTTCTCTACATTACTATTCGGATTATCCAAGAGCACTGTCCTACCAGTGTAGAATAGCAATTTTTGGCTTTCTTTGATCTCAAACTGGTCTCCGACTGGTCTCCACCCCTATTCTTAGATGGACAAACAATGACAAGGTCTTTCATATATATGGCCGGTTTTGGGAAGCAAGTCCCGACCTGCCACTTCTTCTTCTGGACCGCTTACTTACTGTCATACACAATGGCTAATACTGGTTAGGTCAACGCAAACAGAAGCTCGAGTCTCGATCAAACGAGTCTAGAGTATGCATGGCAGCATGCTCGAACCTGTCAAGATGTCGCCCATAGCATGAATACTCGAAATCTAGTCCGTATGCCGTCTTTCAAAGAGCACAGAGTTCCGATTATGACCATTGGCCATCGTCCAGCTATCATAGGCCTCTTCATTTCCGCGCTTGTGGTTTCAATTGACGAGGTCAGCTTGCCACTCCATGAAACAAGCATCGGTCGGAACTTTCGCAAGTGCCTTCTCACAGCGCTTGGAGGAACACACTCCTCAATTTACCAGACGGACGACCCATACAAAACCTCAATCGGCATATTCATATTCGAGGACTGTATTTCCGGTGCCGAAAGATGTTAGAGTTTTCGTCATTGGCGAAAATGGTCAATTGATTGCGAGACTGGTTCATGCCATCTTCCGACACGGTTTTCTCGACACAGATAGTCGTGGTTAACTCCAGTCGATAATGGGCGTTTTCCGCTGGAATTGGCTGTCGAGGTGACGTATCGGGATCGCAGGAGATGGTCGATTTTATGTTCACATGTAGGATCGAGGTGCTTGATGACCTTTATTTGAATGTTGAGCGGCTACATGATGGCTGTTTGCTTGCTTAAGATCTGCAGGGCGCACTTGGGGTTGCGGGAGTCTAGACTCATGCAGGATGGTCTGGATCCTGGGCGGACCCTGATTCCCTGAAAAGCTGTGGCTGTGGCTTGCCTGGGGGATTGGTGGCGGGGAATAAGCAGAGAGGTGGCTAAGATGGCTCTCGAGGATGGGCAAGGCTGCTCTGGCGGATGTGGCTTGACTCCCTGGAACTGGCTGGCAGACACTTGACAGCGGAGGGATGGGCCGAAGAAGACCAATGAGAAGATCCCCCGCTCAGTCTTGCTGTCCGTGGGTTGGGAGGGGCCAGCCTTGCGGTGGTCTGATTTTGGATGAAAATGGGCTTTCCATTCGCGACACCTCTGCAAAGAGGCCCCATCAGATCCTCGTAGCGCCCCCTTGTGCCAGTGCCAGAAGGACACGGCCAAACGGGCAGGTCAGGCCATTTCAACATTTTCTCCCACGTCTCAACCCAATCGGTTTGCTTCACTTTCTGCCTGTGACTGAGAGAACCGCTGCACGACCGCTGAGAGCCGTTGCTGTCCTTTGAGCGCGCGAGCTTGAACCTTGCCTATTATCCGTCTGTCTACGTCCAAAGTGTTCCAGCACTCTACCGGTAGTCAGACCAGACCAGACCAGACCCGACCCGCCACAGACTGCTATACCACAACCGTCACCACACCTCTACGATTACGGGCGCATAAGCAAAAAGCACCTGCTTCTTCTTCTGCCGATACACAACTCCGTGTCGTGTCTTGTCTTGTCTTGTCCTTGTCTTGTCGAGGGGCGTTTGTGACAAGCCATCCCTCCCACATCCCTGCTGTCCCGCTACTCCTGCTCCTGCACTCAATCGCCGCCTGCTTCCGTCCTTCCTCTCCTCAAGCCTCATCCGCACGGAGGCGGCTTCCGCCTCGCCTACTTATCCTCTCTCCAGCACTTCCCAGAGCTGCATCGAGGTCTCGAAATGATTTGATAGCGATGGACCCGAACTTCCTACGACACATTGACTACTTCTCGGTTCCCAACAACCAGGTATGCGCTTCTCAATGGTCATATCATGACTCGCAATAAAACACCTTGCTCTGCTCTGCTTCTGACGCCTCGCAGACAAACAATCGCACAGGATCATCAACGACACCAGCGCAGACGTCCAACCTCTGGGACACCACAACTTTGAACCCGGATCCCCCGACAACCGAGTCGCCATCCACGGCACCTACCACTCTATCCCTAGATTCCTTTGCGCAGCCGTCTACCGCACCGAGCTCCCTTTCCTTCAACAAGAACTCCGCCCGACAGTCCTACAACGGCCTGGGTTCTAGAACAATTCTACCGACGAGGACACCGAAGCCCAGAGAGAACCGCGACCGGAAACGGACAAAGCTAAGCACTGATGCGACGCCGTTTGATAACGTAGACTACTGGATCCAGTTTGACGAGCAGCAAGAGGCCGGCCAGGACAACGAAATGTCTAATTCCAACAAGGGCAAGGAGAGGGCCGTGCAAGGGCAACGGTAAGGCCATTTTTTCCCTCTCTTCTTCCTAAAAGTAATGCTGGCTGGCCGGCGAAATCGACTGTCTTCCAGGCGGTCTGGTCTTTCGCTGGTGCACCGGACCCCTCGTTACCGCCCCTCGCGCCTGGTGGTGTGACTGACACATGCCTCAGGTCAACGAACACCACACAATCCATGGACTTTGCGGGAATATCTGGCCGGTCAATCAGGCCGGAGGATATGATTGACGATAGCGCATTGGACAATGCCCTGTCAGATGACGAAGATTTCAGCTCCATGAATCTCGCCGATCAGCTGTCCAAGATCGAGTCTGCGCCACCCTCCGAGGTGCCGCAGCGTGAGGGACTGTATTCGACGCCATTGAGCTGGGAGAAGCCCCAGCCCGGTCTGCGGATGGATTCTCTTATAGGTCTGGCAAGTCCATCTTTAAACGATGAAGAACAGCGACGACTTATTGCAATAGCAATGAACCCTGGCTCCTCCATGGGCGGACTGGGATCATCTAATCTGGGTGCGAGCTTTGGAAGCGGGTTTGGTCCAACACTAGGCTCGGGATTGAACTTTGGAATGGGTATGGGAATGGGCATGGGCAACATGCCCAATTTTACGAATATGGGACAAGTCACAAATGATGCTCCGCTGCTCAGACCCGAATCGTTGTCTAGGGGGGAGCCACCGGCCAAGATGCAGAGGACGAGCACGTCCGCAAGTGACAAGGGCAAGGAAACGATGAAACCGCCACCCATGGGAGACCGGACGGCACATAATGATATCGAGCGAAAGTATCGGACGAACTTGAAGGACAAGATTGCCGAATTACGAGACGCCGTACCGGCGTTAAGCACTATACCAGAAGGCGGCGTAGACGATGGCGACGACGACTCAAGTCAACCAACTCGTGGACCAAAAGTTAGCAAGGTGAGTAGCAATAGACTCAACTTAAAATACGTGTCAGAGGTCTAACACATGACAGGGTACCGTTTTAACGAAGGCCACGGAATATATCCACTACCTTGAGAAGAAGAACAAGGCTATCATGCAGCAACATAACGAGCTCTCGCGACGACTGCAGGCCTTTGAGCAGCTACTCAACGCCACAGCCCGACCGACATTCCAGATGCCAAACTACAGCACGACACTCTTCGACCCAAGAGGTTTCTGTTAAACAGGGCATACTGTCCTCGCGATCGGGGACAGAAGATTGAGATTCAGGTCATAGACTCTCCACTGTTTCTATTTATTCACCTACATCTGTACATATTCCACAACTACTATACTACATAGACTTTTGGCTCAGCGAGGGATTTTGAAACCAGTCGGTTGATTGTTTGCTTTTGAAGGGACGGGAAGGGGACACATTGGGGTGAAAAGCTGTTTGTCACAACACTATGGGGCATAAACATCATCTGTCGTCATTGGCGAAATGAGCTGGAACTGAAAGCATTATAACGTATCCCTGATAGTACGGCCATCGCCGGTCTTTATGACAATCACATACCCATGAAGGTCATGATCTTACTTTCTCTTTTTGGCCGTGAAACATGATGGAGTAAAAGGATTGACTAGCATATGAGGGACATCAAATCAAACAATTTGAGAATCACTTCCATAAGCTTCACACCAAGCTTTTTACTTGACGGCGTGAACAAGCAGCTCGGCAAGGCTGTCACAGCTTCGATAATACGACTGATACATTGTATACAGAATGGAGCTTATTTATACACTAAATATACATTCTACAAGTGTATCCTGTACAGCTTCAGCCCCGTAGAGCCTCAATATCTACAACCTCCTTGACAGCCTCGGTGGTCAGGACAAGAGGCGAGTCATCGTCCACACAGACGCTGTCCTCGATACGAATGCCCATGCCGCGGAAGTGCGCGGGGAACCGCTCGTCATCAGGAACATACACCCCCGGCTCGATGGTGACGCAGTGGCCCGCCTTGAGGGCGACGTGGCGCCCGTACCCGGGGCAGTCGTGCACGTCCAGCCCGATGTAGTGGCCGACGTGGTGCGGGAACAGCTCGTCGAGCGCGCCGGCGCGGCCCATGTCGAAGCCGAGGTCCCTGAGCTGGTCGCGCAGCGTGTTCTCCGTCACGCGGTGGATGCCGTCGAGCGTCATGCCGGCGCTCTCGCGACACAGCGCCACGCCCGTGCGCTGCACCCGCAGCACCGCCTCGTACAGGTCGCGCTGCGCGGCCGAGAACTTGCCGCTCACCGGCCACGTCCGCGTGATGTCGGCAATGTACGTGCCGTACTCGCCGCCCGCGTCGACCAGCACCAGTTGCGCCGGGTCGAGCGCCGCGTTGTTGTGCACGTAGTGGATCATGTTGGCGCGCGAGCCGCCCGCCACGACGGGCACGTACGCCGGCCCTTCGCACCCGTTCGCCGTGAAGGTGTAGTCCAGGAACGCCTGCAGGTCCTTCTCCGTGTCCCAGGGCCGGCGCATGGCCGCCGTGATGCACCGCCCGGAGATCTGGCCGGCGAGCCGCATGTTGGCGATCTCCGCCTTGGACTTGATCACTCGCAGGTTGTTCATGATGGGCTGCAGGGGCGCTGATGATAGGCTCCGGTTGACGCTGCGCACCATGTTTGCGAACTTGGTCGGCTGCCCTGCGCGGCTGAGCTCGACGTCCGTGTAGATCTTGCTTGCGCTGCGCAGGAGCGGCGGTAGGAGAGACTCGATCTTGTTGATGTCGCCGGTCTCGTCCGCGTTGAAGACGTCCTGCGCCGCCTGCAGCCCGCTCCAGGGCCCTGACCACTGCTCGGCTTTTGGATCCTTCGGCCGCACGAACAGATGAAACACATAGTCCCCGAGTTTGTCGCCTGTTCTCCTTATAACTGCCATTGAGTCGGGCTCATTGAAGCCAGTCAGATAGAGAAAGTTGGACTCCTGCCGATAGGGGTAGAAGACGGCCCCGGAGCGGTACTTCAGCTCGGCCGCAGCGAGAACGGCAACGCCATTGTCAGGCAGGCTTTGCGCCAGCTTGGCTCTGCGGTCCGCATACTCTTGTGCTGTAATACCAGGAGTTACTAGATAATAGTCAGCATAAACTCAATAAACGTCAACTAAAGACCGTTGAGCCAACCTTCTCCTGCCTTCAGAATGTGCGGGTGTGTCTCATGAACAGGCTGTCCAAATTGAAGCTCAGAAGCAGAAACACTTGCGTAACTTCTGGTCGAGCTCCTTAGATTCGAGTGGCCAACTCTGGTGGGCAACCTTGGCCTTACCCTCGGGGATCTGAGAGGGGTTGGTGCTGCGCTGAGTCGTTTGAGGCAATGTTGTAGAGGAGCGGCCTTAGACGCCATATTGAAAAGAATGAATGAGCTGATGTCCCATGCACATCTCGAGCTCGCTCGACGTCTGATTTGAAACGCCCCTCAACGAAGCCTAAAATCCGAGATTATTAGCTACTTCACTCATTATGGAAACCACGGATAAAATCTACCTATAAGGATGACGCTGCGACAACCTCAACAACCATATGAGCTCTGGAGGACGGTCGTGAAATTCGAGGTCCCTCGTCGGACAAGGGTGCTCTAAACACTATCACGTGGGGCATGGCTCCAGCGTGTTAAGCTCACTGGAGCTAGTGAGATACCCTAGACTCGCTGTCTGGCATGCCGTGATAACAAGTACTCTACTAGCGTAAAACAAATTACAATACATTTGGGCTACTGCGAAAGCTCATGGCTACCAGCCGAGATGGGTATTTATGTTGTAGAATGATGGGTTAGTAGTGTTAAGGCATCTCAGGTTGTCAACGCGAAGTATGAAGTTTATACGAGGTAATAATTATGGTAGTGATTATTCAAATACCTCACTGTCTCAACTGAGTAATGCAAATAATTGCATGGTAGTTCTCTACAAGGTGCTGCCTCACTTTCCCTCCAAAGGGCTGTTCGAAGTAACAGATCCGATGGTATGATTCACCCAAATAAGCTTCTAACTTAGGCCTCTGCACCGAGCTTTTCATTCTGAATCTCTTGTCCACGCGTCTCAGTCTCGGTCTTGTAGTCCTTGAAGTGTCTTGCAGGAATCTTCTTGGAAAACATCTCGTCAAGCTCCTCATACGACCGGTTCTTTGTCTCAGGCTGATACCACCAGATGAAAGCAAGGCAGGGGAAGCACAGTCCTCCATAGATGAAACCAAGCTTGCCACCGAGGTTGGCATGGTCGGGGTTGAAGATGTACGGCAGGACAAAGCTCCACATGACGCCGAGGGAGTTGGCAACAGCAAGACCTATGGCAATGGTCTTGACACGAAGTCGAGCAGTCGCAGTTTCTGTCAGTACCACGTACGCCGTCGCTCCAATGGTGACGTTGTAGAGGAAGCAGTAGACGAGAATCATGGCAACGCATCCCTTCAGCTCAGCGGGCGAGCCTCCAACTGCAAGACCTCCCATAATCCACAATACAACGGTCAAGATGCCAGTACCGTAGAAGGTCAGATCACGTCGCCCGACCTTGTCCACGAGGTACCAAGAGATGACGTTGCCCACCATCGACAGAACTTGCTGCACAATTTGCAATTTAAAGCTGGCCTACAACATTTGGAGTCAGTAAACTGTTTCATGAGGGTGATAGAAGAGTGTGAGAAGGCCAAATAGATATGTCTCAGGAGTAAATATACAGTTCTGGATTGTGTCTTTGGCCCCAGAACTTGATATATGACAATAATGGGTAAAAACAACACCAGAAATTGCGCAAAAACTTACATCTGTAGAATATCCTGCAAGCTGTGCATAATATGTACTGTATCCTGCAGCGAAGACGATTCCAGAGAATTGTTGAACCACTAGGGGCGTGATCGAGACGATGGTACGTCTGAAGTTGGACTTGCGGAAACACTCGATGTATGTGACGCCTTCCGTCTCCCGACGAACAGCCTCGAGAGTGAGCTTAATATTGGCAAGACGCTTGACATCTTCGCCGGTCTCTGCTCTGTAGCCGAGACGATGAAGCATGCGGAGAGCCCTCTCCTCCTTGCCTTTGTTGACAAGCCACCAGGGAGACCTGTTGAGATAATCATGGTAAGCGACACGCCGGGGATAACCACACCGTTGATTTACCAAGCCGGCTATTACTTACTCAGGCATGAAAAACACGAAAGCGGCTGAAATGGCAGCGAATCCGTATTGAGAGCAGAAGACGGAGCGATATGCCCAGCGGTTATCCACGTCACCTTCGCTGTTGACGATCAGGGCGACGGTGAAAGGTCCGACAGTGTAGGAAAGTGCGATCAAGCAGGTTGTCAGACCACGAAGAGCCAGCGGAACGATCTGGTAAGAAAAGAATGTCAGTATACTGAATAGAAAGAAGTAAAGACTTGGGGGAGGAGACTTCATACCTCGCCAATGTAAGTTCCGGATACCGCCTGTAGTGTGCCAACTGCAAAGCCGTTCAGGAATTTGCCGCCAAAGAAGACTTCGTTTGTGGTTGCGACCATCTCCATGGTAATTGCAGCAAATGATATTATGAGAGCGATGACAAGACTGTATCTTCGGCCAATCCAATCCGCAAACTGGGCCGAAGCGAGAGCTCCGATGACTTGTCTGAACACCGAACAAGTTAGCTCGATATTGTCTACGACTGTTTGATACGTGAAGAGCTGCAACTCACGATGCTACTGGCGCGCCACTGAAAGCAGACTGCCACTTCGCGTCCAAGACCCAGTTGCCAGCGTAATAAGAGCCAAAGTCTTTGCGGAATTGAGGGATTGCCAGAACATTGCCAGATGCTTGGTTCTCGAAACTAACCAGCAGGACTGTCCAAACAGCAAAGAGACACCAAGCAAAGGCCCGAGGGTTTTGCTTGATGGCCTGCCATTTGCCAACCTTGTGGTCCTCCTGGTTGGCCAGATGAGCTAGTCTTTCTTCCATGACGGCATCATCAGCAGTGGCCTGATTGACGTGATGACTCGCAGGATGCTCGACTTCGCTCTTGTGGGCCTCCATTGTGTCTGAGGTAATGGGCTGCCCTCTTATTATGTCGTGATGATATCTCAAGTCAACTGATCAAAAATGAAGAGGTGTGAATGATGGGGTAGATGAAGCTTGAGACCTGGGGTCCCGTCTGCAGATCCTGCGTCGGTATCTGAGAGTTTATATAACTAGATCGGCACAAAGGAGGTGTTCCAGACCCCAAAATGAATGTTGTCTCAGCTGGGGATGTGATGTGCGTCTGGGGTTGCGCCATGCCGGCAGGAACCGTGGGGATTTCTGGGGAGCGCTTCGAGGGGGCGGCCACGAAGTGCTTGAGATTTCCCAATCTGGGTCTACTAGTCGTCGCCATTGCGAGAAGAATCATGACCTCCGGCTGAACCGCGGGAAAACTACCAATAGCTCGGTACTTCGCCCTGGGGTCTCCACGTTGGTCGTCCCATCTTCGCGGTATTTTCTTGGGGTACCTTGCCCGAGGATACCCACTCCTGATTGGTCAATCTGTGGTCACCCGTCCCTTTCCGGCGATGTGGCTTGTGAGGAGTAACACCACGCAAGCCCGAAAGACTTGCGCTTGCGATTTCCCATCCTAGAAACTGGCGGTTAGCTAGTGTAAACGCTTTGAGGCTGTCTCCAGGCCACGAGAACATGTTGTGGATTCACGAGCCGCTTTCAGACCTCGGAAGGGGTTATTGAGAAGGAGGACCCCGGCAGACTGACCAAATTGGAGTATATACGACATTTGGAGAAGAATCTCTTCAGGACATCCTGCGACCGCTGCCCGCTACTGCAATCATAGCAAGGTCAACGCCAAAATGTCACCCAGTCAAACAACACTTCAGAATTTCCCTTCAAAGCCTCGGGTGTTCATCATATCGGACATCTCAAATGAACCCGACGATGCCGAGTCTCTGGTTCGGTACCTGCTGTATTCCAATCAATTTCAGACTGAAGGCCTTGTAGCCTGCACATCAACATGGATGAAGACCAAGGTCTGTCCTCAGGACATGGAGAAGATCATTGATGCCTATGCTGGCGCAGTCGACAACCTGAACAAGCATGCTCACCCGGACTCACAATATGCATCAGCTCAAACACTGAAGGGTCTCATTCGATCAGGTCCACCGGTACGTCGCTTTCAGAAGGCACACTACTGTAAAATATCTTCAAAAACTCACACATAAATGCAGGTCTATGGCTTCGCTGCCGTTGGAGATGATATACCCCTGAGCGAGGGCGGCAAACTCCTTCTTGAGCGGATAGAAGCCCCCTCCACTCAACCCTTATGGCTTCTCTGCTGGGGTGGAACGAATGTTCTTGCACAAGTTCTTCTCAAGATCCGGAACACTTACTCACCGAGCGACGCGGCAGCATTACGGGCTAAGCTGCGAGTGTACACCATCTCAGACCAAGACGACACAGCTATCTGGATCAGGACACAATTTCCTGATATCTTCTACATTTCATCGATTCACGGTTGGAACAATTATGGTATGGCCGCATGGACTGGCATATCTGGCGATCAATTCTACCAATTCGACCAGGGCGGTCCGGATTTTTCGAAAATGACCAAGGAATGGATCAAGGAGAATATCCAAATCGGGCCCCTTGGCTCGGCATACCCAGACTATATGTTTATTCCAGAGGGTGACACGCCAACCTTCCTCTACCTAATACAGAACGGCTTAGGTGTCCCAGAGCAGCCAGACGCTGGTTCCTGGGGTGGACGATATAAGCTCACGGACATCAGCGGCGCCGGCCAGAAGTCGGGACACTATTCTGATGCCGTAGACCATGTTGTCGGCAAGGATGGAAAGACGTACGTTTCAAACCAGGCTACTATCTGGCGTTGGAGGGATGCTTTTCAGAACGACTTTGCTGCACGCATCCAATGGACCCTTACTCCGGATCTCGCCAAGGTAAACCACCATCCGATCATCTCCATTGATGGGAATGTTGGTACAGAGCCAGTAGCCGTTCGGGCAGAGGCCGGCTCCGTCATCACCTTTGACGCCAGCGAGACGTACGACCCGGACCAAGGTGACAAGTTGACATTTAAGTGGTGGCATTATCGTGAGCCCAGTGCTACTCAGTGGGCAGTTCAATTCGAAGTGGCGCCTCTAGAGATCGAGAACCTAGATACTGAAGGTAGAAAGGTGCAGGTGAAGATTCCCGGGCCAGACAAATGCTGCGTGGAGCTCATCAGTAGGAAAGCTGTGGAGGAGGGTCAGGTGCTACATTTGATTCTCGAGGTCACAGATAATGGCACACCTTCTCTCACGAGTTACCGGAGGATCATGATACAGACCACAAATAAAGATTTGCGTGGAGGAGGCCAAGGGGCCGATGCAATTGGGGACTTGCTGAAGACCTGATGGGCAAGTACATACATACCATGAACCGACTTCTTATTAGCCAGAATGCTGGAACATTGCACATTATCAATAGCTGTATATATCATCTACCCGCGATCTAAATGACATTGCATGATTTCATTGTCCCTGTCATGACAAGGGCTATAATTTGCCTAGTTTTGTCAGGTTCTTCATGCCATTGTTCATAACGCGAAATACAGTGAAATCATGACATCTCACTAACACCGATAGGGAGCCAGTCTTTGCAGTTATGAGCCGCAAATAGACTCATAATACTAAGCTTTGGCCCAAGAATGGTACCTAGGATTGAGCCAGAGCACTCGCTGTGCAAGTGAGCCATCTAATCCTAACACGCCTGTTGATCTAGAGCTTTCAAATACCAGGTAATAGAAAATGTACCGCTACACTACACGTCAGCACATAATAGAATTCGAAAGAAAGAAAAACTTTCTTCATGAACAAATTCGATCGCAATCAGTCTTAGATAGATGACTCTGCATTAGTCAGATATTTGTGAATTCGGCAGAATTGTTCAAGGTGAACGAAAAGCATGCGTGCAATGGATCTGGCTACGCTTAGAGCTCCCGAAGTACGACTGCTCTAAGTGTGAGATACCGGAATCGCCTGAAGAGGAAAAGGAACACACATATCGTTTCACAAGTGCTATTTGGGAGCTGTTCGTCATTTTATCAACATGGAAGAAAGCCGAGGTCAACCACAGTGGCGTAAGACTGGAGCTCAGTGTGCATTCCCCAAGCGATGCCAACCACTTCTGCAAAGAGCACAGAAATCGAATCAATGACACGGCATGGGGAAGAGCCTTAGTCCGTCCGCATCCTAAATCGGGTTCTTATGGATGCCACCGGGAAGGGCGCTGGAATAACATTCTACATCTACATCCCGACGATGGTAACGTGATGAGGCTGTTCGGCCGTCCGAGGGGATTGGGCTTTGACTAACGTATGCGTGCTGCGCGCAAGACAAACGGTATCCTACCGGACGTGGAGGTCATCGACTCGTTGATGATTCGCCGGAAATTCTATCGGCACTTTTCAGTGCCCAAAACTCTCCAGCCCATCTACGAGAGTCTCACTCATCTTCGTGAGTTCAGGTACGAGCCGTGGCGAGGGCTTAACACGCGATATACCGATGGGCGGGTTATAAGAGATACGCAACATCAACTTCTCATATCCGAGGTGATCTCATCCTGTACAAGCTTGAGGAGTGTTAGTAAGTTTGAGGACTTTTGACTACGAACTACATTGGAAAATAGAGCAGAAAGATCGCCCGAGCCTAGGTCAAGATCTTGCAAAGTCAAGCCCAACTTTGGGAGTCGCTACATGTCGGACTCATTATTGAGGCAGCAGACTTCTTCTCTTCTTTTTGGGAGGCACAGGATCACGCGCGGGCAGAAGAGTTCGAGTGGAAGAATCTGAAGTATCTATCCCTGGCCTCTAAGTTTCTCCGGCCGTTGCATTACGATCGTTTGCTTCAAGCCGCAGCGATCGCAGCGAGAAGAATGCCTCAGCTGGAGGGGATGGAGCTATGGGATTCGAATCATCACACTTCATGCATTTTCCGATATAGACTTGAGGATAATATACCGAAGATCCAACTGTTGAGTACTTGGGATGGAGAAATCAGTGGCCAAGCCATGGATCACTGGCGAGAGGCAGCAGGCAAACACAGACCGGAGCTTCAGGCCGAGTTAGGTCACCTTGAGTCTCACAAGCTGAATAGTCATAGGCGCATCCTCCAGTTGCTGGATTTCAGGGAGCAGATTGTAACTGATGCATCTTATCGACAAACACTATTGGGTACGTGGCCAGCTGTCTAGAGAAATTGCGAAGCTTGGGGAGGGTTGAGGGTATAGTCATCACGGGCGACGTATTCTAACTCGTGTCGGGAGTGCTTCTCTAGAGCTGCCTGCAAACAAGGAGGCATTCACACAGCGATGATTTTGTGGCGTTGAACAGGACAATCTGATGCGTTTGTCCCAATTCTATAATTATATATCCAGGAGGCCAGGCATTGTCAGTAGAGTGCAGAGAAGAGGGTCTGAAGTAGTACTGCTTTTCGTTTCTTCAAATGTCCCAATAGTCGTCTACTAATATAGCCAAATCTTGGCTTGAGTTCCTGAGGTAATTGTTTGGAGCTGGTAGTGCTTGGAGGAGGCGGGCGAGGCGTCATTTGCAATAATTACAGCATCCACATGAAATTCCTGGAGATCGTGTTGAAATTTGATGTTGTGCTGCCGGAAGCCGATCTAGGCCAAGAATTTGCGGGAGGAGGAGCCGCTGGTTGCTGTGGCACGTAGGCGAGGCAGAGAAGGTCGCGCCGGCGGTGGAGGCGCTGGACCGTGCACTCCGTTTGTTGTCGGACGGATTGGGTAAGTTGACTCGGTGGCAGGCTCCACTCGACAGACCACAGCGCGCGACCTCGCCTTCCATTGCTCAGCAGCACAGCAACAGAGCAACGCCTGCAGTCTGGTCTAGGGAAGCTACTCTACCTGGCCCTTTCCCACTCCAATTTTCTGCTACACCACCACAACCACCACTCATATGCTTCTTCTTCTTCTTCAAACTGACCAGAGGAGAGAGAGGACCTGAGTTGAGCCCGTGTCAATTGGTCTTTTGCAGTCGTCTTTCCTGTCTTCTCAGAGGCCAATTCACGCTCTCCCTCACCCAATACACGCTTGCACGTCGAGGCACCCGTGTCTGGAGAGCTCCCTTGTCGCGTGTGGCACGCACGACCTTCCTCCCCAGCCAGCTTCACTCAGCCAACCCCTCCTCTTCTCGACACAACACCCGCCTCCAACCAAGGAATAACACGTCCTTGCGGAGCTGCCAGCGGCACGTTTCCATTACCATCATCCACCCATAGCATGCTCATTTAAGGAAACATTTATATGGCAACTGTATCTCTATCACCCTCTCCCATCCCCTCCTCTATCATGTCGACAAGACGAGTGCCCCTCTCAGCCAACCCCAATGTAGCAAACTCTCCAGTACGGGGCATTGCAGCTCTCACTGCTGCTGCCTCCAAGCAGAAACGATCCTATGCCAACATTCAAAGAGAGGAGGCCTATGGCCAGGCCCCACCAGCCAAGAAGCAGATGCTGGATAATGGCAGCCAACGCGCCCTCCGGTCACCGACGAAACAGCCCTCCCGAATAGCTGTTGCACGTGGTACAACACGATCATATGCAGCTGAGAATGTTCAACAGCATGTTGGTCAGAAGCCCTCTGAGGAAGAGGTGGACCAGGTGCGGAAGTGGCAGAACCACCAACGCTCTCGTTTCCCAAAGTTTGTCTTTTACTTTGAGAGCATTCCCGATGATCAACGGGTAAAGCTTGCAAAGCAGCTAGCCCAGCTCGGAGCTGTAAGTCTTGGAAGTATTGCTTCGTCACGAGGATTGTGCTTACTCGGTGTAGCGAGAGGAAAAGTTCTTCTCCATCAATATCACCCATGTTGTGACGACCCGTCCAATTCCTCCAGAGAAGACCAGCAGCCGGCAAGAGGAAATTCACGAGGAGGCTCATGATGTTCAGCCTCAACATGAGGAGCCCCAGACGATCAACCCATCACTGTTGAGTCGAACCGCCGATGTTGGCCATGTATCCGTGAAGCGAAAGCTTTTCGAGAATGCTTCGACTCGAAGAATGCCCGTCCAAGCTCAAGATGTTATCATCCGCCAGCCCAAGAATACACGAAATACCGACGTTTTGGTTCGTGCCCGTGAGATGGACAAGAAAATCTGGTCGTTGGACAAGCTTCAGCGAATGCTCAATATGTTGGTAGAGCCGGATCCGTACCGGAGTGCTACTCTGGGCTACGGCTCTCGCAATGGCAGAGCTAACGAGGAGGCAAACTTGCTCCAACTGCTTCAGAAGGAGCGTGTCAATGGTCCCTCGGACAGAGATCCAACGGTAGCAGCAAACGAGCTCAACTACTTCAAGGGCCCATATATCTACATATACGATATCGAAGAGAAGCAGAAGCCCATAATGGTCAGGGAGTATTCCAAGGTTGCCGATAAGAAGGATGGCGAGTGGCCACAATTCCGTGCCTCATCAAATGGACGTTGCCCTTTCGTCGAGGAGTATGACCTTCCCGAGAAGGAGACCAAGCGTCAGCAGGTACGAGAGAAGGAGCGCGTTGCTAAGCCTGCCGTGGAACCGGCGGCCAAGTTTCAGCCTCCTGAGGTCCCTCCGCCTAAGCCTGTCACTGGTAAACGTTCTCTCACTGAGATGGAGGATGGTCATAACCGGAGAGCCGCGTCGACTGTTAGGCCGACTGAGATCTTTGACCCTGCCAAGGCCACAAAGGCTCCTTCTGTTGACTTCCAGCCCCAGAATGCCTTCACGAGCCGCGCTAAAACAGGTCGTTTCTTTGCTGGTGAGCCAGTCGCATCTGGTGTTCAGCCATCAAACATCACCTCCGCCATCCGGTCTCAGATGATCTCGTCTACAACCGGCGCTCTTGGAGCTAAGGCTGGTACGAGCAAGGAGATTCACGGCCTGCAACGAAAGGTCTTGCAGAAGAGCGCCCCGACTTCTCAGGACCTCAGCTCTCGCCGCTTGGCGGAGATGAGCATCGACAACAGCACATATACTAGGTCAACTAGTCTGGGACGAGCCGTGTCCCGAAAGCTTGACACAGTTGAGGAGGATGAAGCCCGCAAGGCTGAGAAGCATAAGAGAACGATGAGTGTGCCGGTATCAGCCCCGGTTGTGAGGCAGAAGAAGCGTGATCCGAAGCCTGGATACTGCGAGAACTGTCAGGACAAATTTGATGACTTTGACGATGTAAGTTGGCCTCCTTTTGGCTCGTACGGCCTGTTGCTAACTGTGTACACAGCATATTCTTTCTCGAAAACACCGCAGATTCGCGGATAATGATGTCAACTGGACTCAGCTAGATTCTCTACTGTCCCAGCTGAAGCGCCTCCCTAAATACGCGCATGACGATGACGAAGCCGATGAGTGGTAAGACCATCTCTCACTGGCCTTAATGATGTCTTTTTTCGATTGGGAGTACCTCCTAGACTACCATCGTCCTCGTATTGTCGCATACGAGCACGGCATTCAAGCCTTGATGTTGATGCTGGCTTTTGGCTTGATTTTCGCTCGTTTTGCCTTTCCCGTTTGATAGCATTGCACCTCGTGGCTTAACTTCATCACCCGCTATTCTCTGAAGCCTCAATGCATGTTCATCGTTACATTTCCCATCCTCTTTTACCTTTCCATCTTCTGCAGGCTGCAACTTCTACTCGCTCTCATTTTCGACGTTATTTGGAGGGTGCTCCACGATACCACGACTAGAAACAACGCACTTATCAAGGGACTGCTTTCTCTCTTCCCGCTTATATTTTCCGAGACCAGCATAGCATGCGTGTGGGCATACCGGCAAGGCATAGGGTTCAATATTTGGAATGCTTCCAGGTCATTCGATGGTGTTTCTTGGCCTGACTTCTGTCATATACCAACCAAAAGTCCATTGAGATAATTAGGCGGGCGACACACAATCTGGGGATGCCAAGGATGGGGTGAACAGCATGATTGGATCGTTCGCCTAATCTCTTTCTAGGTGTTCTGCAGAGTGTGAATGATGAGTGCTCCGCAACATGGATGAGAGCTCTTGTATATCATACATTAAACGTGTATACTTGTGTTAGGAATCATGAACATCAAACAAAGCAGTCTCGTATCTTCAAGCAAGTGAAATGTGTGTGGTCAAGTTAAGGCTATAATGCGCCGAGATAACGTGGGGTAACATTTGGCAGCCAGTAACGTAGACCCTGCCGTTCGTTTGGTCAATATAACGGGAGCTACCGAGCGTTTTACAGGGTCTTGCTGGCACGTCATTAGACATTCAACCACAGGCATCCCTCAGCCTTGCGCATCGCGTTGCTCTATCTCCCCTCTTCACCCTACACACTGGTGCTGAAGTGGGATATCAGTGGTCTTGCTCGTCGAACTCATCGCATGACCACGACTTCTCAACATGTCCTCCGCCTCAGCGTCGCCAGACCCTGCGCAGATGCGTGCGGCAGGCGGCAGCAACAGCTCCCCTCCCGCGTCGCCGATCCCCGACCGGCCTTCGTCGCCCGACCTGCCCCTGACGATGACAGCGTCCATGGTGCTTACGACACTGCCGCGCGACGCCACGGCTGCACTGGCTGCTGCAGGCGGCTTCGCGAGCGACAAGATCGTGGTGCGCTTCAAACCGGTCGGCTCGGCGCCGGCGGTGCGCCGCGAGTTGTGCAAGATAAGCAGCGACCAGAAGTTCGAAACGGTCGTCGCGTACCTGCGGCGTGTGCTACGCGTCAAGTGCACTGAGAGTGTCTTTCTGTACGTGAATAGCACGTTTGCGCCGGCGCTGGACGAGGTGGTGGGGAATTTGCATCGGGTGAGTGCATCGAGGACTTAGATGGAGGAACATTGGCTGAACATGTGTGCGCAGTGCTTCAAAGACTCGAACGACCAGCTGAACGTTGCTTACTCGATGACTCCAGCTTTTGGATGAAGACATAGACACGACGACATGATATGATCTGCAAGACTAAAAGGATGGCCATATGGTATTCAAGAATATGTCTAAAGGATGCACTATCCTATCTGGACCGCTCGCTCAACGCCAACCCATGCAATGCACCGGGAATACTCAAAATACATAACCCACTCTAGCTACCTTATCCGCGACTATGCTCGAAGTCCGCAAAGGCCTCCAGCTCCTCTTTCGGCATGGGATAGGTGTGCTCCGGGGCTGGGTATTGTCGACTCTTCACCTCATCCCGGTACGCTCCCAAGGCTTTGAAGCTCTCGGACCACACATCGCCGTACTTCTTGACAAACTTTGGCAGGAACCTTCCTGGCGGGAAGTTGCCAGTCATATCGATCTGCACCAGCACTTGGCCCGAGCAGCCGTTGCCGGCTCCGATGCCTATCGTGGGGATCGAAAGCTTCTCGGTAATGATGCTGGCAACCTCTGCCGGCACTGCCTCCAGCACGACGGCGAAGCAACCTGCTTCTTGAACGGCTAGTGCATCGTCGAGGACCTTGGAGGCACCTCTAGCGGTCTTTCCCTGTACTCTGAAGCCTCCAAGCGCGTTTTGGCGCTGGGGCGTGAGGCCGACATGGCCCAGGACAGGAATACCAGCAGAGGTGATTTTCTTAATCGTGGGCGCCATCTCCTTGCCGCCCTCGAGCTTGATGCCTTGCACGCGACCGTACTTAATGTACTTGATCGCAGTCTCTAGGGCCTGCTCAGGTGAGATCTCATATGAACCCATAGGTAGGTCACCAATCTAGACGACATGTTAGTGGAGAAACTCATGCGCGGTCAGCAGGTCCGACGTACTGTGAAGGCAGCCTTGGTGGCTCTTGCTACAGACCGGCAGTGCAGCAGCATCTCCTCTACTGTGACCTCACTCGTGTCTTCCATGCCCAGGGCAACCATGGCCAGGCTGTCGCCGACGAGGACCATGTCCATGCCGGCGGCGTCGGCGACATATGCCGAGGGGAAGTCATGCGCGGTGATGACGGTGATGGGCTCACCCTTCTTGTGCATGGAGCGCAATGTGCCCAGGGTGACTTTCTTCCTCGGATTGACAGACGGCGTGCCCATGGGTGAGTGGGAGCTGTGCCTGGTCTGGCATAGCGACAGCAGAGGCCGGGCGGCAGTGATGGCGGATGGTCGTGTGCCTCGGGCCGCAGAGGCACACGACCGAATAAGTGAGGTATAAGTCCGCTGCATAGTGGAGTTCAAGTATGTATGTATATATGTGCTTGTCGCAATGCGCGACGAGAGCGCAAAAAGGAAAATGCAAATTACAAATCGCTATGCTGATGCATTCAATTGTCACTACGAGTGAGAGAAGAGGGAAAAAGAAGGAGTGAAATTGCGCTTTGACATTAGGGCGAAAACTCGACTTTTATCTAAGGAGGCCATGATGCTATTTACCGTGTAGAAATCGGTCTGTCTTGGTGGAGCGGCTGGTTGGTTGTGGTACCAGGCAGTGGCCGAGGATGCAGAAAAATAAGCGTCCTTTCAGGCCGGTTGCAGGACCCCTGTCCCCTCGGCCGTTGGGGAATCTACCAGGAGGGTCATGTGATCTGGAAACCGTATCCGGAGCTGTGTCTTAGTCATCAACTCAATATCCTCCTCTGGATCTCGAGTCTGGACTCTGCAGTCAGCCTCCCATTCATTAATCCTCCTGGATCTGGTCCTACCCTCCATCGTGGAAGAGCACTCAGCACCTGGCTTGCCAATGGCACTCTACGATCTCGGTTCATATGCATTCGTTAGCTAGATGAGGACGGGTGATAAAGGATTGGATAACTAATCCATTTATTCCAAGATATTCCATGCTGGAGAAAGCAATATCTATGAGCTGAGTTCCCACGCTCCGCTTACCCAGCCGTTCACTTTGGATTCATGTACGGCTAATATTCTTGATATCACTGTTAATTCCATGCACCGACGGCCTTTGAAATTAAGGAAGCTCGAGTGAGTGCTCTCTACCTAAGCATGCGCACGCTACAAGATGGCAGTGTTATAGGGGAAGTCGATGCTTTCGAAGATCCTCACAAGTGTTGCTAGGTCGATCGAGCTTCGCTAAATCCATCAAGGGAATGTTTACCGGAACAAGTGTTTCAGCGAGTAACTTGAGCTCGATATCTCTTGACGTTCCTCGTCGAGGAGCTTCAGGTCTCTGGTTTGAAATCATAGTATATCATCCCAGCTGATGCCTATACGTCCAGGGGTTTTGATCCCGGGGCGGCCCACAACTTCGATTACTCAGTCAGTTGTTTCGTGCCCAGCCAAGATACCCTTCGCAGCAGATACTGCATTGTAGGTTGCATTGATTTCAGCTCGAGAGGGTGGCTTGCCCAAAGCTATCTCGGTGCGAATCCATCTCGCTATCTCATTCTCAATTTTCGCCTGGCCATGCGTCTCTTTCGATCTTCCCGCGGTTCATCGCACAAACCGTCTCTGAATTCGAGCGGTCTGCTGTAGAGAATGTGGGTAAACCGGTAGGCCCAGGAGGCCTTGACATCCTGATCTGGAGTCCTCATTGGTGGCTCAGGCTTGTTCGCATTGCCTGGGTTGAGGCTGTTTGCGGTGGTCCACGAGCTGTTTGAGCCAAGTCGAGATCAGAGATAGGAGCGCCATTTGGGTCGAGACTCGGATTTATTATCACAGGAAATTGCAGTCAGATACCGTGAGCGACTCATTGGGCGCCCGATAGAGTGTAATGTTGGTTGTGTTAAGTGAAGCCTCGTGTTTGCTCTTTGGCTAGGACAGCCATTTATAGAGACGTGTTCATGTCATTTCGGTTCTTTCTGAACCTGCGAGAAGCCAATTTGCACTCATGAATATTCTGGATCTAGTTTCTTCGAGAGCGTTATGCCTATTATGCCTGTTATGCCTGCTTTCAGACCTTTCTGTGTGGCTTAACTTTGGGGGCTATCTAGGCTTGGAGAAAAGCCAGTCTAGTATGGCCTATGTCGTAGGATCTTGGATTAGCACCTGTTGGGACGATTGCAACTTTTTGCAATACAAGAATAGATATACTACTGATCTGAAGAGCCACTAGGTTGGGAAATGAAGAGAACAAGATGAGCAAACCTGAACCGCTGTCCGGGCTGACGGTGTCAGGAATCAGAGCACGAGACTCCCGAACCAGCCGGCCCCGCCACTGTCCAGGTCTCGTGAGCACCTGTGTCATAGGCACCGTCTAGCGCTATGACTCCCAATAACAGCTGTTCTCGACTGTTAACCCTACCTGAGGTAAGACGTGGCTTTCTGTTTCATGTGTAAGTCTTTCCAACTCACTGGTAGGCAAACATGTTTCCATACGAAACTTGGATAGAGTCTCTTATGAAACGACTCATACGTATCTCTACTGTAGACAACCTGTTCTGTGCGTGACTCGCTCCTGGCGTGCGGGTTTGGTCACGTCAGGGAAGCTTTGGTCATTAAATTCAGTGGAGTTTAGCGCTGGCGATTCGTTATCGGACCCCGCATACTCGCTGGGCCAGTGGCTTATCAGCACCATCCAGCCGACATCATAAGGAACCTAGAAGCGGCAGCACCTGCACGTCGGTGACTTGGCCATCGCACCCAAACCTCCACCGACCTCTTTGTCTTTCTTCCTTCAGCAACGTCCTACAGATTGTCGACGACACTCCTAACTCTCCTCCTTGACCTTTGACGACGACCATTTTTGCGCCTTCGAGCGAGCAAATCTAACCCTCAAATCCAGTCCCAACCTTCTTTCTCCTTCCGCGTGGTATCACGTCACCACCCGTCTTAAGCTCCGACTTGCGGAACCTGTCATCGAGACCCAACTTCCCAATCCCATTTCCGCCCAACAACCGCCAAAATGAGTAGCCCACGGCGCAGAATTGAGACGGATGTGAGTGGCCCCTGAGAGGAATACATCGAAATCTGGAGTACAGAATGGTCTTACTGACATGGTTTCGTCCTAGGTCATGAAGTACGCTTAAGCTCCCCGGACTTGCCTCCCTCCCAAAACCTTTCTTTACTAACCTCTGGGCAGGATGTACGACTTGGTCTTAGCTAGCCATGAGTTCATATTGCTAATTATGGTAGGCTCATGAGTGATTATGAGGTGACTCTGGTCAACGATAACAGTAGGTGTTCCATGAGACTCCATGTGAAGCGGTATATGCTAACTTGAGCGACAGTGTAAGCTTCGAGCATCCTCCTCCACCTCTTCTGCACTTCTCACACACCCGACACAGGCAAGAGTTCTACGTGCGGTTCAAGGGACCGGCAGAGAGTTAGTGAACATTATTCTATGGTCAGGATGCAGGATGGAATACTGATGGCTAGGCAGCGCCATTTGAGGGTGGCGTGTGGAAGGTCCACGTCGAACTCCCCGACCAGTACCCGTACAAATCCCCTAGCATTGGCTTTGTTAATCGCATTTTCCACCCCAACATCGACGAACTGTAAGTCGACACCAAAGAGGAGGCATACTGTGAGAGTGGTGTGCAGAGCAGGCAGGACTAAGATGGAATTTTGCTGCTAGGTCCGGATCTGTCTGCCTGGACGTCATCAACCAGACCTGGTCGCCCATGTTCGATATGATCAACATCTTCGAAGTCTTTCTTCCACAGCTCCTCCGGTACCCGAACCCTACCGATCCCCTGAATGGAGAAGCGGCAGCGCTTCTTATGAGGGAGCCGAAGAGCTATGATGCCAAGGTCAAAGGTACGGCATCGCCTTTCCTACCCCGGCCAAGTTGTCAAACATGCTTTCAGTACTGATTCTCGATTATAGAGTATGTTCAGAAGTACGCGAACAAGGATGCTGCCGACGAGGCGGGAGCAGAGAGCGAAGACGATGACGACATGTCATCGGTAGCGAGTTTCGGTGACGAGGATGATGAACCAGCTGGCCAGATGGACGATGTGTAATCGCCTTTTTCTCGCAATTACGCCACTCACGAGCACAACATCACGGAGTCTACAGGTTTTCGCCGGGATAGGGTACATTACAACTGGAGTTACATGAGAGATTGACTTATTTTCCACGCCCAAACCGGGCCTGCATTGGGTTTCAAAGGGATAGTTATCTGGGGAGTTCATACTGCACATCTGCAGACAAGCGTTCTATGAGGGGATTCCTCATTGATAATGCGACACATACTGAGCCCTTTCCAGGGTTAGGTACTGTAGTCTACAGTCAGGGACTAACTCCCTGAGCGATATTGCTGATGGATTATATTTGATTCTCAAGGCAGACACTTCAGATAGCAAATCAATGAAAAATGATTAGACGAATAGAGCAAAATATTCGCTTGAATGTGGAATCTATGGGTATCATGAATGCTTTCTAAATGCACGCTATGCAAAGATAGATCGTCCTTGATATCAGTCAGAGTCGTAGTCTACCAAGCTTGGTATGGCTGGGCCTGTCTTTTCAAGAGTCGATTTTTGTTGAACCGTATCGTCTGCATCGTCTGATGCTCGTTTCCTTTTAAGCCCAGGCAGGAGAATTGTGCTCCGAGGTGTGGCTTCCTTGTTCCTGGACTCGAGAAAAGGGTCCTTGGTCATGCGAGTATTCCCAACAATCTCAGACACAAGAGATTCCCGCAGTTTAGCTGCAGCCACCTCAGACTTCAGCTTCTTCGGGCCTTTTGATTCTGGGGTTTTGGATGGCTTGTCTTTCGAGCTGCCAGAAGAGTTGAACAACGGCTTCGCCAGTGCCTTCCGGACACCCGTCTCGCCTTCACCATCAACGGTTCCAAACGTCACTAAAGCTGCTCTCTTAGCATCATCTTCATGCTCTGGCAGCATCTCGATGCCCAGGCCCATACGGTCCTTCAACTCCTCCATTGCAGCTGCGTCCTTCTCTCTTGCTTTGCGACCCACACGGAATGCCTTGCGTAGGGCCGCATTACGCGCATAGGGATCGTCCCACTGCCGAGAGCTGGCGTCTTCCAGCTCCCCTATCCGCTCCTTGGCCGCCTCAAACACCTCCCGGTCCTCAATCGTCTTCTCGAGATTCGCAAACGCGCTGTCCCGCTGGTCCATATGTTCTTTAGCCGTGACTATTTCTCGTACGCCACCAGCAACCAAGCTCTCGCTGGCACCCTCGTCGCCGGTGTCCCGCTTGCGCCCGCCTGACACCACCACATACGCCGTGTTCGCGGGGTCGGTGCGGATCTCGATGGTCCCGCCACACGCGGTGTGCTTCATGCGGAAGCTGAAGATGGGCGAGGAGTAGTAGTTGCCGACCTTCTTCTTCTCGGCGTTGAAGCGCACGCCCTGGCCGATGACCGTGGGCTTCGGGCACGTCGAGCACCACACCGCGAAGGGCATCTCGAAGCGCACCGTCAGGATGCCCTCGCTGCGCAGCTTAGAGGCGCGGGCGCCCAGCGCATGCTTCTTGTTCAGCTGGTTGCCCGATATCACGCCCTCCTGGTCCGGCGGGACGTACCGTCCCATATTGAAGCCCTGCATCTTGAACGGTAGTAAGACGGGTGCTGCGGGAGAAGGTCTTGTCGGATGTGTGGTTTGATGATGGCCGCTTGACTACGTCGGATGGATTATCAGGAATGACGGCGGTAGAGGCGTCATCCTCGAAACGTGGTGTGCTCGTGCGAACCTGACAAACCGGTCGAATGATGGTGTTGCGGTCGTTGATGAGGGAAAGATTTGGTGGGGGAGATGAGGAGCTAAGGTATGGCAACCTGGAGGGATTGAGTGACTCTTGCAGGCCAGATGTTAATGGGCTTGGTAAGCCTAACCATCACACTTACCACTTACACGCAATATCCCACCCGATCTTGAACTAATGATTGAAAATAAACGTAGATTCTACAGGAGATTTACAGTGTTTAAGTATTCTACAACGGCTCTGGATGCGCCTATCCGACTTCATCTCACGGCAGTTCGTCTTCGTTCAGGATCATAGCCCACAATCCTCCACAAGCTGCCAGCAACACTCTTGAGCATACTGCGAACGCCTTGCCATATGCATCTCCCTCCCCCGTAAACAACAGCGAGACAACCACAAAGAGATTCAACGGGATTCTCAGGATACCATAGACTTGCGCTCGAATACCGTCGTCTACAAGTTGGCCTTTCAGATAACCCATACAAGGCCAATACATCCCTACACAAGCCTCAAAGAGACAGAACAGCCAGAAAGTTGACTGCTCTGTCAGTGGGTCTTCAAGATAGTAAAAGCACGCATCTGCAACAAATAAAATGCCCAGGAGCAGATGGCTGTACTTGAGCAGCCTGCGGTCCATGGCAATGTTGAATGTTAGTGATGCTGCTAGGATGCAAGCCATGAAACTCGCGAATATGATGCCGTAAGGCAACCCGCCTGCTGTCGTCTGCACGGACTGAAGGGCTGGCGACCAAAAGAACACGAAGAGATACATCGACCCTTCGAACATCGTTGATGCCAACCCAAGACATACGATGCGGGGGTCTTTCAAGAGAGACAGAACCTTACTCGGTTCTGGTTTCGAGTCATTCTTTTCGGATGCGGCGGCATCGCCGTAATTCTCCTCCTAGTTTCACTCGTTATTGAAACGCTGATTTATAGTAGACAGAACCATCACTCACCCATCTGGTTGTTATCAGCCAAAAGGCAATGCCCAGCAACATGGCACTGGCAGCGAATGGGGACTTTCTTGTGGCCGTAACGGAAACGAGCCACTCACTGAAAACACCACTGAGAATAGCTACGATGCTGTTCAGCGTGCTCATAAGGCCAAAAGTCCGCGATAGGTCTGCGCCCTTGGTCCCAAGAGCTCGATTGTGAAAATCTGTTACCATCCAGCTCTCGAAGACGCTGAACAAGAGGCTCGTGCTGATGCCTCCAAGCACTCGTCCAACAACGAGCAAGGGGACGCTCGTGATCATGGTGAGGAAGCAGGAGAGCGAGTACGCTACGCAGAAAAAGAGGCATGCCCTTTTTCGTCCGTACTTGTCGGCTAGAGATCCCGTAACGTAGGCGCTGACAGCACCGGACACAAATCCGATGGTGAAAAGTGTCGACACAAAGTGAGAGGCCAAATCATGCTCCTCTCTATAGAGCGAGTACAAGAACGGACCCTTTTAAATGGTTAGCATCTCTAGAGCTCTCCAGAGGTGTGCTAGTACTCACTTGCAGCCAGTCGGCGCCCATGACAAGCGCGAATACGACTAAGAATGTCCATTGAGAAGCCTCGGGGTTCGTTGAAGCCTTTTTGCTGGCCGTTTTGCTTACCCCTTGACCTTTCACATTTGATTTGGTTGATTTGCGTGAAGCGGCGAACAGAATGCCGCATAAGCCAAGTAGCCCAGCGAAGTTGATTTGATACACGTCTAACATCTTGACTAACACAGTAGCAATTGAACCTGCAAATACTAATATCAATTGGATTATAGTTATCTGAGAAGCTTCTTAAGTATTTTCAAAACAATGAAACACCTGGCATCTTCAATTAACCGGGCGGCTGGAGGCTCGAGCCCCAGGGTCACAGCTGCGACACTTGCTGTTGGAGACTACTCCGCAGACCTCCTAGCTGATTCAGAACTCAGTTGAGTCAAACTCTAGAAACTTCAACTCTTCAACCCTTTTCGTCTCCAGCCATCGTAGTCTCTCTCCTGGTTTATTTGACCTGTGAAATGTCATATGTCTGGCATACAATCAAACACCGGGTAAAGGATGGCATTACGACTGTCGATCTGCATCTCATTTATTTCCCGGTAACCGTCGCGGCATGCACGGCTCATCACATTTACCACCTGCCTTTCCAGGTTCGCAGCGGGGTTCACGGTAAGCTTCAGAGGTTGAAATGCAACGGCGATCAAGGCATCGTTCAGTGACTACCCACGGCTTTGGAGTTGTAACTGGTCAGGTAGTATGGCCGAAGGAGTCAGCTTCTCTCTCTAGGTGTGATATCATCTCCATATCCATGGCCCGCTCACCTTCCCCCTCCCGGATTCTGCAAAGTATGGATCCTGCCGGTGACATACTTTACACTCTCTGCGGGTTTCGAATTACCAGTTTCATCCAAGTGACTGCAAGCAAAGATTGGGTCGTCGGTCTGTTTAGACCTCATCGATTGTCATACCCAGGTCTTGGATACGGCGATTTCGTACAACCTTCACTACGCTAAATGAGCTCGGCTACTCTATAGAACCCTTCGGTCCGGATTATGGACTGGGCTATCTCGTATTATTACTAGAGGACACTTTTGCATAGGTTGAACTCTTATCTCTTAGTCCTTCAATTGTTTATCATGTTGATTCTATACTCACCATCCCTCTACATTCTGAGCTTCTTATATCTTGCGCTCCCTTGTACGCATGCAGCCGCCTTTGATCCGCTGAAGTATGTCGACCCTCTCATAGGATCCAACAATGGTGGGAATGTCTTCTCAGGCGCATCACTCCCGTATGGACTCGCCAAAGCCGTTGCAGACGTGGACGGTCAGAATACGGGTGGCTTTGCAACGGATGGTAGCAATGTAACGGGGTTCAGCTCGGTGCACGACTCGGGAACGGGTGGAAATCCAAGCCTTGGGAACTTTCCATTGTTTCCCCAGCTCTGTCCCGATGATGACCTGAATAACTGCGCATTTCGCATCGGTGACCGCAAGGTTCCGTATGTGGAAGAGTCAGTTGTGGCAAAGCCCGGATATTTCAGCCTGCAGCTGCAGAACGGCATCAAAGCTGAAATGACGACCGCTCATAAGACGGCACTATATAAATTCACGTTTTCCGGTAACGACACTTCTGGCGGTGGGAAATGCAAGCGGAATGGGACGTCTTCTGCACAGCATCCCCTGATCATGCTGGATCTTACGGATCTGTGGCAGAGCCGACAAAATGCTTCCGTTAGTGTGGATGCGGAAACAGCCCGCATGAAGGGTAGCGGAACATTTCTGCCCAGTTTCGGTGCAGGATACTATCAGCTTCATTTCTGCGTCGACTTCTTCGGAGTAGAGGTTTACGACACTGGTGTGTGGGTGAACAATCGAGCTGGCACCGATCCTAAGGAGCTTTTCGTCACTAGGGGGTTCAATCTCTTCTACCTGGAGGCTGGTGGTTTTGCGAGATTTCAACCCGCTTCCGATGATTCTGTGACGGCAAGGATGGGAATGAGCTTCATCAGTGCGGATCAAGCATGCAACAATGCTGAAACAGAGATACCAGATGCGTTAGCCGATTTCGACAGCCTTGTCACAAAGACTCAGGATGCATGGAGAGAGAAATTGAGCCCGGTATCGATCGTGCCAGGCGCCGTCAGTGACGAATTACTGGTGACACTGTTTAGCGGTCTGTATAGAGCTCACATGTCGCCTCAAAATTACACGGGGGAGAACCCACACTGGGACAGTGGCATACCGTATTTCGATTCATTCTACTGGTAAGCTGGACTTGACTTGCTGATGCTCGATATACTAATGAGACAAGTATCTGGGACTCGTTCAGAACGCAACATCCATTACTTACAATTACTGATCCAGCGGCTCAAGTACAGATGCTGAACTCGCTGCTCGACATCTACCAACACGAGGGGTGGCTACCGGATTGCCACATGTCATTTTGCAATGGATGGACTCAAGGCGGAAGCAACGCAGATGTGGTTCTTGTAGATGCCTATGTCAAGAATCTGACCACAAATGTGGACTGGAACCTTGCCCTCAAGGCAATCATCAACGATGCGGAGAATGAGCCCCTGGAATGGTCCAAGCAGGGGCGAGGTGGGCTTCAAAGTTGGAAGAAGCTCAACTATATACCCTATTTGGACTTTGATCCCATAGGCTTCGGCACGAACTCTCGCAGTATATCCAGAACACTGGAATACTCGTACAACGATTTTTGTCTTGCAAATCTTGCTCAAAGCCTCGGCAATGAAGACCTCTACGATAAGTACATCGCGAGGAGCACGAATTGGCTGAACCTCTGGAGAGAAGATCAGACATCTATAATCAACGACAACGACACTGGATTTACTGGCTTCTTTCAACCAAAGTATTTAAATGGATCATGGGGTTATCAGGATCCAATTGCTTGCTCAAATCTTGCTGGCTTCTGCAGTCTGACTACGAACCCAAGCGAGACATTCGAAGCCAGCATCTGGCAATATCAATTTATTGTTCCCCAGTCTGTCTCCACTCTAATATCAATCATGGGCGGAGAGGAGGCGTTCATCAAAAGACTTGACTTCTTCCACACCAGCGGTCTTGCGGACATTTCGAATGAGCCTGTCTTCCTGACTGTGTACTTATACCACTATGCTGGCCGTCCAGCACTCTCCACGGAACGTATACACACCTATGTGCCGGCTTCATTCAACAACACAGACTCTGGACTACCAGGGAACGACGACTCGGGCGCGATGGGGTCTTTCTTATTCTTCTCCATGATAGGCCTTTTCCCTGTTGCAGGCCAGAACGTCTACCTCATCTCGCCGCCATTTTTCGAGGAAGTGAGTATCAAGAATCCGTTGACTGGAAACACTGCAACAGTACGAAATGTAGGATTTGACCCTTCGTACGAGAATGTATTTATACAGAACGCGACAGTCAATGGTAAGTCGTGGACAAAGTCTTGGATTGGTCATGATTTCTTTACGGAGGGCTGGACGTTGGAGCTTGTCCTCGGAAAGACAGAGTCAGATTGGGGAACGAAGATTGAAGATAGGCCACCAAGTTACGTGGCTAGCACAAGGCCCTGAATAAGAATTGCATCTCTATCAAGTGGAAAATTCGTAGGCCTTACATAAATCGGCTCCATTTATGGAAGTATCAATAATCCGGGCCTGACAGAAACCGTGGTGAGTTGGATCATTAAGTCACCCTTCAAAGCGATACCGATTGATCTTAGGTGCGAATCGATGCTGTTATGATAGTCAATACATCTCGTCTATGCACAATCAGTATGCCCATTTATATTCATAGACTAACATCCCGAGCCCATGTTTGGTGAGCCCATGTTTGGTGATTTCGCCAGTCTCACTCATCTTCTTCTGGCTTCGTGGGTTCTCCGAATGTCCCGTCTCGCCTGATCTTGCCGATGACCGGCTCCAATAGCTTCGGTAGTAACTCCGCCGCATCTCCTCCAAACGCAAAGTCTCCCTTCCTGATCTTCTTTGGATTATCCTCAGCGTCGATATTAATCGTCGCGATCTTGGCACCTGCGTATTGTGCCTTCCGGATATAGCCAGAGGCAGGGCGAACAACGGCTGAGGTGCCCACGACCAGCATGAGATCAACTTTGCCAGACTGGATCCAGTCGTCGACCTCGTTGAGCATGTTGAAATCGAGCATCTCGTTGAACCAGAGCACTCCCGGTCGCAGCAGACCGGTCTTACACTTTGGGCATTTGGGAATCTCGGACTCCGGAACCTTTGCGACCTCCTCGTTGAAAGGATCCAATAGGGGTAGCGTCTTTCCGGGCTCTACATCCTGGGATGCTGCAGATATAGCAGGGAAGAAGGGATCCGCATAGTTCTCATGCTCGATATAGTCGCAACTCTTGTTGAAGCACTTGATATCGAAAAGTGAGCCGTGCAGAAGGCGTAGTTGCTCCAACGGATGGCCAGCTCGAGGTGATAGGCCTAATCGTATCGTGTTAGTAGTGTTTTCCTGGCAAAGGACTGATGTTCATTCATACCATCAACGTTCTGCGTCAAGCACAGGAAGTCTGGCCTATGCTTTGCTAGAGCTGCTAGGGCATGGTGACCGGGATTCGGCTTCACGTTGAGAGCCATGTGACGTCGATAGCCGTAGAAGAGCCATACCAGGCCTGGATCGGCTTCAAATGCTTCGGGTGTAGCGAGGTCAGTCGCGTTGTAATTCCTCCAAAGACCACCGGCGCCTCGAAAAGTCGGGAGACCAGACGATGCCGATAGTCCAGCGCCGCAGAGGGCAACAATTCGCTTGCTGGATCTAAGAAGCTCGTGAAACGCCGCAATGTCATTATGAGGGGCGGGGCGCGCCATGTTTGCTGTTGCCATGAACTGCTTGTGACGGCTTCTTGATGATGATGTGAGGCTAGGTTGCTTGCGTAAGAGGTGATAACTGGATGGTGATCTTAGTAAAGGCAAGTTCAGTAGAATTATGGTAGCGACCTAGAGAATGATTCTGTAAACAACAGACAAGGGGACTTACAGAATTTGTTTATCACAACGCAGCAGTGACTCGCTCAGCTTCATGCCGTGATGCCTGGTCTAATTAACTACCCCACACAGGCAAGTCGAAGGCACCCACGAGGCAACCTTGGAAGCGATGAATCCTACAAGATCCGCCAATTAAACCTTCTAAGTAGTCACATGTAGAACAGCCTAGAAAGCCTTCAACGTGATCTCAATGAAAAGCTGGCTGTCATGGTACAAAGACATTCAATTGCCAGATATAGTCCAAAGATAATACTTGGGTCTCAAGACTGGAGATGGGAGGTGTGCTTGCTTAGGTTGCTTGGTTGCAGGTAACCCCAAGCCAGGCTGGTTACGGAATGGATGTGAAGGTTTCACACAATAGAAGACATAGCCATTAGCACCAGGCCAGATGAATTGATCGATAAAATTTTATCGTTAGAGCAGAGAGGAGATAAGCTACTATCTAGTCGCAATGAAAGGAACAAAAGTAACAACATCTTCCGCCTAGGGGACCAGGAACGTTACTGATGGTCTACTTAGGTACTGTAGGTGTTAATCGGGTGGGGGCAACGCCCAGATCGGCCCCGATCTGATACGGTGCTGTCAATCCGGGCGCTCATTGTGGAGGCTGAAGAGACGCCGCTGACCTTGACACATTCGTCACACATCCATTTACTAGTCGGCCTCATCGCAATAAAATTCTCTACCTCCAACACTTCTCAGAATTCTGTCGACCTTCTTAGGGAGAATTCTACAAAACCCTTCACTAACTAGTTTTCTGGCAGTCCACATCTCGGCGGCTCAGTCAGTCAGATCTTAGCGGAACTTTGACTTCCCCACAACACACGCGGCCGATTCTATGCCGGATAAAGGATTTCAGGGCCATAAGAAGACATCAAAAGCCACATATACCCCGTTCAGCTTTTTCTTCCCAGTCGTAGTTTTGATCCTGGCTCTGTTTCTTACCAAAGCCTGGCCGCGACTCTCACTGCTGTCGCAACACTTCTCAATTCAGTCACGAACGGCCGTCCCCAAGATGGCTTCGTACACCAAGGAGCTCGAGGTGGCCCAGCTGGCCGTCCAGAGAGCCGCCATCCTGACCAAGCGTGTATTTCACGAGAAGGCTAAGGGTACTGTGTCGAAGGATGACAAGTCTCCTGTGACTATTGGCGACTTTGGCGCCCAGGCGCTTATTATCAGCGCCTTGAAGGCAAACTTCCCGCAAGACGAGATTGTCGCAGAGGAAGAAGCCGACACTCTTAGGACAGATGAGAAATTGAAGGAGTCTATCTGGGAGCTGGTCAAGAGCACTAAGCTTGACGATGCGAATGCTGAAGGTATCATCGGAGGCGCCATCAAGGACGTCGAATCAATGCTGGATCTCATTGACGAAGGCAAGAGCAAGGGCGGTGCGTCCGGTAGGATATGGGCCATCGATCCTATCGACGGCACCAAGGGCTTCCTCCGTGGTGGCCAGTATGCTGTCTGTCTGGCGCTCATGGTGGACGGAGATGTCAAGGTCGGAGTGCTCGGGTGCCCCAATCTACCTGTCGATGATGCTGCGCCGCTGACGGTCGATATCGGCTCCAATGCGACAGATGAGGGCAGAGGTGTCCTCTTCTCAGGCGTGCTCGGCCATGGCGCCTCGAGCAGGCCGCTCACTACTGGATCACTGGCAGAGTCCAAGTCAATTTCAATGAAGCCCATCTCAGAAATGTCAAGTGCAACATTCTGTGAGAGCGTCGAGGCAGGTCACTCCTCCCAGGGCGATGCAGCACAGATTGCGCAGAAGCTCGGTATTACCAAACCCAGTGTGAGAATGGATTCACAAGCGAAGTACGGGTCAATTGCTCGTGGCGCTGGTGATATCTACCTCCGACTACCAACCTCGAAGTCATACGTGGAGAAGATCTGGGATCACGCTGCGGGAGATGTCATTGTAAGGGAGGCAGGCGGGCAGGTCACCGATGTCAGCGGCAATCGCTTGGATTTCAGCATTGGTAGGACGCTGGCCAAGAACAAGGGTGTCATTGCTGCTCCTGCATCTGTCCATGACCAGGTTATTAAGGCAGTACAAGAGGTGATTAGCCAGAAATAGGGCACCACCTTGCGATATCTGGCTATTGATACAGTATAGAACATTTCTCTGCTGGCCTAACGCCGCAAAGATAATAAATATACATGGGCCATGAAGCAAGATCCTCTATTTGATCTTCTTCTGCTTCAATTTGATCGTCTCGTCGTTGACGAATATGCCCTTTCCCTTGTATGGCTCCGGCACTCGCCACCTACGGATTCGAGCGGCGAACGACATCACCTCCTCTCTGTTGATGCCTTCCAGCAGGATACGTGTCGGTTGTGGTACGGTTGCCTTCACTCCACGAGGCACGCCGAGGTCGACCGGGTGTGTAAAACCGAGCTTCAAACAGACGAAATCTTGGCCCGGGTATTCCTCCAACGCCGGCCTCTTGTCGATTGTTGCTCTGTAACCGATACCAACTAGTCTAAGAACTGCTGTGTGGCCTTCTGACACGCCAATGATATACCGATTGAGATACGCCCAGGTCGTACCTATACTCGTGTTAGTTCCAGCACCCCGTATGCCTCTTCACAATCGAATGGATTTTCATACCCCACATCTCCTTCTGCTGCTTTTGATTTGGATCCTCTATGCTGAGGGTAGCTTTTCGTGTAGTTGGGTCATTCTCAATGTGCAGGAACGGAGGAATTTCGAGGTGTTGTTCGCCTAGGTCTCTGTCAACTTTGCGCGCAAATGCCAGGACAGTTTCCACCAACCCAAGGGACCCTGAATAGTCACAGTCCTCTTTGCCACCTGTAGATATGTCGTGAAATCCTTTTTTATCTTGGGCTCTCCGATGCTAAGCTCGACACCGGGCGGAATGGAGATTGGGATGCGACCAAGCTTGGATGGTCTGTTTGACGTCGCGGAAAACTGTCGGGCAGGGCTCGTGTGGAAGGCGGGAACGAGAAAAGATGGAAGCGACACCACCGAGGAAGACTCAATGACCTTCCCCAGAGCTCGTCCTCTGCTAGGAGCGAACATCGTGGCCGTTTTGTTGCTCCAACCACCTCATATGAGTTGTAGGTGCATGGCTCGACATGTGCAAAAAGTTCCAAAGCAGACGCTAGAGCTGCGGTCATGTGATGAAGCTCTGCTGACCCACACACCCCGGACCCTGTAGGTAGGTTGGCGCTAGACTCCCCCTGAATCCAATCCAAAATTCACTTCGTACAACACTTCGGGTTTTCCGATTAACTCCTTTGAAATAGGTATCTTGCTATGATTTGGCATAGATCCAACCGATGTCCGATGTCCGATTTCTTTTTTTTTTTTTTTTTTAAAGAATTGAGATCAATTGCTTGACATTGGTTAAGCCTCTAATATTAACTTAACGACTTGCAGTAGAAAACAATCTCATTTCTCTCGGGTAGTCATTTACATGATGACTTCGATGAATGTATTTCACAGAATCGTTGCTTCTGGATCCGGACTTGCAAAAAAGGGATGGGTGACTTGTGAAGTGTTCAAAATGGTGCAGTCCTAAGGTTGTGTCGACATGTGTCTGTCAGCTTTACGATTAGGAAGGAGCTCAACGCTTCCATAGACAACGCCTCGTTCCTTCCCTCATTCGATCTTGCCGCTGCCAGGTCCCGTAATAGTCCATCTGATGTCTCTGAAGTGCTTCCGTTGGGGTTACGTTGGGATTTGATTTCTTCCACAATTCGGGATAGTGATAAGTTTTCAATCCTCTCTGGTTTCCTCGCCCTATGGCAGCTTTCCACCCATCTTCTCAGCTATTTCCAAGACGCCTACCTGAAAACCTGGAGAGTGTGTTGCAGGAAACAACACGATCTGTTCCTCGAAGGGACCGAGCACAATGCATCCTTCAATCTTGGCATGGGCTTGGTGGGTGGTAGGTACGGCTGGTTTTTCATGGCGAACTGAGATTACAGCCAACAAAGGTAAGGCTTAGAACGAAATATTTATGATAGCTACTAATTGTCACGCAGCAGATATTCGACCACCCCTTGATACCAATTTGACGCCCTTTGCGTCTGCTCATCCAGGTAAACACCGACCAGATGTATATGCCACTGCGCTGGCTGAGCTCCAAGCCCTTGAATCGGAACCACTCTGTCATCGTGTTGCCGCAAAGCTGCTAGTGAACAGCTGTCAATTACTGGACGGCAAAGATGAGGCTACAATTTTGACAGACAGCGGAAGACAAGTTCGGGATTTCGTGGACGCTTTCGCGGCCAGCATGGCGATATGCGATTTGGAGCGTGGCAGCTTTGATATCCCGTCGACCTGCGACAAGTTTCGCGAGACAGCGCTTGTCGAGCTCACAACCGACACTGAAGTCCGTCTTCACGTGGCATCGAGAGAGATTGACGTATGCCTTTCTGGCTTAGCAGATTCCAATGCCGCCTGGAATACTTGGATCAGCTACCGTCACAAAGCCTTGAGGTTTTGTGAGGCCGCTAGAGTTGACCAAGATAAGGGTAAGTCGATGCGCTCATTTACACGAATAATTCTGAACATACTTCTAGCGCAGAATATCTTGCTTTATCAACGCCTTACCAGAGCGATCGCGAAGCTAGCGGATGGAGTTGAGATCGAATTGCAGAAGCGGATGGATGCCATAGACCTTCAGGCTCAGCAAATCGGTAAATCGCTGGAGCAGCTGGTCCCCCAGGTCGACTCGTTCGGGGAGAGTCTTTCCAGATTTGAAAGCTATCTCTCAGGTGACCTGCACCAAATCCTGAGAAAATCTGTCAAGACGGGCAATGCTGGTCTTGAGAACGCTGCAAATCTGCAACGATTATTGAACGTCATGATCAACTCTGTTCTCGAGGGAAGCTCTCAGGTTGCCTCTGCACGTGAGCAGTCAATTGACCTTGCTTCGCGAGGTAATAGTGAATTGAATGCTTTAACTTCGGAGGTCGCCGCTGTGGTGTCTACTCTAGTCTCACTAGGGAATCAAATTGTACGTGGAATCACTTACGCGGGAGACCTACTTTTCAAGGCTGATGAATTATTATCAGGAACTTACTCGCATCGAAACATCGCAACTTGCTACAAAGCAACAATCTCTTGAACTGGGCTTCGATCACTTGCTCGCGGCATCGGCAGACTTATCATCTCAATACGATGATCATGCCCATCGGCTCAAGGAGGCCAAAAACCTTACAAACGACATTATTGACATACTTGAGGAGGCTGCATCATCAGCCACATCACTCAATAGCTCTTTCTTTAGAAAGGCGGCAGTCAGCAGCTGGTGGCCGTATTTGATCTGCCCAGCTGCTACACTCTTCCTGGGATCATACGGTCTGGCTCCTTCTGCCTTTCGAAACTTGGGTCTTTTGGCGCTCGGAGAAGCCGTCGGGTTTGCGATTTCTTCTCTCGACCATATTAACGCTGCGTACTTGGGTTTCATGGGAACAGTACCGGTCACGAACGCCAGTATATCTGCACTCTGACTTCTGTGATGCTTCCATTCGGCATTCTTTCACATTTCCAGCTCCATCATTCTCACTCACTTCTGGGCAGGCGAAATCATTTGGGAATTCTGTAATCTGATTTCACAACCTCGGGCACTTTTAGCAACTAGAGAGCATAAGGATGGGTCAAATTCTGGGACGCATAGGGAGATAAACGGCTCCTAAATTTTCTTTTACGTATTTTAGCCAATGCTATAGAACTTGACGACTCAGTCTCATCCCATATGAACATATCGTTGCTTCGAAAAAGTGTAGAATTCCTGGTAAAGCAGAAGTTTCTAGTCAAGGTGCTTCAAGCAAGTCGCATCTCCGTATAAGTTCCTTGTCTCAACATTCGAAGACGATTACTCAGATCAGGATGATCCAGAATAAGTCAGCTCGAAGCTTTAGATAATGCCAAAAATGCCGAAAACAATTGACTATTTCACCGAGTCATAGTTTATCGAGGATAATAGAACATCATTTTACGACCATTCGATGCTTGCCCGGTCTACAAATAGGGGCTCTTGTCTACCATAAATAGGGGGGTATGGAGAAGTGGGGCATCACGTGGGACGTGGGTGAAGTAGTCGCTTATGTATTGCAGGAATCCAAGACTCTTGCATAAAGATGAAGGATGCTGCCATTCTCTCTAATACCTCATAAAAGTGTGTAAAGATCTCAAAAAGAGATTTCATGTGTAGTCTCAATCGAGGACGAGTCTAGCTATTTTGACGCGGTATGAATCGGGCGACCGGCCGGTTGTTCCACACCCTCAAATCTCTTCAACATGAGAACCCCCTGGTAGGTGAGAGCGTCTGCACCTACCTTTGACCTTGACTGATATCACATAGGGACTTCCAAGGACAGGATCCATACCGCGCATGCAGCGCGGCCTGCCTGAGAAACGACCGATCAAAGATGTCGCCAAGGTGATCGCTGTTTCCTCTGCTAAAGGCGGCGTTGGGAAAAGCACAGTTGCAGGTTGGTCAGGCCGGTGCATTGCTACTCAAGTGATCACTAATAGATGTCACAGCCAATCTGTCTCTTGCATTTGCAAGATTGGGCTTTAGATCTGGTATTTTGGATACGGACATTTTTGGCCCCTCAATACCGACTCTATTCAACCTCTCCGAAGAGCCCAGACTATCTCACAGTGAATCCACTACGACGCCTTACTTGATCCAATGCTTACGTAGTTCTAGATAACCAACTACTACCACTCTCAAACTATGGCGTCAAGACAATGTCAATGGGCTATCTCGTGGGAGAGGATGCGCCCGTCGTATGGCGCGGCATGATGGTGATGAAAGCGCTGCAACAGCTCCTGCACGAAGTTGACTGGGGCGGCCTCGACATCCTCGTGCTCGACCTGCCTCCCGGAACGGGTGACACGCAGCTGAGCATCACGCAGCAGATCGTCCTGGACGGATCGGTCATCGTGACCACCCCTCACACCCTGGCCGTCAAGGACGCCGTCAAGGGCATCAACATGTTCAAGAAGGTCAATGTTCCGCTCTTAGGCCTGGTTCAGAACATGTCTGTCTTCCATTGCCCTCACTGCCAGGGCGATACCCATGTGTTCGGGTCGAGTGAAGGGGTGCGCAAGATTTGCGCGGAGCATCAGCTGGATTTTCTCGGCGATATACCGCTTCATCCGAACATTGGAAGTGATGCTCAAGAGGGCAAGCCTACCGTTGTCGCTGAGCCGGAGAGTGAGCGGGCTCGCGTCTTTATGGACATATCCCGAGCTGTAGCGTCGAAGATCGGACTATGATACCCAAATGACCTGCAGGCACAAGTGTATTCTAGTGTAAAGCACATGTATAATTATGATAGCACCAACCGTGAGCTGTCTAGAATTGCGACCATGAACAGAAAGATGCATTTTCTAACCAATAATGATGAGATCCAAAGATGGGACAAAGGTGATTCCCAATATGTCCTTGCTCTGCTTCTTGTCCCTAGCAACACCGACGGCAAGGGTATAACATTTTACATAGGCAATGGCGTGCTTCTCAAGCTCGATGCCTTCGATTGTCGTGACTTTATTTCGACCTCCATCTTAGAGCCGAGGAGACATTGCTCCCCTGCACACATCACCAATCTCCGTAGCCTGTCTTTCACGCCGTCTTCTTCCACTGTGTGTATAGGCCAATCAAACTGCTCACTGTTCCAGCAATACCAACCAGACCATCGTCAAAGTTGGCCCATCCCAGGGCAGCAGTCGGCACCGTCAAGTCGCAGACGTCTGACAGCAGCTGAAGTCTGCTGGCGGATCGCTCACTACATCTCAGTTAGTTTCAGTGATCTCTCAATGTGTAAAAGCCAAGCTGGAGAAAAAGGAGGCATCACTCACATTGCTATCCGCTTGCTCTCCACCACGCCCTCGCCCTCCTTCTTATCGACCTTGGCCTCCCTCTCCTTGAGCCGGTACTGAGTGTACAGCTGCGCGACGACGCTGCACAGGATACCGATGGCCCAGAAGCGGTACGCCTCGGTCTGGAACTTCTTGGCGGAGGGGCTCTTGCGGATGCCGGCGGCGTCGAGCAGGGTGGCCAGGTCGAGGGTGAGGTAGCCGGCGTAGCCGAGCTGGCGGCCGACGGCGGCGTAGCGCAGTACCGGGTCCATGGTCTTCGCGTCGGCGGCGACGGCGGCGGCCTTGAAGTGCTCGACGTTCTTGCCGGCGCGCATGATCTTGCGGGCGAGGCCGAACTGCTTCTTGACGGCGTCCCAGGGGGCGATGTCGGCCTTTGTGCCGTTGGTGCGCAGCAGGTACCAGGCGTAGAAGCGCGCAAAGTACTGCAGCGTGCGCAGGACCTTGTCGCGGCCGACGGTCGTCGCGACGAACCGCAGGTAGTGGGCCACCGAGGGGTGGTAGATGACGGCGTCGGCGACCATGCTGGGCGGACGGAGGTGGAGGTGGAGGTGGACTTCTCGCTGGCTCGAGGGGGGGAAGTTATCGGAGGATGCGGTTGGTGTCTGCTATGAGGATGTCACGATGGTGTTTTGAAAGAAAGAAAGCGGTAGAGATGCTCTCTCGATGATTGAATTGATAGATGAATGAATGAAAGGGATGAAGCCAAAGCCCTCAAGATGCAATGCAATGCAATGCGAGGATGCCGTAAGTCGGCCGGTGGTCGCAAATGGGGACTGCTTTCGGCTGCTCCACCTGCATCCAGCCGGGGAAGCTATGCCGAGGTGTAAGCCGGCCGTCATATGCCTAAGCCTGAGATACGCTGTAAAAGAGTCGTGTGGTGCTCCTCCTCTGGGGAAGTGGAAGCCCGAAATACAGGGCATCAACATGTGCCACCAGCCTAGCACCAGCCCCAAGAGCATCATTCCAATGCAGCCACAGCTGCCCCTCATTCTGGGTTTTGGTTTTGGGGAAGTGGGCAGCCGTCTCTGTGTGGCGGCTCTTCTCTCCCTGGAGAAATTACTTCACTAATCACTACTTTCAAGCAATGATTTCCAACTAGCGGAGAGAAGTCCACATTCCATATCGGCCATTGTCCCGAGTGATTTACTCTCTAGTGGACATCACGATGAGATGGAAGATGTTGCTCGCCTGATCCATGCAGCTACGCACATCTGGAGTCTGATTTCGATTGCGATACTCCATTTCTATCCGAGATATGCACCGCCGCCGGACTGGCTTGATATTTGATACGCTGACCTGCTTACCGGTACTTACTTACTATGCAAGAGGTATAGACGCTTTGCTGGGCTGCTAGCCTGCTGTTGTGCAGCCGGTAGTCTGAAGAGGCCAGGCAAAGGGATCCTTAGCCCGTGTCCCGGCTTGAGGCCGTCCGCCATTCGGGTCAAGTGAAAGCGGGTTGTCCTTGGATGCCCTTGGATGCCCTTGGGATGGGCCTTGGGATGGGCCTTGGTTGGCGATGGGCGCGTTCCGGGAAATCCTCTTTGAAGATCGTGGGCTCCCGAGATGGCGTCCCCGGCTCCCCGGCCTTCCCCTCGACCGGAAAAGCGTCTTTGCTCCAATAAGGCGCTGAGTGGGCTCCTAGTCCTGGGACGTCACCCATTTCAATCTCAACCCAGCTCTTCCTAAGCTCCAAGGGCAATGTCCTAGTCCTAGTGAAATGCCCAAGATTACTACCTACATGTACTTACTGACTGGAGTCTCGGAGCAGAACAGCCTCTGATAACCGTTGCTCTACCGATACGTGGGGGTCAGACCGTAGCGGTAGTTCCCTTTGCCTCTCTCCTTTGCTGCTGCGTCGTCCTCTCTGACGGGATTATATACTAAATACCGGGCATTGGCCCTTGAGCACACGATCTTTCACTTCTCTCTTTCTCTGTTTTGCTCGCTCTTCACCTTGATTTTCCGGCCTCCGGTTCCCTCACTCATCGCCATCCCCAAAAGCTGTCTTCTCCATATCTCAAAGCTCTGTGCATCATTGCCGCTCAACCCCGCGATCTGCCCCGCCGGAGAGTTCAAGTAGTACCCGACTAGAGCCATTCATAGCCGTCCCCCATTTCCTCTACCAGGGCGCAATTGCTCCAAACTACAATTGCTGCTTCTACTTGCTTTCCTATACTATACTATACTATTCCTATCCTATAGCCCTATTCCCAAGAGCGTGTACTATCCAGAAAGACACAATGTCGACCGCAGTGGGCAACGGCAATGGCTCCGAAATGGAGAAGGTGAACACTGACATTGTCACCTTGACCCGCTTCCTCACAGAAGAGCAAGTCAAGCACAAGGAGGCAACTGGAGACTTCACGTACGTCAAGCCTCGGCTTCTTTTCAGCAGTCTTGAGAATTCGAGAGCTAACTGCTTTGTTAATCCAGACTACTCTGCCACGCCCTACAATTCTCCTTCAAGTCGATCGCCTACTACATCCGAAGAGCCACTCTAGTTAACCTGACCGGCCTGGCTGGTTCCTCAAACACAACCGGCGATGACCAGAAGAAGCTCGACGTCATCTCCAATGACCTGTTCATTGCCGCCATGAAGTCCTCTGGCAAGTGCGCCCTGCTGGTATCTGAAGAGGAGGAGAACGTCATCTACTTCAAGGAGCACTCCGGTGCCAGGTACGCGGTCGCCTGCGACCCAATTGACGGAAGCTCCAACTTGGACGCCGGTGTGTCTGTCGGCACCATCTTCGCCATTCACAAGCTGTCGGAGGGATCCACGGGCACAAAGGAGGACATCCTCAAGCCCGGCACAGAGCTGGTCGCCGCTGGTTTCACCATGTACGGTGCCTCCGCGCAGCTGGTCATCACTATGAAGGGTGGCAGCGTCAACGGCTTCACTCTGGATAACGGCGTCGGCGAGTTCATCCTGACACACCCCAACATGAAGCTGCCCAAGTCGCGATCCATCTACTCCGTCAACGAGGGTAACTCGCTGTACTGGGAGGACGAGACAAAGGAGTATTTCAACGCCCTGAAGTTCCCCTCTGGCTCAAGCGGCAAGCCCTACAGCTCTCGATACATTGGTAGCATGGTTGCTGATGCGTACCGCACACTTCTGTACGGAGGTATTTTCGCGTATCCCGCCGACAAGAAGAGCCCCAAGGGCAAGCTTCGAATTCTGTACGAGTGCGCGCCGATGGCCATGGTCTTTGAGAATGGTAAGTCGCATTGAACATACCGAGATCATTGTAAGTGTGCTAATAAATATGTCTTGCAGCTGGTGGACAGGCTGTCAATAGCAAGATGCAGAGGATGTTGGAAGTTATCCCTGAGTAAGAAAAACCCCTTTTCACGAAAGCAGCCAACTGGCTTCGCCTAACAAGAACTTGCGCTAACATGTTGTCCCACAGGCACATCCATGACAGGTCAGGAATCTTCATGGGCAGCTATGACGAGGTCGAGAAGGTCAAGCAGTTTCACAAGGCGAAGTAAATTGAATAGTGCATGGACAAGGGATCATGGCAGAGCCGGCGTTATTTAGACAAGTTTGAAACCCCAATCGTCGGTTTTCGGATGTCTTTGGTGTGTGTGTGCGCTTGCAACGACAGACAAAAGGGCCCGAAACTGAGCGAAAGGAAGTGTTTATGCAAGGACGAATCAGAGCTCCGTGTATATAAGAGAACAGATTCAGAATGGCAGGAAACTCTCTAGCAGGGTTGCATTTTAATGAGAATTTGATCATCCCATTGCGGCAAATGAGAAAGTGAGATGCCCTGCTCTTCAACTCGTGATTCGCTGTCTTCCCCAACTTACAATTTGGGGAAGGCCAACTTAACCTCACTCGCAACTTTTTGGTCCCTGACCGCAACTGAATTTCACCACGCTCACTCACTTTTCAGTGGTTGCAGTCTTTGCTCAGTCAAGATGCAACACAATCTCTGACACCTGTATATAAGCCTTGCGTTTGCTCTTCAACATGCTCTCACTTAACCTCGAACAATGGCCCTTCTCCGGGCTGGCCACCTCGCTTGCCGTGGCGGTCACGGTCTATCTCATTCTCTTCCGGCTCTCCTCGACTAAAGCACACCCAGAAGAGCCGCCGATAATCACAAGTCCCATTCCCTTCATTGGACACCTCCTAGGCATGGCCCTCCGGGGTGGCTCCTATGTCAAGTCCCTTGGGTAACCCTGAATCCCCTCTTCCTCCTCACATGGCGCATGTCTAACAACCCCTGACAGCCTCAAGAACCGCGACAAGCCAATCTTCACGCTGACGGTGCCCTTCTCGCGCATCTACATCGTGACAGACCCCTCGCTGGCGGCCGCCGTGCAGCGCGCCTCCAAGGCGCTGTCCTTCACGCCGTTGGTCCCAGACGTGACCAAGCGCGTGCTGGGCCTCGACGACGCCACCATTGACATTGTGCGCCAGAACCTCGACCCGGAGCCCGGCGACCCGCGCGGCTTCCTCGCCGACATGCACGACATGGTCTACTCGTACCTGGGGCCCGGCGAGCCGCTCAACGAGCTGACCCTCGAGGCGGTGCGTGAGCTCGCCGTGCAGATCAACGCTTATGCCGCCTCCTCCTCCTCCTCCTCCTCCTCCGCCGCCGGCGGCGACAGTGGCGAGGTCGTCGACCTGCTCGAGTGGCTGCGGCACTTTGTGACGATCGGCACGGCGCACTTCCTCTACGGGCCGCACAACCCGCTGGCTGTGCACCCGGAGCTCGAGGCGGCCTTCTGGGACTTTGACCACGGGCTCGGCCGGCTGCTGATGAACGTCGCGCCCAGCGTGACGGCGCGGCGGCCCTACCGCGGGCGGGAGGCGCTCGCCGCCGCGCTGGTCGCGTACCTGGAGGCGGGCTACGGGCGCACCGAGGCGGCGCGCATCGTGCAGAACCGCGTGCGCATCGCCGAGCAGTACGGCTGGGGCCCCGCGGCGACGGCGCGCAGCGAGCTGTCGTTCCTGTTCGCGGGCATCGTCAACACGGCCACGACGACCTTCTGGACGGTGCTGCGCATCTTTGCGGACCCGGCGCTGCTGGCCGCCGTGCGGGCGGAGCTCATCGGCGCAGGGGCCCTCTCTGCCGAGACGGCGATGCCGACGGGGCCGGGGCCGGGGCCGGAGCGCACGCTCAGCGTCGACGCCCTCAAGGCCGGCTGCCCCACGCTGCTGGCCGTGTTCCGCGAGTGCCTGCGCCTCGGGTCCGACAACTACTCGACGCGGCTCGTCAAGGCCGACACGCTGCTGTCGAACCGCTACTTCCTCAAGGGCGACAGCGTCGTGCAGATCGCCGGCGGCGTCATCCACGCGGACGAGCGCATCTGGGGCTCCGACGCCGACGCCTTCAACCCCTCGCGCTTCCTTGCCGGGACGACCACCAACGGGGATGGCGAGGGCGGCGCAGGCGCAAGCAAGCAGAAGGAGCACGGCAGTGGCATACACCCGGCGGCGTTCCGGTCCTTTGGCGGCGGTAAGACGCTCTGCCCGGGACGGCACTTTGCCACGAATGAGATCCTAGGCTTTGTTGCGATGGTCGTGGCTACATTCGAGCTCGAGGCGCTGGATGGCGGACGCATCACAGTGCCGAACAAGGACGATCAGGTGCTGCCGGTGCATATTCTCGAGCCCAAGGCGAGCGATGCCGTGAAAGTACGGGTGAAGCTGCGGGACGGTCAATATAAGGCATTGAAGGTGGTTTCATGACGTATGGAGGGATAATGATGTCACAATGCTGTCGCAATGTGTCATATGGCTAGGTCGTACATATAAGTCTTGTATGTTGGACGGATATATATGGTAATGCTTGCTTGAGTATATAACGAGTGGTCAGCAAAGGCACGCCTCGAGCAGAGGCGGGGGGGCATGTTAATGGGCCATCACAATTAGTGCATTGTGGTAAATGTGGGTGATTAGTGGTTACTATATAAACATCTATCTAGGGGTACATTGGCGGTCTCGTATCGAGAGCCGCCAGCATAACACAATAAGACTCTCCTCCATGATGGTCTTATCTGACATGGGCAGTGTGGGGACGTGTATTGTTTGCGGAGACTGTCCAGTCTTCTTCCTTTACTCCTTTTGTGTGTTCGGTCCGTCGAAGCAAACTCAGCCGCGTCCAACCATTACATCCTTGTAATACGCGAAGGCCAGTTCGTTAGAGTACTTCAGATATCCATCCTCAGTCAGGGGAAGGCCAAGAACCTTGGAAAGTTGCATCTATTACCATGGTTAGCTCAAGTATTGGAAAATTCGACGCGAATCAACTTACACCACCCTTCTTGGCGAGGTCGACCACCACCCTGGCCACGTAGTTGGCCATATCCGCAACGGCAGCCACCTCTGTGATGTCTGTGCTCTGAGCATTCTCGTGCATAGCGGGAAGGCCCTCCATCAGGCTGTCGATGAGAGCATGTGGGACTGGTACACCCCTCTGGCGGTGATGCATAAGCTGCAAGAAGTCTTTGTAGATCTCCCCACCAAGATTCCAGTCCGGAATCGAGTCTTCGTGTCCCTTGAAATCCATCAGAATGTTATAGAGGCCATCATAGTCCCGTTCCACGATTGCAGCAGGGGCGACTTGCTTCGCAAATGTCTTGTGAGCCTCCACAAAGGATGAAGCGCGAAGCAGACAAACCACCTCAGACTTGGGGTCCTTCTTGACACTACGCATGAAAAGCGCTTTGGCTTGCCAGATCCATGCCGTGGGGATTTTGAGAGTCTGCGTCAAAGTGTTGAAGCTCTCACTTTGCTCAGTGCCGAGTTGGCCGGCATGGCGAGACAGATGCTCCTGGATAGCCTTGACCCTAGCAGATGGATTGCTGAGGTGGAGAAGAACAAAGACTGCTTCGAGCCAGCTGCCTTCGTTCGTCAACTGACTAGCGAAGGAAAGAGTAACAGCATCAGCCTTTGCATTAGCATCCTGTCCAAACGAAACTTTGCCGCTAGCGAGCAGGGCTCGGCCAAGCTGCCATGACAGTCTGAAATCCAAAGGCGACAGCTGTGAATTTTCGGGGCGAAGAATATCCTCCAGGTCAGCTTGGCCGTTGGCAAATAGTCGAAGAAGGCCCCATAGCAGATCCTCGCGCAGCTCTTTGTCTGGATCCTCCCACAGACCTGGGATGCCTTGTTCCGTGTACCAGGGTTGTGGTCTGGTCTCCTTGTCTTGATCGATATCGTCCTTGAATAAATCCACTGCAGCCGATGCGTCATCATTGACGCTGATGGCATACCACAATCTGAGGCCGAAAGCTTGCTTCCAGCTCAAGCCAAAACGCTTGGAGATCACGAACGCTTCAATGCGATCTTCCATTGAACCCTTCTTTCCTTCGCAAACACAAACATTGCCGCCAAGTAATTCGTAGATGGTCCGGATAGGCTCCGAAAACTCGGAAAGTAGCTTGCCGTCATGCCATTCCTTTACCTGTTCTCGCATATCCCTCTTTGATTGGTCGTTTGTGCCAATGAGAGAGACGAGCGTTGCCAGACGGAAGTTCTTGCCGTCAAGGAGATATTTACAGGCATCCGCAACACGATGACCCGAGAGAGCTGCGACAGCTTTCTCCTCGGGAGATCTAGCCATTCCAATGGATCGAGAGGATGCATCGTCCACTAGATTCTTCCAAAATGTTGAGAGAAGATTGCGGCGAGTTCGGCTCTCGTCCTGTGCTGTGACCTTCAGGCCAGTCTCAGCAGTAACCTCATCGAACAAGATGGCCGATAGTTCCCAAACTAACTTCTCATGAACGCTAGCAGGATTTTGCATATCCTGTTCATGGAAGAAGGCAGTCAACTTGGGAATCGATCCTAAGCTGACGGTGGGAATGCCATTGACCAGGTTGACAATGGTCAAGCCAATATGGTTGCTGAGAGCTTTCGCGGAAGACTATACTGGTTAGCGAAAGAAACGAACGGCAAGCTCAGTCATGATATACCTCGTTGGAGAACTTGGCAAAGCGGAGATCACGATTCTCAGATACAACGTTGAGCTTCGTCAACGACATGAGACCTTCCTTCTCGAGTGATCGGCGAGATGACAGACTCAGAACTTTCGGAGTCGTTGCCAATACTAAGGTGCCGTCAGCACCCCAGCTGGGTCGGAGTGAGTCATGATAGGCCCGATCAGCTGGGCTCATATTGGCTTCATCTTCATCCGTATTTTTATTTTGTCTCTTGTATGGCCACTAAAAAAAATGAAAGCTTAGTAAGATGTTTTTTTTTTCTTCATTGATCCGAATACATATATGTAGGTACAGAGGAGTCATTCCGAACGCCAAACCAGACAGCTCAGACAATGTGTTGGTGTTCTCAAATTAGCAGACAGGCTGAAGACCAACCTTAAATCCTTTGGCAGGAGCCGGAACCGTAACAGGCTTGACCGGAGCTCTTGCTTTTTCAAACAACGAATTCATGAGATCAATGCTTGTTGCAAAGCCGCGACCGTCTGACACGACGCGACTCTTGGCCATCGGCATGGTGTCGCGGACACTCTCCTTCATGTTGTAATAGGTGTCGGTGTTGTTGAGTGTCTTGAGAGCAGCACGGTCTCTCTTCTGGGGGCTGATGGTTTTCTGGAGCATGTCCATCCAGTCATCACCATCTGCGACCTGTAGCTTGGCAGGGGTTGCTGAATCCTTGATTGCGCGCATTCTAGCCCTCATGATGCCTCCCGGGGTTTCGGGCTCGTATTCGGCCATGTCGTCCAAGTAGGGCGAGTCGAGTTGTTGCTCCGCGGCGGGATGGTATCCAAGGTAAGCACTCGCATCTTGGTCCTCGGATGCTTCATATTCTTCGTCCATGTTCTCGTCTTCGACTGGAACTACTGCATGGGACGCAGAACCCGCGGAGCGTTCAGATAAAAAAGACTGCTGGTTGTCATCAGCCATGTCTTCTTCATCTTCGTCGTCGGAGACACCTTCAGTGTAGTCGAAGGCGCCCGGAAGAGCACGACGCTTTCGACGTTGGAAATCAAAAGTGTCGTCTGGGTCAATCTCAGGCGAAACATCCACTGCGGCACCCGAACCAAGAGTGGATGGCTCCTGCACAGCGAGGCCGTCGCCAACGAGATCTGCCTCGGTCTCGTCTTCATCATCGTCATCAAGACCATATGTGGTAAAGTGCTCAACGGAGAAGGTCCACACGCCGGTGTCCTTGTCGTAGTTGATGAATGTTGTGTTCTCAATGCGCTTCAAGCGGTCGATGTGCTTGTTGTAACGCGGGCCGCTCTTGTCGGTTAGCGGCGTTCGCTTGTCACGTCCACGGGGCCAGGATTGCTCCAGATGGATCTCTGCAGGCACATTGAGACCCTTGCCAACAGGGGGTTTCTTGGCGAGGTTGGGATAGACAGTGGCCGAGCGAGGTTGAAGGTCAATAATGGTGGGAATCATGTTGTCCAAGTCAATGGAGGTCAGGTCGACGGGGACCTTGAACCTGATGAATCCAACATTCTCGCGGCCAACAGTGAAGCCAGACACCTGGGACTTCTGAACGCGGTTCATGCCTTGAATCTCCTCTCTTGAGGGACTCATCCAGTAAGCTCCTGCCTCCTTGTCATCTGAGGGCTCAGTAACCTTAGGGGCAGGAACAGGAGATTCCTCTTCATGGACAACTGCGAGTTCGTTGCCCTTGACTTGCTCCATCTCGGGTGTTGCAGTAGAGGTCGCAGTCTTAGTGCCATTAACAACAGCAGCATTACCGCTGGATGGTCGGAGATACCCGAGGTCCTGAGCAGAGGTCTCAGGGGTGGGTCGTTCGCTGTCCTGAGATCCGTTCTCGAGCGCCTCAACATTACTGGTATCGAAGCTAACCCTCTTCGTGAGCTTCCGGCTACCATTAAGAGACTCGGGGTTCTGCTTGTCCTTGTTTGGGGTGGAGAAGAGGTCAGTGCGCATGTTGCGATCAATAGTCAGCTTCTTGACACTGCTCATGTTGCCATGGTAGCGAGAACCAGAGCTGGCGGCAAAAGCACCTGGTCCTAGGATGGTGTCATCGACATTGTAGCTGCGTCGCAAGTTACTTGTGGAGATGCTCTTGCTGAGAGCGCGGCTGATGCTTCCACCGGTTAGTAGGCTCTGGCCAAGGCCGCCTGGTGTGCTAGACACGCTGGACGGCGTAGCGGGTGATCCATATGTGCTGTACGAGAACCCGTAGCCTCTCTTGGAGGGCGTCACAAACTTGGTAGCGGAGCCCGGGTTCAGCTTCCAAAGGGGCAGAACAGAGCCACGCCGTGCCTTGGTTGATTTACCGGACAGGGGAGTAGCGAGAGGTCCAGGGTTCTGCACTTCTCCAGAGCCAAGGTTTGAGAATAGAGATGGAGTCCCGTATGCAGAAACATCATTAATGCTAGCAGTCAAGGACTGAGGAGTTGACTGGGCATTTTGGGATGTGTTGAAGATGGAACCCTGTAGAGCGTTCTGTTGTGGCTGCTGAGTGATGGAGCCGCCAAACAGCCCACCGCCTTGCTGTTGAGTGTTCTGATTGCCGAAAAGGCCTCCTCCGGTAGACTGTGTAGTGCTGCCGAAGAGAGACGGTTTCTGCTGGTTCTGATTCAAGCCGCCAAAGAGAGAGTTCTGTGCCGGCTGTTGTTGCTGCTGGGTATTCTGTCCTAGGCCACCGAACAGTCCGCCACCGGTATTGTTCTGAGCGGTATTAGTGCCACCGAACAAGCCGCCTGTAGTAGTTGCGGCCGGCTTATTGCCAAACAGACCTCCACCAGCTTGCTGAGTATTAGTCTGACCAAAGCCAGGTGTCGAAGTAGTGTTACCGAAGAGACCACCACCTGTCTGCTGGGTCCCTGTATTACCGAAGAGCCCGCCACCGGCAGGCTTCTGTTGGCTGCCAAATAGTCCACCACCTGTCTGCTGCTGGTTCTGGGTGCCGAAAGCTCCACCCCCAAAGCCGGTGGTGCCAGTAGTTTGCTGATTGGTGTTTCCGAATAAACCACCTCCTGTGTTGCTTTGCTGATTGTTACCGCCGAAAAGACCACTCGTTCCAGTGGCTGTGTTTGTGTTCGTGCCGAAACCACCTGGCGTTCCAGTGCTTCCAAAGGCGCCACCTGTTGAATTGCCTGTTCCGAAGCTGAAACCAGATGGTTTATTTTGGGTTGTGTTAGACCCGAAAAGACCACCACCAGTGTTCGTGTTTGTAGAGCCAAAAGCGCCTGTGTTTGCGGTATTGGTATTGGTGCCGGATCCACCACCCGTGGACGAGGATCCAAATAGGCCACCAGTCTGTGCTGGTTGAGTCGTGCTGCTTCCAAAGAGACCACCGCCCGTTGTCGCAGGTTTATTCTGGCCAAAGAGGCCACCTCCAGAACCGCCGAAACCGCTCGTTGTATTGCTCGTCTGGCCGAAGCCGGTCGTGGCAGGTTGGCTGGCGCCGAACAAAGTAGTACCAGTGCTAGAACCCCCGAAGCCACCAGTGGTAGTATTTTGGGTATTGGTGCCGAATCCTGTGCTGCCAAAGCCTGAGCTGACTCCAAAAGCACCAGTGCCTCCCGTGTTTCCACCATAGCGTCGACCTTGATTGTAGTCAGCGAGTCTCAGCTCATCGCTGGACCACTTCTTATACGGCTCCATGAAGAGGATGTTCTGGAACGAATTCTGTTGGCTGGGGTTGTTGACCTCCTTCTCAATGGTTGGGGTGAAAGCAACTTGTGCTGTGCCAGGCGGGTCGCCGATGTTGGTACCAATACCTGGGTTGGTAGTTGCGCCGAAGGCGGACGTAGTACCAGTGCCGAATCCGCCGCTACCACCTCCGAATAAAGAGGTGCCTGTAGTGCCGGTAGCCGGTGTAGACCCGAAGGTTGTTGTCTTGTTGCCCCCGAACAAAGAAGAGCCACCACCGAAGGGAGATGATGTCGAGGTCGTGTTTTGCCCAAATCCACCGGAGCCGAAGCCGCCACTTGAGCCAGCCGTAGCAGTCGTGGAGCCAAAGAGACCTCCTCCGCTCGTAGTCGTCGTGCCAAAAGCGGGTTTCGCAGCGCCGAAGCCGCCACTAGGAGTTGATCCAAAGGCACCTATAGCTTGCATGTTAGTATAGTTAATAAGAGTCAGGGATAAGTGATTAGTGAAAGAATGCGAGAGATGTCAAGGGATATAGATGGATAACGAGGCGGGGGAGAGAACGAAGTGGCACGATGATCTTGAAGGTCAATGATCATGTCCTGGGAATCGAAGCCATTTGGATATCAAGATATGCCATACCTCCAGTGCCGCTTCCAAATCCGCCAGACGTGCTACCAAACAAGCCGCCAGATACATTATTCGCATTATTTAAGCCGAAGGCAGTCGTGTTCGTGGACCCGAAGGCTGACATGGAGGAAATATCGCGTTAGTTGGAGGTCGAGTGCATTGGGGGAGAAACATCCAGAATCAAGACGGTGCAAGGACAAAGAATGAGATGAGAAGAAAAGTATAACATACCAGAACCAGTATTGTTGGTATTGGAACCAAACCCACCAAAGCCAGAGCTCTGGTTCTGGTTCTGCTGGCCAAAGCCAGAGAACCCACCGCCGCCGAAAGACATGTCGCCGGTCAGGATATGTATGGGTGGTCGATATCAGGTCGATTTGTGGGATCGCGATGCCCGTTGGTGATGAAGGTGCGCTGGCGGCGAGGGTGCGCGCCGCCGACGCGTCAAGATAAAATTCGTTGTCGAGAAAAGCGATAGAGACCCTGCTGTGGTAGAATATTGATTGCTGATATGATTGCGAAGAGATAGATCAAGCCCCGGGACACGCGCGATGGTGATGATGGCGGCGAGAGCTTGGTCTGCTTCGCGACAGGCGAGGTCGAAGAATGGACTTTTTTATGTGTGGATGGGCATGAAGCGCAGGCAGGAAAAGCCGCAGATTGTCAGGCCGTAAGTGACCAGACGGATCCGCAACGGACAACAAAGAAAGACGTAACGAAGGAGTGATGTCGAAGCGTAAAGATGGCCGATGAGGGGAGCTTTGTGTGGAAAAGAAAAAGCTCCTCCCACAGCTTGCTTGCTCACTCTCACACAATGTGGGAAGCGTAAGTCAAATTGAGGTGGTCAGTATTTTGCCTTAGTAACTTACGGCACGGTACTTAAAGTGAGGTGGCCGTCCGCCCACCCAAGGTGCGTGCCAACCTTAGCTTAACTATTTCTCGCCGCCTAAGGTCACCCAGCACCATTGACCCACTGCCTCCGACTTCCTCAGGCAGGATTGCGACGCGAGCCTGCAGGAGCCAACCACGCGCTTTTCTTTTGGCTCCTACTAAAGGCCGCCCCTGCCGCCTGCAGCAATTCTGTCACGTGGATCACCTACCAACTCACTGCCTAAAGCATTTGGCGGCATGTGGTTGGACAATGGCAGTCAATGTGACTAATTCGCAGTCTGCCTCGTCTACCACAGCAAATCATTCATCTCGAAATGCTTCATGTTGACTCAGAGCCGTTTTAACATTAGTGAGCACTGGTTGAACCCGTGGAAGGGATGATGCTGTAACCAAGGAGGCGAAGCGCTTTGTTCTGGAGCGATATGAAGCCTACAAACCAATGGTGACCTCCTAAAGGAAGAACAATTCTGAAACGACTGGAAATATCGATTAAGACGGAATACCCCTGAATATTCTGATATTTGCGTATGACATAACCTTAGAGCGCAGATGAACTCACGCCTTATCTCCGTAAGACCACTAGAAGGACGGCCTTAGTATTACGTGCAGACTCGTGCTTGGAGAAATCTATACTCGAACCCCACTATTCAAAGGCCAACAATAACTGAGATGTATTGAACAAATGCTACCCTAGAGGATATATGTGAATAAGGAGCCCTCGAGGACTCCCTTCGCGGCAGGAGGCGTTGGTATGTAGTAATGTGGTGATGAAGAAAACTGACAACAAACACTGGACCTGGTCACCCGTCGCGCCGTCTAGAACTGAATCAAATCACCCTGGTTCGTCTGCTGCTGTTGCCGACCAAAGGGGTTATTCGTCCCCTGTGCCCCAAAACCGTTCATACCGGCTGGCCCGGTTGCAGCCGGCATCTGGTTGCCTCCGTATGAGACGGTAGGCATCCCCGTGAATTGCTGTCGGAGGAACGGATTGTTACCAGTAGCGTCAGCCGTGAGCCGGTTTACACCAGCACCAGCACTGTTGACGAATGTTCCTGGTGCAGTGTGCTGCGCCGGTATTCGAAGCTGGCCAGTGTTGCCAAAGGTATCCATGCCATCGCCACCTGCGAGCAGAGCGTTCAGTCTCTGCTCATGCTCACTCAACTCCCTCTGTGGCTGTTGTGGCGGTGGGGTGAATGACGTCTGCTGAGGCTGCACTTGGTTGAACGTCGAAAGTGTCTTCTGCTCGGGTAGGGAGCTGAGTGCAGGCATAGATGGCGCCTTGAAAGCCTGTGGCCGCGAGAAGGCTTGTTGCTGCGCGAATGGGTTGTTGGAGCCCGTCTGCATCGGCCGGATAGCCTGAGCCTGTTGGTTGGAAGCCCAGGGGTTGTTGCTACCAGCTTGCACAGGTGATTCAATAGGTTGGGGTGACTGGACCTGAGGGGATTGCATCTGCTGTGCATAAGGGTTGTAGCCAGTGGGCTGTGGCTGGAAAGCCTGCTGCATGGCCTGTTGACCGTAGGGGTCGAACCCAGTGGGCTGCTGCTGTCCGAATCCATTTGAATATCCATTCTGGTAACCCGTTGGTTGAGTCTGGAAACCAGCATACGGGTTTTGTTGCATGTATCCGGTAGGTTGAGTCTGCATCTGGCTCTGGTCGATCGGGTTGCCGAAGAAGTCGACTCCGCTTCCCTGCTGGTAGCCCTGGTTGAAGCCAGTCGGCTGTGGCTGCGATGTCTGCGCAGGTGTGTCGTCGAATAGAGAGCTTGCATTGCTCTCCTCCAGCTCTCGCCGCCGGAGCTCCTCCTCTTCCTTGCTAAGCTTGATCGCCTTGGCCAGGTCATCGTCGTCGTCGTTACCGCCCTGTCGACTCTCACGTTTCCTGCGATCCTCCTCCTCCTGGTATTTGCTGGCCTCGATAGCCAGCCTGTACTCTGCATCATCCTCATCGGCATGCCTCTCTCGGTGTTGACGTCTTGGTTGTGGCTCGTGGTGCGAAGGCGCAAACTCTTCGAGTCCGGTCACGCGCGACTTCCAGGTTCTACGATCACTGCGCTCTGCGCGCAAGCGCTCCTCATCCAGGAGGAGGGTGGTCAGCTCTTTCGCAGCAACTCGAACTACCTCTCAGTTAGTATCCCAAATACCTCACACATGCATTCACCGGCACCATACCGTTCTGGCCAACATCTCTACCCTCCTCGTCAATATATATGAACTCGCGGAGTGTTTTGATAATGTAGACATTCTGTTTTCCCCAAGTAACAACGAGCTCGGAACCCTCATGCAAGCAGTAGTCGAGGACCTTCAGCGCTTTCAAGACGTGCCTCCAGTTCTTGCCCTTGTCGTTCAACCGCTTGTCGAGCATGTCCATAATCTCGTAGAATTCGGTAGACCTGAAGACAGACAAGTTAGAACACGACCCGGAGAGGGAGCTTCAAGGACGGCGACATACGAGTTGTAGGTCAGCTGGGCGATTTCGCTCATCTGGGTTCCCGTTGGGCCCCATGGGTCGTTACTCGTCGCTTTGAAGCTACGTCAGCATGCGATTCCAATCTCAGCGCTCCACGTCGCTGCGTGACTTGGCCCAACAAACCTTCGCGGACCTTGACCTGGACACTGGAGTAGCCCTTGGTCACATTTTTGACGCTTCGCATTACCTTCGACATCTTGGCGGCGGTGGTGATGTGTGAGGTTGACGGAGGTTGGTGAGTGACGTTGACGAGAGATGGGTGCGGCGGTTTCGGCTTAGGGGTCTAGCGACCGGCGATAGGTGCTGTGACCGCTGCTAGGAGATGAGGATGGTGATGATGGTTGCTTTTGACAGAGCCAGGCAAGACGTTGCGCTCAATGCACCCAGCCTGCGGGTTATCAATACGCCCTCTCCAAGGTTTCCGCGCAATGGAATGCTTGTCCAGATGACCAGCAGGATGGCAGCCACATCCAAGTGCGATGCGATGGAGGGAGCCTCTTTCTGGCCGCGAGGTTGGGAAGGAGGGGCGAAGCTTCGCCGCTAGAATGACAGTGCAGTACCAGTGAAGTGGGCGGGTTCCAGCGCCGATGGACGCTTCTCTCAGGCTAGAAAGAGCCCAGAATTCCTGGGTGGGAGCCGCGCACCGGCTAACCTTCAGTTCTGTACAGCTTAGATGCTCGCACTTCAATACGCTTCGCTGAGTCGCAGCAGGCGTTTTTTGGGTACGATCGTATTTGGAGTTTGTGAGGAGAAGATTGCCTGTAGCTGAGCGAGGTGGACGATGTTGGAGAGTCTGGCCGGTCTCTCCGTGCGGTGCTGTTCCCCAAACCAATGTGCTGTGAAAGAAAGATGTTCCAGAAGTCTGTCACTCAGTCTCTCAGTCACCCAGTCAGTCGCCTGAGCTTCCCTGCCTCACCTTATTACGCTGGGGACCGTACCCAGAAAAAACCTGAACCACTGCTCCAACACATCCGAGCCTAAGACCCAATTGAAAGTGCTGTCCGATGGGGGATGACGAAGCAGCGCTTGGCCAGTCCAGGCTAAACCACTACGAGTAGCAGCTCATCGACTTTGCCCCCAAAGGGCAGCAGGACGCACACACCCGTGGCTTAGAATGATTGAATGACATGGCGTGCGCCATGTTCCGTCGTGTCTGTACCTAGGTACCTAGCCGCGGAGTGCGTATTCTACCTACCTGCCAGTACCTGATGGATGGACCCCGAGTAAGTTCGGCAGCGCAAACCCTGACTCTCAATAACCTTAAAAAGTCTCGTACAATCGCTATTTTAGTTGCCGAAATAGGTAGCGAGGCCTTGTTAATCATTCTCCTCTTGCTATGTTTGTTCAAGTTTGATCAGGTCCACGGGTAGTCAAAAGGCCAAAGCTCGACGAGGTGCAAGTATGTAGATAGAATTGATGTAGGTATCTTCGCGACCAATATATAACGCATCGTCCACTCCGGAGCTTTGCGCAGTCCCTTCTAATCGGAAGTATCACGTACACCTTACACCACCCTAATCAATCAATATGTATACACTGAGTGCCAGACAAGCGCCATTACGCGCCAATTACGCCACCTTTCCGTAGACTGGGTGTCCGCGGACCATTCCCTTATTCATCGTCATCCTCCCCTTCGGCATCTGCGTCCTCCATATCGACATCGCCATCCCCATCGCCGTCGCTGTCCTCGTCGCTCTCCTGCTTGGAGCTTGCCGAACCCTTGCCCTTGCTGTTTCCGTTGGTCAAGGCAGACCCGTGATGGTTGACCGCCTTGACCTGGACGGTGTCCTCGTCTAGTTCCTCGTCCCCATTATCTGTCTTCTTTGGACCAGATGAAACGGCAAGACGATTCCTTTCCGCGACCCATCCCGGTGGTAAACCAGGGCCACTATCGGCGTTACCGTAGTCGCTTTTCTTAGTGCCCTTCGGCCACCGACCTGGGCCCCGGCCGGTACCACCTGTCTTGCGACGACTGCCGCTGCTCTTAGGCTTGGACACTGTGAGTCGTCTTGCGCTACCCGTCGAACGTCGGGCCTTGGGTCGCGGCGCACTCGCCGTTCGGGACAGTGCGGGCCGGGCAACACTCGGACGGGGCCGGTCGACACGCCTCGAGCTGCTGAGCGGAGGGTATACCGCAAATCGGGTCGGAGGAATGTCCTTGTACGCCGAAACCCAATCGTCGTCGTCACTAACGGAACCTGTTTGTGTATGGTCCGCAGCTTGTCCTTCCACGGAAGCACCGTTCTTCAGTGGCTCCACTCCGTTTTCAAGAGCGGGCTCATCTCCAGTTTCGTTAGGCTCAGTCGACTCAATCACAATAGAGTCTGCTTCTATCGCAGGGACGGCGACATCCCCGTTCGTCTCTGTCTTGACTATCGTGGTATTGCCGTTGACCAAACTCTCCGCCACGGCCTCCACAGCCTTTTGCTCTTCATCCTCTTCTCGGGGAGCGATAGCATGCATGGCAGGGCCTAGTTCGAAATTCGTAGCATTGCTTCTGCCCATTACATACGGGGTCCAGGTGAGCGCATTTGGGTCCAGGGTAACGTAGTTCTTGGACTCCCATTTGGCAACGTACTGCTTGCAGTATTCCAGGTCGACTCTGAAAGCGTAGAGCTCCGTTTGGGGATCTCGAACAAGACATCTTAGACCTTCCAGTGCCGATATAACGTCGTCTGCTGTGAGACCCGTGTCATCGGATATGTCCTTAATGCTCAGGCCCTTCGACTCTGCCTTGTTCTCCGGCACATGCTCAAGGAGGTATCGACACATGATCAATCGCCAATAGTTTCGATATGATACAAGGCCCATATCCGAGAGAGGTTTCTCGGGAGAGCCTGTCTTCTGCTCAACCCTGGTAAGAAGGTAGGAAAAGTCAATGAGCAAGTTTCCATAGCCTTTTCGTTGGTGTATTGGTAATGTCAGGATGCATGAGACGTTGTTCTGGCTGCTAGCTCGCTTTTCCTTGGAGAAGTATCCGACAAAGTGGTAGCCAAGATCATCGAACTCGCAAAGGACGTAAAATAGGAAAGGCTCGACATCGTAGTAGAGCGTCTTCGAGCCTAGAAATAGCTTCGCGAGCAAGCAAAGATTCTGGCAATAGACCGGATTTTTGCGACCGTCCACCTCAAACACTGAAACCGAGCCATGACGATAAATTTCGTCTCCGGGAGGATGCTTCGCCGGACACTTGAGCTTGTGCCGCCATGCAACGTAATCCGAATTCATGTACTTAAGACAGAATTCGCAGATGTAGAGAACCCGATTTCTGCTGTACTCTTCGGGGTAAGGTGCTGCATACCAGGTGTCAATCTCCCATCCACCAAATTCTATGCATTCAATCTGGCTGGCAGGACCAGCGGCCTTCTTTGACTTCTTGACAGGAACATCGAGTTCTGCCTGCATTGACAGCAATCTTTGTCTCCATTCTTCTTCAGCCTTTTGTTTTGCCTCGTCAAAACGTCGGCGGTCATCGTTCGTGGGTAGTGTTTTGGATGTGTCAGCCTCGGCATCGTTCAAAATGCCGCCGTATGGTTTCCCTTTCAGCTCATCCATGTCTTTATCGAAGAACGAGTAGAATGGTTGTGAGTAGCTCGTGGAGACAAAAGGGGCGGTCGCTGTTGTAGCATTTCCCACATGAACCGCGCTCCTGCTAGTGCTTGGCCGAGACGGCCTAGAGGCAGTTGTGCGCTTCTTCAACCCAGCTGGCGGCTTGGACAATATTTGCTTCAGTTCTGATGGGTTAACGCGTAGTCTCATCACGAGAGATGTGCGGGATTTCTTAACAATAGTGGCAGGCGCATTCGTGGAGATCTTCAGTCGAAGAGATCTTGCCGAACGCGGCCTGACAGCTTCTTCAGCACTGGCGGCGCCATCGTTGCTGACCTCGTCGCCAGTGCTCCTGCGTCGCTTTCGTAGGCTCATGACGTGCTCATCGGCCTCTGCGGATGAGGTCTTTCGTTTCCTCAAAACACGAGAACCATCCATAGGATCTTCATCAAGGACAAGCTGATTAAAGACTGAGTGCGAATCTGGCTTGGGGGCACCACGTTGGGATGGTAGCAGGTCTCTAGCAAGCTTAGGTGCAGTAGCCCTTCTCGCAGCCGGAGTTTCATCAGCGTCTACGACCCCGTTCACCTCAGTATCGTCAAGAACAGAGCCACCGTCCGAGGAAGACGCGGCGCAGTCAAGGCACTTCCAGGTCTCAATACCTTGAAGATGTCAGCAGCTAATTAATTTGTGTGCGACGGCGTGGGGAATAGCTTACTGTCGCCTTCTCCAAGAGCTTTGTTGTCTCGTGCGCATTGTTGATGGGCTGGTTGAGTCAGATTGACGCGTTCAAAATATTGCTTAAGATCAGACGACGTACCATTTTCTCCACAGCCAGAGCAAGTCAGGTAGGTTTCGAACTCCTCGCTGGGATCGTTGTCCTCGTCCTGTTTACAAAACATGCAGGTGTTCGAAGGCGCTGCCTCATCTTCATCATCCTCATCTTCATTTTCGGCGGCAGCTTCCCATTCCTCAGCCTCATCCGATTCTGCGTCGCTTACAACTTCAGAAACCTCACTCTCGCTGTCACTTTCTTCTTCCTCGTCCGTCTCGCCTGGCTTTATTTTAACGGCGCCGACCCCTTCATCGTCATTTTCACCTCCTGCACTACTTTCGTCCCCTTCTATGCTTGGGATGCCCTTCCCTGTTACTGGTATGATAGTAACCTCATCATCGTCTTCGCCTTCAGCGTCCTCCTCGAAATTGGCGTCCTCGTCATTGTCGCCATCCTCGTCGGATACCGCATCTCCATCGATGTCATCTTCCTCCCCTTCTGCATCTTCTAAGCCTTCCTCGTCTCCGTCCTCGTTTGTCTCGAGCTCCTCATCCTCGGCATTGCCTTGATCGGGGGTTGCGCCAAGATCTATTTTGGAGTTCAGCTCGAAGCTAGCCTGATTGTGTTCGCCCACATCGCCATTGACTTCGTCTTCATCATATTCTGCATCCTCTTCCGAGACCATCACGCTCTGTTGGAGCTCTTCTTCCATAAGCTGCGCGCTAGCCATGTTGTTCAATTTAGCCGACACCCCTTTCTAAGCACGATGTCGCAGTTGAATCGCGGTCGAAGTTTCCCCAGCCCCACTGCTCATACGCTGGAGAGAACAGTGAGCCTCGGCCTCATAACCGACGCTATTCGGTCGCGCGAATTTGTTAGGCAAGTGGTTGAGTAGGACTTCGATTGCGAACAGGCGATTCGGAATATGGGTTTGCGCAAGGCATTGAAGGTAGTCAAGCGCCGCCAAGGGGTTACAGAAGGTCTAGACGCGCAACTTCAGCATCGAGGACGTTCAAATCTGAGGTGTTTCCGACGTAGATGTAGTCAGAAAGTCAATAGACGCGTGAACACTATCGATCCACTGTTTTAAGTCAGGTTTGGGGGTTGATTGAGCTTCGTTTATCACCAGGTCGCATTGCGGTCGTCTGGGGGTTCGAGCCAACTGCTCGTTGGTGTGGTACAGACTTCTTAGTCATCGGAGGTGGAACGGTCTCCTAGGATTTTGTCCAGCCTCAGGCATCACTATTCTCTCGATTGTCCCGACTTCCTCCAATCCCGTGAGCTCTAATTGAAGCAAAAGAAACTCCTCGTCGACAGCAACACAACCTCTACAAATTGTTCTGAGTATGCTACAATACATTTAGAAGATAAATCTGATATTCCGAACTAATCAATTGCGCAGCTTCTCCGAGAAGACACGATGCCTGTCCCATTCGAGACGCTGATTCCCTATGGGATCATCCTAGCCGTGAGGTCGCCCAAATAGCCGTGTTGAAGATGCAAACTAAGCTGTGCAGATGTTTGGCGTGACCGGCGCCGGGTTGTCTAAATTCAGGAATATGCAGAACGGTGGAAAGAGGGCGAGACGCTCAATAGATGCCTGGGATAGAGTCAGTGTTCTCCAGTATGAGTTCATTCATGACCTCCGCTAACCCTGTCATAGCAAAGTACGATTACCGAAAGCCAACGTCGAGCATCGTTCAAAGACTAATCATTCTTGCTATAGTGATGGATCGCGACCGAAGGCTCACAGGACTCTTACGAGGTCAATCAGACAGTCCCAATGCGCCACCTGGCTTCGAGTTAAACAACCCCTGGAGAGTATGTCTTGTCCTCGAGCAGTACCAGTCGTGGAAATATCTAACAATCTTCTAGGTCGAGAAGCGAATGTCATGAGGAAATATTCTGGGAATTGGAGGCAGAAACGCAAGAGAACAACGAGCAAGCGCCGCGAATGCGCAATGCATACCGCTACCGCTATAGCGAGATGTACATTATACAGAGTAGCGGAGAAACTCAATAACATTTGCATATAACATCAAACAAAGTCTCTCTCGTTTTACATTGTTCATTGTTGTTTCTATTGCGACCTTCTTGATCCCTATATTTGGATCTCTGGTCGGTTCTTATTCAACCCTTCCAAGAGTACGCAAGCATGGCAAATGGCCTGACTTGACATGTACCCGCACCTCTCGCATCTACCAAGGACCTGTTTCGCAATCACCGGCTTCTTTGCCCCTGCCCGATTTCGTACAGGCAGGTCTTGGGGCTTTGTTCTGTTGTCATTCGCCTTCCTTATTGGCACCGCCGCTGTGACATCAATCTCTAGTCCTTCTTCCGCAGCCTCATTCTGTCTCAATTGCGCCTCCATAGCAGCCATTTCTCCTCCTGGTGTCCGTCCGTTTGGTGAACCGCATCCGCTAACTTCATCGTCCGCTTGTTCTGCTATTTGAGCCGGCTTACCCTTACAGGCGCAGGCGTCCGCTTGCTGGCCAGGAACTAGTCTGGCCATATCCTCTCCACTCCTGACAATATCTAATATCGCACTTGGGCGAACTTTCTCGAGATTCTTGATTAGACTCCTAGCGCTCCCTCTGAATGCTTCCGGGCTGTATATACATTCGGTGCTGAAGTAGTCGAGTTTCTTGTGATGAGCGTACAAAACGATTTCTTTTTCGTATGAGTACTTCAAAGGTTTGCTCCGTCTGACGTCCGAATTCGCATCTCCCGTTATGATATTTGTAGCTCGAGACAGACGTGATAGATCAGCCCTGAGAAGGTTCATCAGAACAGTTTCTGCTACATCGTCCGCATTGTGTCCGGTTACGACATGCTTGATCCCGAGCATTTTCGCGCCGCGGTCCAGAGCCTGTCTCCTGAAGACTCCGCAATAAGTGCAGTTGCCTTTCTTGCCAATAGTTTCGACAACTTGGTCCATCGTCCAGCCGTAAAGTTCATCGTATCCAACAACCTTCAGGGGCATCTCATACTGAACTGCGTTTCGCTTTACAGTCTCTAGTGAGTCATCTCGATAGCCTTTGATTCCTTCATCTATACTTAGAAGAACCAAGTCCAGGCCATAATCGTGACGCTCATTCAGCGTCTTCATCACCGAAGCCAGCACTGTAGAATCTTTGCCACCTGATGCTCCGATAGCCACCTTCTCTCCCCGGTAAAACAGGCCTGATGATATAATCGTGTGATGAACCTCATCTTCGAAGACTTGTATGAAACACTTTTTGCAAAGTTTCTGGTGGTTTTTAGGTCGCTTGATGAGCGCTCGCTCAGTCTTGCAGTTGGCACAGAGTGCCGGAGCCATGTTGCGCTCGCTGGCCGATTGAGACCAAGTATCTGTGCAACGCTCTATGAATAGCACCCGTTATGATTTCATATTACTATAAGGAGCATATGCATTCCGTAAGGGTATAAGAAACACGAATGACTGAGGGTCTCTTGTTCTTCCGCAAACAAGAGTCATCCCTCTTGAGGAGGCTTTTGGATGTCACTTGGATCGGCACGTGAGAAAAAGTCCAAACAAAGCTAGGTCACTAGCGCCGTTTACACATCAAACCCCCACCAGGTGCTCTGGCAATTACTACCTCGCATAAGCACTAACGTAAATAATTATCAAAACCCGAGTCGAACACCAATTCTAGTTAGTGGCTGTTAGACCATCTTTAGGTTCCTAGCACCTGCCCACGAAAACCCTACCAAAACTCACAGAAATTTTCTAGATTTTGTGCCTCTCTTCCAATCCTCTCAAGGTCGAGACAACCAGTTTTCCTAACGACCCGAGTCGACCACCACAGTCACCATGGTAAGCATTTGATATTTGGATTTATTTTTTGATCTTGCGCCTCATGCGCATTGATTTTATGTTGAATGCTCTCGATTTATCGAGATGCACCAATTCCGCCTGCTTGTCCCTAGCGGACACAGGTGAAGATTTGGCTTGAGTGTCGCGATGGTGCTGCAGAAATGCCACCTCGCAAGCTCTTTAGAGTTCAAGGAAGACTGCAGTCAATGGAAACACATTTACTGATGTCTTCTTTTCTCCATGATAGCCTCCCAAGTCCGGAAAGAAGGCCGCCCCGGCCCCCTTCCCTGCCTCCAAGGCCGGCAAGAAGGCTCCCAAGGTGAGTTGGAAATCCCTTCATTCCCTTCCCCGCTCGCCTCAAGCTTACCAAAATGTGTAGAATCCTCTCATCGAGAAGAGGCCCCGTAACTTCGGTATTGGCCAGGACATCCAACCCCGACGAAACCTCTCCCGCATGGTGAAGTGGCCCGAGTACATCCGTCTCCAGCGCCAGAAGAAGATCCTCAACCTGCGCCTGAAGGTGCCTCCCGCCATCTCCCAGTTCCAGCACGTTCTCGACAAGAACACCGCTGCCCAGGCCTTCAAGCTGCTTAACAAGTACCGCCCCGAGACCAAGACCGAGAAGAAGGAGCGCCTGCTTAAGGAGGCTACCGCCATCAAGGAGGGCAAGAAGAAGGAGGATGTCAGCAAGAAGCCCTACGTTGCCAAGTACGGTCTGAACCACGTTGTTGGTCTGATCGAGAACAAGAAGGCTTCCCTGGTCCTCATCCCCAACGACGTTGACCCCATTGAGCTGGTTATCTTCCTGCCCGCTCTCTGCCGCAAGATGGGCGTCCCATACGCCATCATCAAGGGCAAGGCCAGACTCGGCACTGTCGTGCACAAGAAGGTACGATGCTTTGCAGATGTCATAAGTGGCTGGAATTATACTAACATGCCTCATCAGACCGCTGCCGTCCTGGCCCTGACCGAGGTCCGATCTGAGGACAAGAGCGAGCTGTCCAAGCTGGTGTCTGCCATCAAGGACGGTTACCTGGCTGAGAGCGAGGGTGCTCGCAAACACTGGGGTGGCGGTATCATGGGCGCCAAGGCCCAGAAGAAGACCGAGAAGAAGAAGAAGGCTCTGGAGTCCGCCATCAAGGTCTAAATTGTCTCTTAATCACGGTGGAAGGGTCACTCTTGGTCGCACTTTACGGCGTATGGAAATACCAAAACGATGCATATGGGCACAATGGGATTGCTTGACCTTTGATGCCAAGACTTCGCTTATGAGATATGTGCTACTACTCCTGCTTCGTGATGACTTTTTTTTCCTTCTACGTGACACAATGTAACTTGTCCGTCCTCTGCCAAACGCGTGGCGGTCGCACTGGAACAAATTGCCCAGACTGGTAGATACGCGAGGAGTGCAAACGCAGTGATTGACCTCCTGGCAATGCGACACCATTGAAAGATCGCCCTGTGATTTAAGACATGTTAAATTTGAGCCGAGCTGGCTAAGAGTGATGGCCCGAGCCGGGGTAAGGTACACTTTGATGCCGACGGGCTGGCATCACACAAGGGGCCTGGGCGACGCCTGGGCAAAGACCGGCACTTGATTCGCGGCCTGTCTTTCCAAGATTGATGCGCAGCAGCGACTCTTTCACAGGGCAAAACAGGCACTGATTCAAATACGACGCCTTTCCATGGGGGTTCCAGAGAGACGGCAGGGGTTGTGAGTGGATGATCGTCGAGTGATAAGAGAAAAAAAGGGTCAGTCACATAGCAGGCGTGTTGTGTTTGAGAGATTTCGTTGGCGAAAAGAGTCCAAGCTTTTCTCTCCTCTCGCCTCAACACTTGCGTGAGGCACATGTACCGGGGGTCACGGTGGTAAGTGGGAACCCGCCGGTTGTCCAGCTCCCAGCTCGTGTGCTGTAGCGAGCCGGGGTAGATATCTAGATAGAGCTCAAGAGGCGGGAGACTGCATTTCGTTCCGGTCCTGGAGTTTCGCACAAGACAGCCTCATCCCCGTTTGGACGGCACACTGACGCGTTTCATCCCAAACGTTTTTAAGGTGAGCATCCGGGGTGAGTTTGAGATGCCCATATCCCAGATGGATATCTCATCGTTTATCTCTCTCTCCCATAATCACACCCCTGGCTTCTGGCTTGACCCCCTTGTCAACTCCGGGCATTCCGCTAAAGTTAGCCTACCTTCCCCCGGTGCCCAGGCCAGACGCCAGTGTGCCCCCAGTTCAGCTTCTCCTCGTGATTGTCTCTTTAAAGTCCACTGTTGAGAGACAACAACTCTGTCGCCCGCCTCGTGCACAATATAACAACCCACTCGCCAAGAGCTGCTCTACTGAGACCGAGATTATCCTGCTCCTTCCCCCAGCTCTTGGCTTCATTTCTTTGAATTCCCGTTCTGAAGGATCAGAGGTCCGTTCCGTTCTCTGCGAGACAAAAAGGGACCATCGCTCGCCTTCAGTCGGCATTTGTTGGCTTACTCGGCCATCCCCGAATAGACCTGCCGCGAGGAGCGCAGCGACAACACCTCATCTGTCGACAGATACCCCAAATCCCGCTGAGCAGACTCGCCCGAAAAATCCCTCGCTGGACGAAAATCGAGTTGGCTGAGCCTGGTTCGATTTTTTTGCATATAATTTTCTCTAATCTCGCCTTTTCCCCCGCCGGCTCTGTCTTGTCGCTGTGCAGAGAGATAGAGAGTTAATCTGTTGTCTAATCTTAACAATGGCGCACACTGGTTAGTTTCAATTGAGTCTCTGAAATGAGCGGTGAGACTGACCACTCTTCTGCGCATTACAGAGGATACCTTCCAGTACGCCCTGAGCTCCAACTCAGCGTGGGCGGGATACAAGGCTCATCAGAATCCTCAATTCTTTCCCAAGCTCGCCAATGGCCAAGCTCCTACAATTCGTAAGTTAAGAAAGACTTTCTTAGATTAAGCTCTAGACACTTTCTTGTTCCCGCCGCCCAAACCACCAAAACCACCAAAACAGTGGGGAATCCAGTCAGGCTAACGACACCGGCGCCGACGCAGTCTGGCTCGGGTGCTCCGACTCCCGGTGCCCGGAGACGACGATCCTCGGCCTGCAGCCAGGCGACGTGTTTGTGCATCGCAACATCGCCAACATCATCTCGCCCACGGACATCAACACCTCCGCCGTGATTGAGTACGCCGTCGCCCACCTCAAGGTGAAGCACGTCGTGCTGTGCGGCCACTCGAGCTGCGGCGGTGCCGCGGCAGCGCTCTCGGACTCACGGGTCGGCGGTGTCCTTGACACTTGGTTGACGCCCCTGAAGGCGGTGCGGTACTCGCACTCTGACGAGCTGAACTCCATCCGCGATGACAAGGCCCGCGCGATCCGCATCGCCGAGCTCAACGTCGAGGCGGGCGTCAAGGTGCTCATGGCCAACTTCACGGTGCAGGATGCGATCCGCGACCGGGGGCTCGAGGTCCACGGATGTCTATTTGACATTGGCAGCGGCCGCATTAGAGACCTGGGAGTCGGCAACGCTGCGCTGAAGGGGCGCATCCCGGGTGGAGAGGAGATTGTCCGAGGCAAGCATGCCACGCTTGTCTTCCGGGGCGGGAATGCATCCATGGCTGCGCAATGAGGCGAAAAACGGGAAACGGGGACTACTCAAGTAAGGCGTCACAGAGACTTACGAGGCGTAAATATGGCGACGGAGCGACTGGTGTTTGGAACACATACATACTCATACCCACCTACATACTTGATTGAGGCAGTGCCTCTATTTGGAGTACGGAGATCATTGTTACAGCATCACATCATGATGACTACCTAGCGGGATTGGAAAGTGTTTTCTTACGAAATGTTCAGCGTGTCGTTGGGAGGTCATATCAAATTGGAAATGAACGGAAAGCCTTGGGCTCAGGAATTTGTTTTAAGTCACGAACCATCAAAATAGGATATCATCTCAAATCAATCTGGAATCAACTCAGGCTGTAGCCTGCCAGTCTCCAACTGAAAACAACATCATTCTTCATCTGCTTCACAGGTATGTGCTTTGCCAAGAGCTCAACATGATTTCTCCTCCTCCTCCTCCTCCTCCTCCTCCTCTGGTGAGAGACAACGAACCCTCTTATCATGCCTTTAGCACAACAGGATTCAATGGTTGATTGTGAAGGGTCTCCTTGTGATGGCATTGGCTAACATAACCGTTGCGAAGGCCGAAGACCCCGAGCCAACCCCGCCGATCCAGACCTTTAGCAGACTTAACCCCGCTACGCCTCGATTCTCTGCCCCTCCATCGCGATTGCCCACAATAAGCTCCGGCTCGGAGCCGATGAGTAAGTTGCACGCCGGGCATCCTGACGGGAGTCAATAGGGGACGGGAGACGGGAGATAATTCAGACTGGATTCCGGCGGTTCCAGTTTTTTTGGCGACTTCGTACAAACAACACACGCCATCGCAGTGACGTAATCAGATCGCTTTTACTACGCTATAGGGAAGATCCGTGGTGGGCTGACTGGACTAGACCTGCTAGATTTTCGGTCCTCCTTCTTGTCCAAAAGCCCTTTACGCGAGGGGCTCCATCTTGGCATCTAGACTGGCCTTGACTGGCCATCGGCCATTGGATATATCACCCGGTCCTTTAGCCCCCGTATACATAGCTATCTATGCCTAGACATCTATCAACTTCCGAATTGTCTCGTGAGCTAAGGTCGGGGAGAGGGAACGTGAAAGCTTCCTCTTTTTATATATATCCATCTGGCCCCATCTAAAAGTGCCGCCTGGGCTTGGCTCCTCTACTTGACTCGCCATCGAAGAAATCAAGCTCTCTTGTCCTCCTGACGACAAGAGCTTCCATCTCCACCTTCCGTCATACTAAGCACTCCGGCCAAGAGAGTGGCGTCTGGGCAGCTTACGTATCGACAAAATGTCTCTGTCTGTCCTCACAGACGTCCAGATCAGGGCCCTTCTGGAGAACCTGACCGCGGATGAACTCGAGGGCTTTCGCAACTCGCTGAAGTCGGCGCTTCATGAGTATTCGACGGGCACACAGTCGATCGAGGATGGATATATTCACCAACCGCATCGCACAACTATCTCCTCTGCAAAGACGGGGACGACCACTCTATTCATGCCGTCATGTAGCACTGTTGGTGTCGGCATCAAAGGTAAGGCTTATAACTTTATTTATATCCTACAATGGCCTAACATATACCTAGTCATAACACTCAGCCCTCCCCAAAGCAAGGACGCAAAAGACACAAAACCAAATGTCCGGCCCACAGGCGCCATCACCCTCTTCTCAGAGACCGGCGCCCCGGTGGGGATCCTGCACGCGAGCACGCTGACGGCCTTCCGGACGGCCCTGGCGTCGGCGTGCCTGCTGGTCAAGCGCCAGCGGGTGCACACGCTGACCGTGTTCGGGTGCGGCGAGCAGGCCTTCTGGCACGTCCGGCTGGCGCTGATGGAGCGCGGCAGCACGATCAAGCACGTCAACATCATCAACCGCCGCTTCAGCGACAACTGCAAGACGATCCTGCAGCGCTTCTACAGCACGCCCGCGCACATCAAGGAGCGCGAGGGCTGGAAGGACGCCACCTTCAGCATCCTGACCCCCGGCTACGGCGAGTACCAGCGCCTCCAGCGCGAGCAGATCCGCGCCGCGGACGTCATCTTCTGCTGCACGCCCAGCACGCAGGCCCTGTTCGACGCCAGCGTCCTGACCAACCACGAGGGCCGTAAGAAGGGCCGTCTCATCGTCGCTGTGGGGAGTTACACGCCCGAGATGGCCGAGCTCCCCGTCGAGCTTCTCCAGCAGGCTACGAAGACACATGACGGCGCACATCGCCACTACCACAAGCATGCGCCCGAGGGCGGTGTCATCATCGTCGACACGCTGGACGGGGCGATGCACGAGGCAGGAGAGATCATCTCTGCGGGGCTCTCGCCGAAACAACTCGTAGAGTGCGTATGATATTTCACACTGAGGGCCACAGATATACTGACACGAGACAAACCAGACTCGGCGAGCTCGTCATGCTGCATAGAATCCGACAAGACGAGAGCGAGATGTCAGACGCCAGCAGCCTCAACAGCAGCAGCAACCTCAGCGCCGACTTCGACAAGCTAGAGGTCAGCTCCAATCCCTCGTCCATGTCCACGGTGTTCGGCTCGACGTCCGGGTCCGAGACGCCGGCATCCCCAAGCAGGACATCCTCGCCGCACCGGCGGAGCAACAGCGGCTTCTTCCACAGACGGTCGTCCAGCCAGGGCCCGTCGTCGTCCGAGCGCCAGAAGACTAAGGATGACCATCTGGCGCGGTGGCTGACGTACGGAAACGTCGTCTACAAGAGCGTCGGGCTCGGGCTCATGGACCTGACGGTCGGCATGGACCTCATCCGCTTCGCAAAGGACAGGGGCATCGGGAGTCATATAGAGGGGTTCTAGGAGAGCCACCGCCCGGCTCTGCAGCCGACCATGTCGGACAGCTTCCCATCGGTGGAGTTAAAGTAGAAGGAAGGCAGGCAATGAAGCGTGCCGTATCTATGAAAAGGGAGGCAAGGCCCAGCCCTGCGTGGCGGGAATGATTCAACGCGTTTAGAGAATAGAGGACATCACTTCATAGCATAAAGCAGAGGAGGCAGGACAGTCTTCTTCTTGACTTGATTTCTAGCCGTTTCACATAATGAATAATGCTACATGTTGAAAGAATTACATCAAGTTCTCCCCCCATTCCCCCAACATCAGATTTACTCCGCGACCCACACGGCCGCCATGCCCATGCCCGTGCCGACGCACATGCTAGTAACGCCAATCTTCTCGCCGCGCCGGCGCAGCTCGTACAGCAGCGTGGAGACCTGCCTGGCGCCCGTGCAGCCGAGGGGGTGGCCGAAGGCGATGGCGCCGCCCTTGGGGTTGATCTTCTCGATGGGCAGGCCGAGCTCGTTGGCGCACCACAGACACTGCGACGCGAACGCCTCGTTGATCTCGAAGATGTCGACGTCGTCCTTGGTGATGCCCGTCAGCTCAAAGACCTTGGGGATCGCCTTCCACGGGCCGATGCCCATCAGCAGCGGCGCGACGCCCACGACGCTGGCGGCCACGAACTTGCCCAGCACGGCCTGGCCCAGTCGCTCCGCCGTGCTGCGCTTCATCAGCAGCACCGCCGCGGCGCCGTCGCTGATCTGCGAGGCGTTACCTGCGTGTATGCTGCCGTCCTTGGCGAAGCTCGCCCGGATCTTGCCGAGTGACTCGGCCGTCACGCCGGGCCGCACGCCGTCGTCCTTGTTTACCACGATCTCCTTGGTCTCGCCGGACTTGGGGTCCTCAAACTTGACCTTCAGGGGGTGGATCTCCTCGTTGAAGAGACCGGCCTGCTGCGCCGCCGCGGCCTTCTGGTAGGAGGAGGCGGCGAAGGCGTCTTGGGATGCGCGGGAGATCTTTCGGTCTTGTGCCATCTGCTCGGACAGGACGCCCATGGGCACCTTGCAGTTGGCAGCCTCAGGATGAGACTCAAGAAGCTCAGAGAACTCTGTCACGGCGCCAGGGCTATAGGCAAAAGCGTCAGTAGTCTATCATAGGATGGTCCAGGAAAGGCTGTAGCTCTTACCCATACTGTGTTGACATGCTCTCGACACCAGCACCAATACCGACCTCAATCATGCCAGCCTTGATCTGGTTTGCCACGTCGACACAGGCCTGGAGACCGGAAGAGCACTGGCGGTTGAGCGTGCGCACGGCGGCGGTCTCGGGGAAGCCGGCAACGAGGGAGGCTGCCCTCATCTCGGTGGCACCGCCGCCGGGTGCGAGGACGGTACCCACGCAGATATCCTCAACCAGACTGGGGTCGATCTTGGAACGCTCGATGAGGCCCTTCAGGGCACCAGCGACCAGGTCGGCAGCGGCGGTGTCCTTGAAGCCGCCCTTGCCGCCCTTGGTGAAGGGTGTTCGGAGACATGCGGTCACAACGATCTGTTCGGGAACAAAGAGAGGTTAGCTATTGCTACACTTCCGGCGGTTCCTGGGAATGGGTGGTAAGCCTTACATCGTCAGGATGCTTCTCCAGCAGCTTGTCCTTGCCCGTCTTGGGGCTGGACAGCTGGCTTCCAATTGATGATAATCTGTCGAGAGCTGCCGAGGGTTGCGAGGTTAGTCTTTTGTTGCGAGCAGAAGGCAAGGTCGATGCCACTTACCACCCATTGTGAACGTGTCTGTGTTGGAGGATGAGGGAGGAGGATAGATAGACAGAAGGGACTGCAGGTAGTTCGAGTCGAGTCGCAGGTGGTTTCCGTGATGTTTACTACGCACGGAAGGGTATCTTAGTTAAAACGGCGGTGTTGAATATCTAGAGGAGAAGGAGGAAGCAGAAAGATGACCTCGGGAAGTCTGACGAGAGACAAGAGCAGGAGGAGGGCGTGTCTTTTCACTTTTACTTAGTTGGTATGTATGAACGGCAAGGTTGCCCTGCTGCCAGCTGCCCTCTCGGTGCTTTGGTGCTCACCTCAGAGGCCGTGCCGAGGCATTGGCGGGGGAGGACCGCTGGCCAGTAGCACGCCGAGATGCAATCCGCCCTAGCGCCACCCGCATGCAGTGGGGATTTCACCCTAACAGATTTCTCAGCGGGCGCAGAGGCTCTCTTTCACATGCCAACACACCCCCAAAATGCGCCGCTTGCTGCTTCATTCGCCGTCTCCGGTGCAGATTTTGGGGTGCTCGGGTGACCCCCTGCTCGAACCCCACAGTGCTACCCCATTGGCGCCGGGGCTCTGTATTCTGCGTCATCCTCCGTAGTTGGGTTCTTAAGTCTTTCTCATGTGCTTATGAGCCGCCACGGCTCTGTCCAGGTAGGCGGCCCTTCACATGACCGGAGACTTCCAGGTCTCATTTGTTTACTTAAGCCGCCGCTCCGGTAAGATCTGACGACCATGCATGCACGATAGCCTACTAAATGTAGAGACTCTTGTCTTTCAAACAAACACGGCAAAGGAATTGAAGCGGCTATGAAATGGACCGTGGTGGGTGCCCGCAGGTCACTTGCCATTGCTAGAAAGTTGATGATGATGATGGGGGGTCGTTCATGATTAGTGATTATTCCATTCAGCTATCTTCCTTTGGGTAGCCCTCTTGACTTTCCATCCACCTCTCCCTCTAGCCATGATCCCATCACAGCGTGGTTGGCCTGTTGGTTGGCTACACCTTATCCCTCAGATTCCGCAGCTTAGGATCCGTGTCGACCTCCAGCACGTCCCGCAGGTTGATGTCAATTCCTTCCGCCTTGAGTCGCTCAGTAAGCTTCATGACGCAGTCCCTAAAGGGGGTCAAGCCCACACGTTAGAATCCTCGTGTCTGCAGACTCTCCTCTACCCCGGATGAGCAAAAGCCTCACATGAACTCCTCGTCTTCCGTCTCGTCCCCGTTCTCGCCCAGCGCGAGCCGCGCAGCCTCGTCGGCCAGGTTGATAATATCACGCAGAAGCTCCTCTGATCGGCTCCTCGGTGCCATTTGTGTCTGAGATGCGTTCACCTGGCCGAGAGCGCTGCTACTACTGCTCGGAGAAGGCCCCGTTGCCACATTGCTCGCACTTCCGCTGGCACCACTCTGTTCTACGGCTGAAGCTGAGCGGACTTGAACATTCACCTCCCCATCCACCCCATTGATACGAAGCTTTGTGGTTGCCGCTGACGGGCCCGCCCCAGCAGGGGCTGCAGGAGGCTGCAAAGTCGGTGGCGGGCCAGTTGCAACCAGATTGCGCAAGAATTGATTAGCTTCCTCAGAGCCGTCCATAAGCCACTTGAGACATAGTTGAACCCTCTCTCGTGCGTAGCGGTTGTTGTCATCATATGAGCAGCAATTCAGAAGCGCTACCATGCCCTTATGCTTCAACACCTGCTTCTGGACCTCCGGATTGCCAGGACTCGAACGGCCTGGCGGTGGCTGTAGCAATGAAGCTAATATTTGCAAGATCTGACCCTTGATACCAGCCCACGGAAACTTGTAGGCAGGATCTTGAACTGGTGGCGGTGGCGGTGGAGGCGGATGATCCGCGCTGCCATCATAAGGTCGTTCGACGATGGGCGTGGATGAGTTAGAGTCAGTGGAGCGGTTGGCAGAACGGTTCGGTAGCTCAACAAGAGCCTTCTTAGCAACGCCAGTCTCCAAGCCCTGTAGCAGTGCCAAGAGATCGTAAACAGCTTCCCATTCGACCAGCTTCGATCGAAGGTCGTAATCGTCAGTCACCGCTGCGAGAAAGTCGAGGAACTGCGCCAGCCCATCTTTGGCTCGCTCCATATCCCAGGTGTCCACGGGGAAGTCCGCTGGGTCAAGTTGTTCGTTCCGAATTTGACCTTGTAGATGCATGAGAGCAACGCACTCGGGCACTATGCGACTGCGAAAGGAGCTGAAGAAGAAATGAAGTAGCTTGACGGCTGCAAGATTCTCTTTAGACTCCTCGGGCGGTGGGTTCTTTGATCGATCACGGAACATGGAGCTGACGAGTCGAAGAAGTACCGTCTGAGCAGGTGAGATGATATCCTTAGGAATCCGTAGCGAGTTCCAAGCGTAAGGTATAAGTGCACTGTGATGGATTGCTTGAACAATCTGGCTCGTGATCTGGAAGATCAGGGACTGCTCATCCTTCTCCCAGACTGCAATGAAAACGAGCATTTCGCGAAGGAGGCTCTTGCCGCAGTCAAGGGCGAGAAACATCCTACATCTCGTCTTCTGCAAGTTTTCTCCCGCGCGAGTCCAACCGCTCCCGGCTGCGTCAAAGATGCAGGACTTCACGATCATATGTAGCGCCTCAATTTGCTTGGGATCCAGAATGTTGGGAACCTCTGTGAGTAGCCCGGTCATCGGGCCCTCTCCGTAGGACTCATCATCATCCACATCGTCTTCATCCGCCAAATCGTCGACATAGTCATGCGCGTAGTCCCCAGGAAGAGCAAGCTCGCCGTCTTCGATATGGATATGCTCGTGATCATGTTCGTGATAGTGATGGTGATGGTGGTGGTGATCATGATCATGGTCGTGGTCGTGGTCATGGTCATGGTGATGATGATGGTGATCGTGCTCATTGTCGTGGTCATGGTCGTAATCATGATCATGATCCCGAAAATGATGCGAATATCGATGGTTGAGATTCGTCTTGCAGTTTTCAGTCCGTGCCTGGGCAAACTCGACTGACGGCATGGGGACCACCCAGCCATCGAAGTTTGCGTCTCGTGCCTTAACCCACCACATGTCAACCTCCCGAGACACACGGCCATACCGCTTATCTTGCTCAAACTTGTCTGTCTCATCAGGTTTCCATAGAGGATTAATCTTCTCAGTATCCTTCGGATCATCTGCTCTGACCTTGACGGTGCCTTCAGGCAGCCAGTTCCACGCCAATGGGGATATTGGGGCCAGAGTTCCCGGCGGTTTGTGGGAATGGTTCTCGGCATAGTCCTTGAGAAGGCGCCTAGCAGTGTCGCACATTGTAGAGTTCCGCTCTAGCCAGTGCTGCACTTCTGTCTTGGCCACATCTATCCGGAAGCCAGATCCGTCGCCCAGGCCGTCTTGAGGATCATCAAGAGCTGCGTCATCGTCGAAGAGCACGTCAAACCAGAATGACATTTTATTCCTGTCGTTCTTCGCGGTCCAGTTGTGCGCCTGTTGCAAAGACGTCACGAGTATCTTCTTGTCTACGTTCAATATTAGAATATGTCTTACAAGTCAAAAGTGAGCCTCGAATACTCACATAGATCGGTGATGTCGTTCAGCTTGAGTCTTGACTGATCATCCAGTATCTCACCGTCGTATCCCTTCGACGTGACATTTACACAAAGAATGATGGTCTGATAAACCATCTGATCGAAGTGCACGGCAGCACATAGATCCTGGGGTACCTCGGGCTCCGTGGTGACGAGGAGGTTTCGCGCGATGTGCATGAGCTTGTTGAGTATCTGAAGATCATCTTTCAAGCTCTGGTAGTTTTTGATGATGAGAGCCGTGCTCTCTTGGGGAGTGACACCTTTCTCGGGGTCATTCAAGCTCGACAAGGGCCCAACGGAACGAGTGGTCAGGTTCGGAATGGCAGCAGCAAATATCCTGGTCAGCCATATCCAGATCGCGACGTTTCTTGACAGAGCCTCGCGAACATCCTTGAAGCCGTGAGTTTTCTCCAATGTCCTCGACACCATGCTTGTGACCTTGGCTGTTGTGAGGGGCCCCATGGCAGGGGATTCTGTGTAGTGGCCCTCGAGACATATGAGAGCAGCACAGAAACATCGCTCTTCGATTGTCTCACGGGAACCGGAGCTTGGCCGGACATCGAGACTCTGGTCGATAGCTGTTGCAGTTGGCGACATCTTGAGAGACGGTTGGGAGGCAACAAGCCCTTCTATGCTCGCACTACCGTTCTATAGCTGGACAGCTAGGTGATGTGAGAGCTGTTGTCGATGAGATGAAGAGATGAGCAGAACAAAAGACCAAGCCAGGGCGACGACCATGAGAGTGGGATGAAAAGGGTTTGTAGGAGGTTGAAAAAGCAAATTTGCAGCTGCTTATTCTCCAGAGAGTGTAGTGTTTCTCCCTTTCACGGCGTGTCGACCTCTTTCTAGGACTTGATAGCGTTCTTCAAGTCGTCTTGAGGTGCAAGCCCGGTTTGCATGGAAATTTGTGGGTACAGCTTGGTCAGGATTTTTGACGGTAGGCTGGTACCTAGGTAGGAAACGGGCTTCTGCACGCTAACCTACGGCGTGAGAACCAGTAAGCACCAACCAATTGCAGCGCCTTTCAGCACCTCATGGACCCCTGCAAGTGCCCAGCGTTCGAAGAAGATGCCCCTCCATGGTTATCACGATAAGGCAAGTTTAGGCGCAATCGCGGGGTAAAATTTTCGACTACTGAAGGCTACGCCGTACACCGAATGCTGACTGCCGCCAGAAAGGAGTGAGAGGATTTCTAATAGTTCCATTCTTGTATATAAGTCTTATTCATACTTCTTGTACGCTTCTCGAAGAAGTCATCTTGTGTCATAAATCGTCGATCTAGAGCTATACATTGACAGCAGATACGCGGACACAATGGCCTCTCTCCCAGACCACTTCGACCGTAAGCTCGCGATACCCTCATCCTCCGCTTCCCACCTCGCCATAAGCCACAACATGCTAACCAATGCCTCCGCTGCCCAGGGCCCGTCCATATCGCCGTCATCGGCGGCACCGGCCTGACCAAGATCGATGGCTACACGCCCGTGGCGGCCATCAACCCAGAGACGCCCTGGGGCTTCCCCTCGGCGCCGATCCAGATCCTCGAGCACAACGGCGTGCCCATCGCCTTCCTGGCCCGCCACGGCCTGCACCACCAGCTGACTCCCCACGAGGTGCCCGCCCGCGCCAACATCGCTGCCCTGCGTCACATCGGCGTGCGCACCGTCATTGCCTTCAGCGCCGTTGGCTCCCTACAGGAGCACATTCGCCCCATGGACTTTGTCATCCCCGACCAGGTCATCGACCGCACAAAGGGCATCCGCCCCTTCACCTTCTTCGAGGACGGTATCGTCGGCCACGTCGGCTTTGCGGACCCCTTTGATGCCAAGATCGCCGCCGTGGTCAAGAAGTGCGCGACCGTCATGACTGGTGTGGGAAGCACGCTTCATGAGGGAGGCACGGTTATCGTCATGGGTAAGGAGACACTCTGCCTTAGCGGTGCGAACTTGCAGGAAACGGCGACATAACTGACAGCCCGTTCACAGAGGGGCCCCAATTCTCTACGCGCGCCGAGTCCAACATGTACCGCACCTGGGGCGGCTCCGTGATCAACATGTCGACGCTGCCCGAGGCCAAGCTCGCGCGCGAGGCCGAGCTGGCCTACCAGGTGATCTGCATGGCGACCGACTACGACTGCTGGCACACGACCGAGGACGTCGACGTCGCCATGGTCATGAAGTACATGGAGGCCAACAGCGTCAACGCCAAGCGCCTCGTCGGCGCCGTCCTCGACGAGCTGTCCAAGCAGGACCACAGCGACGTCGTCCTCGCCAAGCACTGGGCCGGCAGCGTCACCATGGCCGCCAAGTACATCACCAAGCCCGAGGGCCGCAGCCCAGAGGCCGTCAAGAGGATCGAGTACCTGTTCCCTGGGTTCTTCGACTAGAGTGCGTTGTATTTGCTGTTGGATTTTTGGATAATGGCATGCTATTAGAGGTAGCGCTGCAGGGTGTGATGACTTGTCCTGCAATACTTTTAGCAAGCGTCCATGAATCGAGCATCAACTGCTTGATAAGTATAGACAGACTGGGAAATTGGAGTTTCAAAATAGAGCAAATTATGGCTTTCTGGGAAGCCGGGAGGAGACAATCCTAGCAAGAAGCACATTACGAAGAGAATAGAACCTATAAAGGACTTTGGAAGCAGTTCATTGTATTCGATTCATCAATGATCATAACGTAATCAATGCAGGCGTCAAGTGGTATCCTACAATATCATAAAAGCCAACAAATACTCTCTAGGCCATCCTCATGCGCCAAACACCAAGCCGCCCTTGCTCGTAATGGAAGGAGCTTTGGCGCCAGAAAACAAGTTCTCTGATGCTCACATCAAGTGGTACAGTGCATGGACCCCCTTTTCCGCGGCGGCAACGTGCCAAGGCCTAACATCCGTCTCTCTATCCACGACCGATCTTGCCCGGGCAAGGGTTCCCAAGCCCCTGAAGTATGTGAGCATCTCCCGCAGAAGCAGCTCGTACACCCGTGGGTTGCCTTCACTATGGACGATGTTGACTTCCATTGCTACAGGGGGGTCTTCGGTTCGTGGTCCACCACGCTTGACGAGATAGCCACTTGCAAGAGCAGGGTTGAGCTCTACTAGGGATGAAGAGTTGTTCAGCCTATGGGAGACAACAGCGCCCCAGGTGGTGTCCGTGATGTCAACAAGGGTGGCCTCTGCGTCTGCTTCCGTGGCGTTGTTATCCCCGCCCGGTGTTGTAGCACTCGTAGCTGCAGCACCTCCCATAGGTGTTGGTGGATTGCCACTCTGTTCCGGGGATACGATAGAGGCTTGTGGGGTAGAAACAGGAGTCGTATAGAAGACAGATGACGCAGTTGCGGGCAGCTTGACCGTAGGCGGAATCAGCTGCAGAGACGGGTTCGTATCGACTGTTACCAGGGTCAGACTGATGGAAGCCTTAGACTCGGTTTGCCCAAGGGCAATCCAGAAGTCGATCTCCTGCTGGTCCATCGGCCCACACTTCGTGATAACAATCCGCCAATGAACTTTCCACATAGAAATAAGGTCGTGCGTTGTTTCCCAAATTTCATGTGCAACATCAGCCAGAGGGGTCGATAAAGCTTTTCCCTTTCGTCCTAGACAGTAAGACGCAGTCATCTGCTTGCTACCACAGTTGTCTGTCCAGGCGGCAGTGACCCATCGTTCATCCACACTTTGCGCATAAGCAATGTGAATGCAGGAGTTCTCCTGAAGAAGGTTGGCAGACGGGCTTGTCGTCAATTTAAAGTCTATGATTCTCGGTAATGGCTGTTCAAGAACAATAGACGGAGATGGCATCGGACCTCCAAACAGTGTACAGCGATCGTATGTTTCGAGGCATAGTCTGACATGCTCTGCCGGCGGAGGGATAGCCATCGATATAGCAGTGGCGAGGTAGTCCACAGGAATCAATTGAAGAGTTAATTCGTTCTGCACGGCTTTTTTCTTCTCTGCCAAGGCCCTCTTGTACATCTCGAAGAGACGCTGGAAGGCAGCACAAGACTCAAGTATCGACGCCGGGCTGTCTGGGATGTACACAAAGTACACGACAAAGTTCTTCGCTGCCACAGACAGATTGATGAGTGTATGGGCAAGTTTCGCCATCTGATCTATCAATGCAGATCCAAAACGCGAAGTCGACGAACTCGGAGACGCAGTTGTTTGATCCGCCTCATAAGGAACAAGTCCATTTGATATGTTGGCCGAGGACGGTAGTCGGTCAAAATTGCCTAATTTCATAGATTCATAAACACTACGCAAGCGATCGAGGAATATACTGGCGTTATCTGAGAGTCCGTCCCAAGCCGGAAAGGCGCAAATGGCATGAACATCTTTCGTCCCCTGAGAAGGTCCCAAGCCAAGGCTCTCCCAAAATCCCACTGCAGACGGCAGTACCGAGAGTTTGGTGTCGTGACGGCGAAGCTCAACGTGCGGAGCGGGTATTTGGAACATTGCTGGGCGTGTCTGCTCTACACCTCCAGGCGGTCGTGGTTGCATGCGACTTGGCTGCCCGATCAAAGGAACATCCTGCACTTCGATGAATGGGCGAAACTGACACTCGACAGCATCGGTCAAAGCAGGTGGTAGGATGCTCTGCAATACCTGAAGAGAGTTTCGTATGCCGGTTGCCAATTCTCGGCGGCTTTCCATCTTCCCAGAAATTTCTGTATCAGAATTGAGGCCACTAATATTCAGACGACCCGAGACGACCTGCTCAGTAAGAATTTGAGCTATTGTCATGAAATCGTCGTCCGAGAATGATACGTGTTGTAAGGTGGGCTCAGGTTCGGCAAAATATTCCGGAATGGATATCTCGGATGATTCGTTGTTCGTGATCTTAGATAGATCAACTGAACTTTGTCCGGGAGAATCTTCCAAGGCTTCCATATCCTTTAGAGATGTTGCTAATGACTCTCGATCATCTTCAAAACGTCTGCGTCTGACGACACTGGACTTGGTTGGAGATGATGGTTCGTCTGAAAAGTCGCTGCTGTCATCCTGGTCCGAAACAAGGCTGACTTCATCTGCATCTGAAGTAACCTCATCTAGCCTCCCAGGGCTGTGATGAAGAGAGCTGCTCTCAAGGTCACCAGTAATTCTCGCTATAAGAGCGCCCATATTAGATGGAAGATCCTTCAGCTTGCCTCGCCCCTTTCCATGTCGGCGGAAATACTGTGTTGTTGGAGGCTCTGTGGGCTCTGGGTGGTGCTTGCTTTCCTTCTCTGCATCCCAATGACAGTCGAACCGTCCACTATCCTGGTACTTGCTATTAAACAGAGATAAAGAAGGATCGAAATCAACTTTATCAAAAATACTACCACGACGCGGAGGCGCTTTCACTGCCACGGATTTGTTCGTATTGAAAGCCCCGAGTGAGGCCTTTACTCGTTTATAAACTGTATCCGGGTTGAATGGACTCGGTTGTCTCTTGATTCCACTTGATGGGCGGGGTGGGATATTTTCCTGGCGGTTGTCATCGATGAGGCTGCTTCTTGCATGCTTCAGTTCAGGCTTGGCGAAAACTGGCGAAGCAGGAACATCGTCCATCTTGATGTCTTCGACCTCCACATTTTTCTGTGTGAAATCATCAAGCTCGTGCCCAGCGTTTGCGGGTGGCCCTGATGTAGTGTCGATATCAGGCATCCCGGAAAGAGTGACATCCATAGAACCGGGCTCTTCGTCAAAGAAGTTGAAGTCGGCATCGGTAATGTCATTGTCACAAAACATATCCTCGCCAATGTCGCCGAAGAGGTTCTCCCCCTGTATGAGAAACTGGCCATTGCCTTGTTCCCTTTTGGATTCGTTCCCTTCGTTCGTATCGTTGCCATCCCATCCATCCGCAAAGACTTCGCCAGAGCCGCCAGTTGTAGTCATATTGACGTCAGGATCTGCGATTGCTGCTGTGTTATTCTGGTTGCCTGGACTAGAGACATTCCCATCGAATGATGGAGTGACTCCAACCGGGTTTTGTACGCCATCTGGAGGTGTTGGGTACATAGCACCAACGGCGGCGCCAGAGTTGCTTGCCCGACGAAGAGCCAACGGTGAGTATCCATTGGGGTGTTGCGAACGGTTCTCGTTTTCGGCGCCATCGCGTGACGGGGCTGCTTCTCTTTCTTTCTTTCTTTTGGCCAGAGTCTCTTCTCTCTCCCCATTCCCTAGATACCACATCTTTGCACTATCCAATGGATCGAATGTCTCGTTCACACCCGCCCAAACTCCTTCCGTAATGCTGTACGTCGACTGCCCTTTCCTCGGCACTTTTCTGAAGCACAGCACCGAAGGCCATAGGATACTCGAAGAGGTACTGATTACAGGTGTTCTCTTGCCGTCTGATTTCTGTTCAAGTGGCTTTCGTCGTAGAAACTGTAATGAGAGCCAACTCGAGTTACTGATGATGGCTGACGGTATTCCACGCACTTCCAACAATCTCGAGCACATACTGCGCCACTGAGCAGCTTTCTCATTCGATTCAGGTCTGAAGCGTGTGATTTGCGTATCTGGTGACGGCACAGCGCTGCCATCCAGTGACGGGTACTCACCACCTGTGATACCTTGGAAGGTCCCAAATACTCCTAAGGGTGCGGCAAAGACCACAGTCCCAGGACTGAGCAAATTTGAACGCAGACTATCAGCAGAGGAGAGTAGGGCTTTTGTGGTCGCTAATCGAAGACTAACAACGAGCGACCCAGCTGTTGTCACGTAAATTCTAAAAGTCAGTATTTTCGCAGTCGAGCGCGCTTGATCGGCGTCTTGAGTAGAAGATGCTGGAAGAAGCAGAGACCGTGAGTTGAGCGGTATCGCACCAGTCCTCGCCGAGAATAAAGAAGCGAGGCTTGAAAGCACGGACGATATGAAGTACTCGTACATCCCCTTCACAGGGGTAGCACTGTAGCTTTTCGCGTCCGATGGCACTAGAACACCCGTCTTGGAATCCCCGTCCACTGCACTATTCGCAGTTGGCAGAGGCGGAGGGGCACCGAAAGGTTGCCCACTCCGTGCGGTCGTCTCCAAGGCAGAATTGCTTGACGATGAGCTGCTTGGTGTGTTGATAGAACTGGCCCCAGGTGGTCGACTCTTCAACAGATTGGTCGGCTCAAAAGTTCCTTCCTCGACTAGCAGAAGCTTGCAGCCGCAGACATTGAGTTCAGCGGTGAGTATAGGCTCTCCTGACTGGCCCAGCCTTGATCCATCCTTGCCCGTGAGGTAGAAGCACCAGACTATTCGCCGAGATGAATCGCCATAAACCAAGTGTCCGCTGTTCCTCAAAGTGTTCTCAACGCCGGAAACCGAAGCCTGCGGAGATATTGGTTCGTAGACCTTGAAAGCGATCGACGAGACATTATTCTGTAAAACAGTGAAGAGTCAGCACTTTGTTTCCTCTTGATGTATGGGTCAGGTGCGTACAATTAATAGCGCATTAGTATCATATTCCCCGGCGTCCATGTCGACCAGCTCGCGTCAGAGGCGACGCGGCCCCGGCACAGGTATCCCCTCCCAGATTGTATGGCTGTATCTTTCCACTATACAGCAAGCTCCCAGCGAGCTGGAGATGACCTCGGGATATGCCCAGTCTGTCCACAGTGTGCACCGTCTCCGGAGGCCTGAAGTAACATGTAGCAAAATTCTGTTGTTGTAACTGCTGAGCTGCCGGACTCCATCTCAGCAGCCCGGGGATCGGGACTGACGGTAGATTGCAAGCGAACAGTCGATCGAAGCGAGGCGCACGACAATACACGCGTCGTTCGAAGCTAGGGTCTGCTGAGGTAAAGACGTACAGAGGTCTTGGCGACTGTGCGCCTTTTGAAAGCGCCAGCTAGGTGCTAGTAGCTCTCTTCGGTAGTAGTAAGCCTCGTGGCCGGCAGGATGAAGTGTTGACGATGTTCAATGCGACTGAGCGCGGAAAGCTGGATCTGGGATGGATGGAGTTCGGGCTAGTCGATGGGCCAGCCCCAGCGGGTTCAGGTAAGCCAGCAGTGGCCTGGCCCGCCAAAGACCCCGAACGGCTGAGCAGTTCGCTGACCAGCAGGGATTGAGACCCTCTGATAGGTCCTGGCAACAGCGAGCCAATGGTCGCATTTACACTGACCTTCAGCACGTAATGGTCCGCCCTAAATCGGCCCTAACAGAGCTAGCTCTCCATTCTGTCCTCCAAGATGCCCCACCGCTGTTCCAGTCTCTTGTCTTATCGATAAGCTTCCGTCAACTTTTTTTTCTTTGCACCCAAAAGAGTCCCCTCCATTTGCAGCCATTTTCGACACTCCGGATCGTGAAATTCTTTCTTTCTCTTCACTCACACATGTTTGCTCAGAGATGAAAGTGACAACTCCCGGGCTGGTGCCCGTATACACCATCGCCGGCGCCTCGACCGCACGGCCCCTTCCAGATTGGCTTGCAAGGCGGAGGAAGAGAAGTCTCAAGAATGACCCCGAGTTCGCCAACCGAGTCGAGCTGCTCCAGGACTTTGAGTTCGAGGAGGCCAGCGTCTGTGTCAGAGTCAGCGAGGATGGGAATTGGGCCATGTCGACGGGCACATACAAGCCCCAGATACACGTGCACTCCCTCGACCAGCTCTCCCTGTCCTTTGCCAGACACACCACGAGTCTGAACACCACTTTTGTGCTCTTAGGCGCCGATTACAGTAAATCGTTGCATTTGCAATCCGACCGAAAACTCGAGCTCCATACCCCCATGGGATGTCACTACGAAGTAAGGATACCTAGGTACGGGCGGGACGTTGTCTACGATCGCCATTCCGCTGAGGCTCTGGTGCCTGCTGCTGGCCTCGATGGTGAGGGCAGTGGGGAGGTCTTCCGGCTGAACTTGGAGATGGGGAGATTCATGAACTCTTACAAAGTTGACGTGGGTCAAGATGATGGTGTTGACATTGGACTTCAAGGAAGCGTCGACGTTGGCTGTGTCAACACAGCCGCAATTGCTGACACAAGTCACAATTTGCTGGCATTCGGCACAAGTCGGGGAACAGTCGAGTTCTGGGACTCGAGGAGCAAGTCCCGAGTCGCCACTCTTGAGAACCACGACGGAGAAGTTACCGCACTCGACTTCTCCCCCACAGGATTGTCTCTAGCTACGGGCACAAGCAGGGGAATTGTCTCCCTCTTTGATATGCGTCGGCCAGTGCCCATGCTTACTCGCGATCATGGTTATGGCTTTGCCATACAAAATCTCATCCATTTGAGGACCGCATCGCAAGAGAAGAAGATTTTGGCAAGCGATAAGCGCATTATAAAGATTTTCGACGAAGTTACCGGAGATCCTTGGACATCGATCGAGCCAATTGTTGAGTAAGTCGTCATCTTGATTCTTACATTCGTACTACGCTAATATAGACTTAGCCTCCATCATGTTGAATGGGTTAAGGACAGTGGCATGCTCCTCACAGCGAACGAAGGCAAACAGCAACACTCCTTTCACATTCCAGCTTTGGGGCCTGCACCTAAGTGGTGTACCTTCCTCGACAATATGGTCGAAGAGATGGCAGAGGAGATCCCGACTGAAACATATGATAATTACAAGTTCCTGACACTGCCTGAGCTTAAATCGCTCAGCCTTGCGCACTTGATTGGAAAGACCAACCTACTGCGGCCATATATGCATGGCTATTTTGTGGCCTCGAAGCTATACGAACAGGCTAGGCTGATTGCCAACCCTTACGTCTGGGAGGAAGAGCGCATGAAGCGTGTGAAGGAGCGTGTTGAGAAAGAGAGAGCCAGCAGGATCCGTGGCAACAAGAAAGTCAAGGTCAACCAGAAACTGGCCGATAAAATCATCAAGAGACAGGAGAACAGAGAAAAGGTGGATACCAGCGCCGGTGTCCTCGGAGACGACCGTTTCGGCAAGCTTTTCGAAGACGAAGAGTTCGCCGTGGATGAGACGAGCAGAGAATTCCAGGCTCTCAACCCGAGCACAAAAGTGGAGGGAGCACCAGGTGGTGACTACCAAGATCGGGTGTGGCGTGGTGATTCAAGTGATGAGAGCGGCGGAGAAGATGAAGAGCCTATTCGCTCGGAGCCTACAGTTTCAATGAAGGTCTCGTCATCAGAACAACAAGGCGGACGAAGCAAGGACACTGCACTGGGCTCTCGGGTACAGAAGAATGGGCGCATTGGCAAGACACGAAACAGCGACGTGGTCGGCGAGAAGTCAGTAACATTTGTACCGGAAAAGAAGAACAAGGAAACGCCCGAGCAGCCGCAATCGATTCGCAAGCGGTCGGATGGCCGCCGCAGCGCAAGCACCAACACCTTCAGGAGATTATAATACATTTAATTCATGGCCAGCCAAACTTTCACCGGTCGTCAATATGGATGCATCTGGACTCCGTCTTGCTACCCCGAAACACCGAGATGCCAATCCAATCGCTCTATTACACTCAAAAAGAAGACATGTTCATCGTCACCAGTCGGCTACTTCCACTCCTACTTGCGGCGAGGCATTTTGAACTTGCTCTTTACCTCCGCCTGGGCGAGCCCTTTCTCGAGATCCTCAGGCTTAAGGCGTGGGGTAGGCGGCACGTCGTCGAGCCTCACACGTCCGCTTCGACCTCTTGATGAACCCTCCTTGACTGACTTCGGGAACTCGCTTCGTCGTGGCGTAAGTGCCGTCACGACCTTCCTGGCTGATCTTCGCAGAGTCTCCCGCACTTTCCACTCTCTCTTCTTAGCAACGTAGAAGAGTACAGCTGAGGCAACTAGATATGATATTAGCAACTTGCGTCTGTACCATCAGGATACCATATCACTCACTTCCAAGGAGACCAACGACGACGACTACTACAATGATGGCTGCCATGGCACCATGAGATATCTCAACAGCCCCAGAGGTGCCTCCCGATGCACCAGCATCATCACCTCCGCCCGATGAGCCAGAGTTGGCAGTTCCTGGGGGAGCATCCTGTCCGCCGGTGTACGGGTCGAGAGTAGCGAGAGGGAAGGCAGAGGTGGTAGAGGTTGCCATGATGATTGTCGGCTGATGCTCGCAGAGCTACTATTCGGTCGCAGACCTGATATGTTGGTAATACTCTTACTTGAGTGTATCGAACCACAGTCGAACCACCTGGCAGGCTCGGATGTTAGGGAAGGAATGGAAGAATATGAAAGGCGGTCACACATTTGGAGACAACCGCTTGGGGACTGCCTGGGTATTATCTAGTAGACGCCCTTCCTTAGCAACTCGTTCGAGCCAAGCCTTTCAAAGCAGACGCCGAGTGGTTGTCTCGTCTCTCCACCTCTCTCTATCCGCTAGACTAATACCATGCTATGCCATGCTATACACCCACAGTCTCTCTTGTTCCCTATTCAACGAAAAGTGTTGCCCAGGAAAATTGTGACCGCATGTGCAGGGTAGCTACCCAGTGCATACCCATCCTCGTACCCAGACCCAGCTCGTCACCCACGCTCGCTCGGCATTCGACCGCCGCTAGGCCCCTGGTCTGGCTCTGGCAGTTGTGAAGTCGGCAGCAACTCTATCTCGCCGCACGGCGCCCATTGGGCGCACTGCAGTGCGAGTTGAAACCAAGCACATAGCACGCCCTCCATATATCCTGCTGCGCGGTCTGTCATTGGGCGAGCCGCACGTCCTCGAAGCGCTGGACACGGGTGGGCGCTTTCACACGCTCCCCATTGACAGACCCCTGCCCTGGATGCCCCTGCAGCAGGGTGCTGAAGCGGCCAATGACAGGGCCCGGCGCCAGGGGTCGACAGCGGCATGGGGAATCACATTTAGCACATCTGCTCCACCAAATGCACGCGCCGTGCCTCCTCCACACTTCCAATGTTGACTACTACCGTGGTGACATTCACTCACTCAATTTAGATTGTTTGATTGATTGACAAGACGACGACCACCACCCCTCTTCCTCTCTCTCTTGCGGGTCTTCCTACATGCTTCTAATCTATGCCGGGCTTGGATCATTGTTGACGGTCCTGCGGGTGACATGCTGCCCAATATGCGGGTGCTTCCTACCCGTCTTATCGACTGCGATATGAGGTGATCTGTGATATACCTCGTAGAGTGCCAAGGGCCTGGGAGATCAACGACGAGCCTGCTCAGCCACACTGCTCACTCAAGTGGCCGCTCGCTGCTAGCGAGGTGTCAGTTGCCGCCGTCCGCGATCACGTCAAACAGGTCGCAATGCCAGAGGGCAAGCATCGTGGCTTCATTCAGGTCGAGAGCCTCCCCAACTATGTAGCAATCTGCCTCGCATCCGCCCTATATGAGGCCCGTTCTGAAGAGCGGCCGACTAGCACGGCTTGTCTCACTCTAAATGTTATATTGTCATTGTGATCAATCAAGTAACCTTGCTATGTAGCATTTAATGTTCTATTTCGGGACCGCCAGGTCTATGGCCTGGCATGAGGCTTCTCGAAGACCAGTCGACGTCTCCACGAGTATTTTAAGCATCAGGTTCCCCACAGTCTGAGCTTGATTGCACTTATCTCGATGGCCTCGTCATGTCTCGACCCGTCTCGGCCGGAGCAGTTGGGCTGCTGTTCGGTTCCGTCCACGGCTGACTTACGTTCCGGCCTATTTCTAGTACGGCGGCCCGGGTTGCTACCTAAAGTTATGTCGGAAAGACATTCAACAACAGCCATACGACATGCCTGCCGAGGAGATACTCGACGGCAGAGTATTGTCACGGAGTCTTCTCTGCTAGTCCTAAATTTGGATTCGGCCTGGTGACGATCAATTGGCTCCTCGAATTAAAACCACTCTTGCTGGTAGTTACATGATGTTTACATCAGGAAGTCCTATATAGGAACATTTTTGAAAGACTGCGTTGAATTGAACAGCTAGCTACAGTTAAAACATGGCAAAGCCAAGTATCTAGTAGTTTAGCCCATGGTGGCCCAAATTGCAAACAACGTATACCTCAAAGTGCACAAGCCATTTCATGCCTCACTCGACTTCTAAATTGGCTATGATGACAGCACTGAATTCCATGGATAGTGATGGTAGAAAGACAATGAGTGTAACCTTGCAAAGACATTAATTATGCTCGATGAATCTTGATTTGCATCTCCCACTGTGCGTCAATGAGCCTGACAATTCCTAACCACTACGGTGGCTCGACCACTTGATCGAACCCCGTGCTACTGAAGAACATTGAGCTCCTGTGAGTCTCCTACGACGCTCGTGCTTCGCCGGTGACGATGATCACTCGACTGTGGATATAACACTCTTGGAGATCCGTCTGAGTCCTTGGAGCTGTACGTTCTCAGGCTTGAGGTGCGGCTCTCTGATGGCGGGTTGGATAACCTCGCATGTGAAAGATTATGGATGCTGCTTTGCTGGCTGTCACTAAGCTTGATCTTTTTGTTCACTCGAGGCGTCGCCGTTTGTATAGCTGATGTGTTCACGGTCGAGGATTTGTTGACAATCGCCTTCCTTCGAGAAGAAGTTGGGCCATCCACCTCAAGTATGGTTTGCCTGAGCAGCACGGGTTCTGCAATAGGCTCTTCTATTGCGTCGAGTTGAGTTTTAAGCCTCTTCGTATGTTCCGTCGTATCGAGTGTTGAACTGATTCTCTTGCGAGGAAGCGACTTTGATTGATTTATGACTTTGGCATTGGTCTCAACAAAGCCGCCACTCTCACTTATGCGATCTCTATTAGCTAGAGATGGCTTCTTCTTGCTTTGTGTTCCCGCCGAACTCCCTGAATTGAGGCCATTGCCTGTGACCATTTGGCTATGAATGCCACGGCTGAAGATACCGGAACCGGGGATTTCCGACATCTGGAGTAAACGTCTTCGTTCTGAGTCATCCTCAATGATAGGCACTCCATCGCTTGTCCTCATGATTCCCTTCGGACGTCCGCCTTCCCGTCGTCTCTCTTTCTCTTGCGCGATCGAAGGAGGCGTAGGCAGAATCAGATCCACACCCGGACTCTGCAATATCACTCTTCTATTGCGGTCCAACAAGTCCGGGTTGATGATCCCAGCGTTCAGGAGACCACTCAACGGCATAGGTTCCTCACGATTCGTGTGTTCAGTATAGGTTTGAACATCAGGAGTAACGCCAGCTTGATCGACAAGCTTCTGAATCCGTGATTGAGACATAACAGAAGTCTGGGCCTTCTTAGAGTCGTCTTTCTGGGTTCCATAATGATGTATGATCGTTTTGTGCATCATTTGCAATTCTCGTAGCTTTTGAAACCGCGGGATTTTGACTACATGTTCCCCCTGGTCATCATTGCTCTGCAATTGACTCTCTGATTTGCCAATACCGTGCTCAACTTTGGTCCACTGCTTCAAATCATTGATCAAGTCCTGTGCCTCTCTCTCATACACCTGAGAATCTTCTGTCAACTTGGCTAAGTTTTGTTCGGCCTGTATCAGATCTTGTTTCAGCTGGCTAATCGTCGATTCATTGTGCTTGTTCGTCTCTGCGTTTTCCGCGAGCCTCTTCTTCTCGTCTTCAACAATAGTTGAGGCTCTCGACTCAGCGTTTGCAAGATCTGACCGAAGAGTGCGTATCGCCTCAGCTTCGCAGCAGTCCTTCTCTCGCAACTCGGAAATCATCCTCTTTGCATCATCAAGCTCTTTGGCCAATTTGTCGCGGTCGCTCTCTGCTTCATTTGCACGCCTCTGAAAATCTTGCTTCGTCTGTTCCATGCTTGCCGATACTTCTCGCACAGCCAAGTCGACAGCCTGGTCTCGGGCTTTCTGTGCTGCATTCTCTCGCTCTCCCAGGAGACGAATAAACTCAAGCGCATCCTCCTTGTGGTTCTGGATTTCGGCTGCAATTTCTTGGTCTTTCTGCTGGAGACTCGCTTGAAGCTTAGAGGTCAGCGAGCTCTTAGAAGCGAGCTCTTCTTTGAGATTGTTTTTCCCTTCTCTGAGGGCCTGAAGCTGTCTGAGAACATCCGGGTCGTCCCGTGGCGAGTTCTCCAGCTGCAGGATCTTGGCTTCTAGCTCCTGGATCTGGTTCTCCCCTTGAAGAGCATGTTCAGACGCTTCCTTCAGAGCCGAGAATAAATCTTGGATTTCCACCTCCTTGTCTTCCACGGTTGTAGATAGGAGTAAGTTTTCCAAGGTCTTTCCTTCCAATTCCTGTCTCAGAGAAGCTTTGCTTTCAGCAAGGCATTTCCACACATCTCTCATATGGCCGTCGAGTTGCTGGGCGAGCTGATGCGCCTTTTCTGTGGTTTCAGATTGTGCACTAGCGACACTCTCGAGCTGTTCCAGTATTCTTGTTTGCAGGGTCAGCATCTCATCCAAAATGAAACTCCTATTACACTTACCTCGACGTCGTCTGGTTGTTTCCGACAACCCATTCGGAGAATATATCTGGCTGCGACTTCACCTCTTTCATGAGGTTGTCCAAACGATCTACAATCACAGAAAGTCTAGAATTCGTCACTATTATATTCCAAAGACACTTTTTGAATTACTTACGTAGCAGCTTGCCCTTCGTCGCTGGCAACTTTCTGTTCCTTCTGCCTTGTCTCGAAGTCGACGAGCTTCTTGGAGATCGTAGAAGTCTGGCTTTGAATTTCCTTGAGTTCGTCTTGACAAACTTGTTGTTCTGCAAGTCGCTGTAGCAACTCCTTAATTGTTTCCTTGTCTCGGGCCAACTCCGAGTTACGATCTCCGAGCTGTTGCTCCACTCCTTGCAACTTTCCACGGACTATCCAGTATTGAGTAGCTGCGGCAGTAATTAAGGAAGCAGATGGACCTACAATCTAATTCCAATCGCTTGGTTTCGGCGATCGCGTTGGCTACTCGCTGTCGCATATGGTCTTGTGCCGCTTCGGCCTTTGCTTTTTGTTGCTGATCAAGTGCTGTGCTCTGGAGCTGTTCAGCGCGCAATTTGTCAACAGCGTCTTTCATCTGTTGCTTAGACGCCTTGTACAATTTTTGCTGTTCCTTGATTGCGTCATTAAGAAAATCCTTATAACGCCGACATTTTTCTTCTAATTCTCGCAAGCCAGACGATCGGTCCTCCAATTCCGACGACTTGTCGTCGAGCTGCTGCTTCAACACGTCGCATTGCTCTGACAGCTGTTCGATTTGTTCGTCCCTAGCCTTGGCATCGGCTTTGTATTGATTAATACGTTGTTTCTGGTCTTTAGCGATGCCAATCAGCTTCTTTCGTGCCTCGGTGACCTGCTCTCCTTCTCCACGAGGCTTGCTCATTGCTTCATTCATGAGATCGGCATAATGGACTGCCATTTGTCGTCTGTATTTCTCTTCAGACCGCGTCTGGTTCAACATCGACGAATCGAACTTGCGAATCGCCGAATCCACCCGGTACGTTGAGGTTGTCGACGCTTGAGATGGAGTTGCCTTCCTCGAAGTGTTCGAGGTGTACACAATTTGACGCGGAGGAGTTGCCGCATTCTGTTGCATATTCACACGCCTCATCGGTCTCGTCATCGCTAGCTGTTGATTTTGGCGTCGCGGATGTCTTTGATGATGTTGATCGCTCGATTGAGCGGACGAGCTTCCACTGCTCAGATCTCCACGCGACATAAATTGAGCAACGTTGTCGCTCTGCAAAGCGAGGGAACTTGGATCATGAGGTTTCTTGTGCTTGGTCGCCGATCTCTGTTTGGACTCAAGACGATTAGATGTTGCTTTATTCGTCTCTCTTAGAAATTCAGGAGCGACTGATTGCGGGGGATGTGGAGGGGCCGGTTCTCCTTGAGAGTGAACTTGGGTGCTGACTTGCTCCTTGGACGGAGCAGGTGCACGAGGTCGGGAAATTGGCTCATAACCCACGATAGGCTTCTCGAGCGGTTTGATATCTGATGATTCCAGAGAGCAAGCTACCACAGGGCGGTCTTCCGTCGGGCTAGATGAGCCATCGTTTAGGTGCGGTAGCTCTGGAGAAGCTTTCGGATCCTTTGCTGCGTCTACCGATCGAGCAGGAGAGATATGTAAAGTCATATCATGACTGTCATGCATGACCAAGCTTTCTGGGATGTGCTTCTCCTCACCAGCAACATCTTGTTCAGCGAGATTTGACGATTCACCAGTAAATTGAGATGCATGACATTTCGGCATCGCCTGCCCGGTGAACTGGCCAGGCCGGATCGGCACAGGTTTGCCGAACGTGAAGCCCGATGTAAGCTCCGCGGTATCCAGCGACCCCTCCGGACGGGAGAAACCGTTATGGCGTGGTAAAGCCTTGGATTCCACATGGTCTTCCGTGAGCAGCTGCGAATCAATATAGCCGGCAGAGTCTTGAGACTCTGGCAGTGGCTTCATGGCGTTGGCCATGATGTCTGAATTCTGGGAATTGAGACCACAGACTGGACTTGGTGGCGACATTGACGCTTTAGCCTCTATAGAGACGGTCGCCATACCTACGATGTCCAGAGAGTTAATCGATTCAAGGCTCTGGCAATGTCAGCAGAATAGTAAGCTGCCTAATGACCGCAAGTGGTGATTAGACCCCGGAATGTACAGTTTCCCTTTCCATATGCAGGAGCTTGCTTGGACGAAGACGAGAAAGAAAAAAGAAGACTAATTGCGGTGTCAACTGAGCTGACGAGTCGCAACCCACTGGTCTGGCCAGCAGACGAAGTTTTCCCATGAGTGACAAGAAAGAAAATGAAGTTTGTGAGGGCAGGCAGTGCTGGTGCCTAAGTCATGGCTGCTGCGCTCTTACCTTGACGGGAGTAGATATCAAGGAAGGTACAAATGGGGAGCGTTTCGGTACGATAGGCTTCCCCAGGAAGGCGGGGAGCAAGTTCCGAAACGCACCTCCCTCTTCGAATAGAAGCTCGCGAAAGTGCCTAATCGGCTGCCGCTCTTTCCCAAGCAACCGATGTATGAGCACATTCAAGCTAGGGACCATCATCGAAATGAGCATGACGCCATGCCTATACTAGGTAGATTGTCGATGTCTGAAATCGCTGGAATGAACCATGTGTGCTGATGAAGACGACTGCGCAGCAGATGTCATCGAGCAGATCAGCCAGACGACCACGGCATTACGGCCTTGTCAACAAGTCGCACTGGAATAGCAAAAGTTTAAAGATGCCAGCATGAAGAAACTGGCTCGTCAACGTAGAATTGCCAGACTGTGTCTGCTAGAAGTAATTGGTTTGGTTCTGTATTGGATGAAGGCCGAGATGTTGATATGGTGCCCTATGTTGGGGTATGTGTATCGTACAGGTTCATCCTTGGCAACCTTCTTACAAGATCTCACTGAAAAATTCCGCCCAAGAGCCTCCAACTCCCAAAAATGAATTGGTTCATTGTACATGTGGCTTTCACACCCACTGCGCGTGCCTCCTTAATGTAACATGGTGTCGGTTTTTGCGAACATCACGGCCATAATCAGGTTGAAAAATCCACGTGCTTGATATATACAACGGTATAGCTTGACTATGTCGTCATCCGTAAGGAATATGGCCACCTTATTTGCCTTTTCGTTTTTGTTCGAGAAATAGAACTTTGCGTCGCACTGCCAATCACAAGTTAGCCAAGGTATTCATCGCAACACAATCAAACCACTTGATAAACGTTTAAACAGCATAATTGCATAGGTAATGCGCCTTACCGACAGGGTCGTACTTGAGCAAGCTCAGAGGTGTTGATGTTCGAGGTCTCGAGAAGGTGTAGAAGAACCCGGTCATGGCCATCGAGATGAGCCGCACCGAAATGACGCGGGATTTTGCTGAATGACAAAAGGGTTAGCAAATGCTATAACAAAATCAATTAGTCAATACATACCTTTCTTGGCCATTTTGGCGGCTTCGAGGCACTATTGTAGAAGCCAAGAATAGCTATCGTGATCTTCAAAATTTCGAGCTCTTGAGGTTGACCACCGCGAGACAGGCATTGCCGCTAGTTCCCGGCACCTAAGCACGTGGAAAGTCACGCCACAGCGCGCCCTTTTGGCGATTACCTGTAGCGTCACGATTCGCGTCCTCCTATCTTATCGCTGTTTCAGCGCTTCCGTCATCGAAGACAGCATCACTCTCATCTCTTGAAATTTGAATTTAGGTCGAGACATCTGCAAATATGCCTGAGATCGCGGAAAGTAAGTCATTTTAGTATGCATCGTTGGATCAGATGCGATGCTGATATACATATGCTCAGTTGCGCGAGTGGTCCATTTCCTTCGCAAGCATCTGGTAGGCAAGAAGATTGCCAAGGTGCAAGCACCAGACGATGCGTCAATTTTCGGGAAAGTCGGCACCAGCGGCCCAGCTTTTGAAGCTGCGTTGAAGGGCAAGAAAGTTTGTGTTTATATGCCATAGTCTCTTGACTCATAGAATTAATTTCTGATCGTTGCTTCTTCTACAGGTGGTGTCCGCAGGCACCCAGGGCAAGTATTTCTGGTTGATACTTGATAGCCCTCCTCATCCGGTGATGCACTTTGGTATGACAGGATGGATTCACATCAAGGGTGATAAGACTGCAGATAGCAGCTACTACAAGAGGACGAAGCCCGAAGATGTTGAGGCATGGCCACCTAAATTCTGGAAGTTCCAGCTGGAGACAGAAGGAAACCCGAAAGTCGAGGTTGCATTCACAGATCCCAGGCGATTTGGTCGTATTCGTCTAGTTGACTGTCCGGGGGCCGAGATTCGGAAGAACTCTCCTCTGGTAGAGAATGGACCAGATCCAGTAATTGACCTCGATGTCTTCACCGAGGAATATCTACGCAAGAAGATGCAGAGTCGGCACGTACCTATCAAAGCTCTCATACTGGACCAGGCAGTCATCAGTGGCATAGGGAATTGGGTTGGCGATGAAGTCATGTACCACGCCAAACTTCACCCTGAGCAATACTGCGATGAATTTAATGACAAACAGATTAAGCAGCTATTCGAATCGATACGGTATGTATGTCAGACCGCTGTTGACAAGCTTGGAGATGCAGACGAGTTCCCTGGGGATTGGCTTTTCAAGCATCGATGGGGAAAGGGAACGAAAGGAGGCTCAACTTCCTTGCCTAACGGCGAAAAGCTTGCCTTTATCACAGTCGGCGGAAGGACTAGCTGTTACGCACCAAATATCCAGAAGAAAACTGGACATGTCCCTCCAGGCATCAAGGAAGAACCTCTGGAGGCTGCAGAAACCGGCAGTAAATCAACCAAGTCCAAGAAAGCTAAGAAAGAAGTCGAGGAAGATGTCAAACCAGCAAAATCTCGCAAGAACAAAAAAATGGAATCGGAGACAGATGATGAGCAGCCAAGCAAGAAACCCAGAACTCAGAAGGGTACTACCAAGGCTGTGGCTAAAGCGGAACCTTCAAAGAAGGCAAAGAACGAGAAAATGGTGAATTCGACACCAGATACCGGGCGGCGACGATCAGGGAGGCTCGCACGATAAGCGCAGAGTCATGCATCTGATCGGATTTCGCTATGTAAAAATATAGTTTTCAGTGGTGCGTTTAACCAAGAAAGCGTTGACCAGGAGTTTGTCTTAGGAAAATGATTGACTTAATATCCACATCATTGTCAATGGCTTCCGCAGAATCTTGTGACCGATAGCTATTGCCGTTTGATTTGCTCAATGTCTACACTTGCATTCTGCGTGACGGAAGAACGCTCTCATCGGACCAATTGCGCTAAGATGGTGTGCAAGCCTGGTAGCCATGGAGCCTTCACCAGAGCATGGATCGGTCCGTCTCGCAACTTACATCAAACAGCAACATCGTATACTGGAACTCTCGATTTCAACGTTATGGCTCCTACTTCTAAATATTGGTTGGGTGCAACTCTATGACAACCTCATAAATATGTGCCCACGGAGGCTTGCCCCCGTCCTACCAACCAGGCACTGGACAGCCCAAGGGTCAACCACCACACACAACCTATTGAACAGTTCTTCGTCTTCCAATCATTTTTTTCGAGTCACGTGTGATGGGTTGCTTCCCCCAGATAATGGCGTCGTGATGTGCCGGCTGGACAAGTGCCGGTGACATTGACATCGGCGAATTAGCTCATTGACAGCTAGCCTCACTTGAGGCAACTTTGACCACAACCATTCCAATATCAAAAACAAAGGACTTGTTTTTTGCATAGAAAACAACTCGTTTTCAAAGGCAAATTTTTCATCAGAGTGCAGCACATACCGGGACACAATAAAACGGACAACCCGCGATTTTGTCTGTGCTTTTGGTATAGGGATTAGTTGCTCAAGGCCCTGAAACGGCTAAAGATTTCTATGCTTGGCTAATATATCTCCCACAGGCAGAGTGACTCTACCAACTCTGATTCGCTCACCCGCATTCTACGATGTGCTGAAAATCTTGCCCATATGAAGAGCGGGACCTTTCGGTTCTCTAGTAGTTCCCCTCACCTGTTAATTAATGAGTGATCTTGGATGAGTGCGCCGCAATATTGGACACGGAGCAGCCCAAGGAAGACCCTTTATCCGTCAGCACCAACCGGGTGGAGAAACCTGGGGATTCACGACTGCCGAGCTCTTGGTCAATTCAACTGTCTTCCCAAGAAACAACTGACGATGCCTTGGGAGCCATTCATGTTTGTAGGTTTACATTGAGTAAAACTTGGCATCTCTAGTTATGCTTCGATCTGGGCTGCATGATCTCAGAATCGAGAATTGAACACATCGTTCTCCTCACGAGAAAAAAGTATTTCTCCTCACCGTCTCCCTGACCTTGAAGCATCTCGCGCCAGGCCTCCTTTTCAGCTGGTTCCTTTCTCCAAATCGCGAGATGTGGGGGACCTGTCGATCTCCGCAACCCAATCCTCCCCTGGGTCCCCGGGATATGGCTGCGTGAGCTGGCATAAGGGTCGCCCCTCTCGCCTTATCAGTTCAGACATTTCAGCAACTCTGTTTCGCCTTTAGCCGGACTTTGAACACGGCTTGCCTACCGTCTTCTCCAGAGAGTGGGTCACCTGCGGTCGTATCACTGCATTGTCGAGCACATAGGGTCGTGGACGCAGGATATCAAAGTTGGGCGAGCCGGTATGGGGCAGCCACGCGAGGGACGGGCCTGGTGGGCCACCATCATGACTGCGTTCCTGCACGCTTAGTGTCGTATATTGCGTCCCGAGCTTTGGCGATATGATTTATGGTATGCTCGTCTTGTAGAGCACGAGATCGACTTATTAGCCCCCACAAACACATCTCCCCACAAGAGTTTTTCGGGCCTTTCCTGCCGTCCTGGTTGAGGTTCCTGCGTATAGAGCTCTGTTGCGAGTGGTCATCTTGTCGATCATCTGGAGGCTTACAAGCTGTGCTTCTTGGCTATCCGATTGGATCAGCATTGTATGTCCACATCATAATTACCCCTGTATCATAGCTTTCAGTGAGCTAATCAACCAATGTACCGCTTAGTATCTCGAAACAGAAAACATGTAACCATCTGAACGGAGTTCTTCGTCCGCATAGAGGTGCTATCTCACTTGGAGGATAGCCTGAGAGTTAGATTATAGAGGAGAAATTGGTATATTGACACACTTGCGATAGTCCGCGATACTTGTCTCCACGTTTTCAGAGCCTAGAAAGGCTTGTACTGTCTTGTCTAGACTTGTCGAAGCTTGGTCAAGTCATATGCTGACTTGGAAGAGGGTCCGTCTGCTCGGTTCCAGGCCTGAGAGCATGCAACTAGAGGTCATCCGGAGTCCGGCAAAGTGAGGTCAGCGTTCTTCGTGGAGAAGTTGCTACCGAGAGCGGTAAAGAAGTAACCAGGCTGTGGCGGCCCCATCTAACTTCATTTACGCGGCGACTCTCACTTCTATTCGCTGGGTCATGAGAGATTCTTTCTACGGCTTTCGGGCCATGATTACCGCAGGGGCGATGACGGCGAAATATACACGTTCCACTTGACAAGATACCATCGGGACCGAGGTCCCCGTTGGGATCTCTTAGTGGTAGCATAGTTCTTTGGAGGTGATTACCGCTTCTATAAAGACTCGGTAACCCTAAGCTTTTCTCTCGGCTGTCCAGATCGGTCCACACTTCAATCACGATCTATTGTCGCGGAGTCGTTCATTACGCCTGAAGCCGAAAAATCAAGATGTTGCAGAAGATTGCTGCTCTTACTACCTTGCTGGCCCTCGCGGCTGGCCAGCAGGTCGGTACCTCAACCACAGAGACTCACCCCAAGATGAGCTGGTCTAAGTGCAGCTCCGGCGGATCTTGCACTAGCCAGTCAGGAGAGGTCGTCATTGACTCTAACTGGCGATGGGTTCACGACAAGGGCGGATATACCAACTGCTACACTGGCAACAAGTGGAACGAGACCATTTGCAAGGACTCCAAGACTTGCGCTGCTAACTGTGCCTTGGATGGTGTGTATCCCACCCTCTGGGTTTTCCTTTCGATTTGCTGATAGAAAAACAGGCGCCGATTACCCGGGCACTTATGGAGCCTCTACCAGTGGCAATGCTTTGACCCTGAAGTTCGTGACCAAGGACAACTATGGTGAGTAACTACGTGAAATTAGCAGCCAATTGCACTGACTAAAGGCGAAATCCAGGAACCAACATTGGTTCTCGTCTCTACCTGATGGCCAGCTCCTCGAAATATCAGATGTTCACCCTTCTTGGCAATGAGTTCACATTCGATGTCGACGTTTCCAAGTTGGGCTGCGGTCTCAACGGCGCTCTGTACTTCGTCTCCATGGACGAGGATGGTGGTCTGTCTAAGTACTCGACCAACAAGGCCGGTGCCAAGTACGGAACCGGATATTGCGATGCGCAGTGCCCCCGTGACCTTAAGTTCATCAACGGCGAGGCCAACTCTGCTCAGTGGGAGCCTTCGTCCAACGACCAGAATGCCGGTGTTGGCCAGTACGGCTCTTGCTGCACAGAGATGGATATCTGGTATGTAATATGCTGCCGGGGAATTTAACTGAGGAGACTAACCACTGCATCAGGGAGGCCAACTCAATCTCTACGGCATACACCCCGCATCCTTGCACCACAGTCGGCCAGCACCGCTGCGAGGGTGATGGCTGCGGTGGTACCTACTCCTCCGACAGATACGGCGGTACTTGTGATCCTGATGGCTGTGATTTCAACAGCTACCGACAGGGTGTGAAGGACTTCTACGGACCCGGAATGACGGTCGACACGACCAAGAAGTTCACTGTGGTCACGCAATTCATCAGTAGTGGTGGCTCGCTCTCTGAGATCAAGCGCTTCTACGTGCAGGACGGCAAGACCATCCCCAACTCCGAGTCCACTATCAGTGGCAACAGCGGTAACTCAGTCACCCCCGACTTCTGCAAGTCGCAAAAGACTGCCTTCGGCGACCAGGACATCTTCAACCAGAAGGGTGGCTTTGCCCAGTTCTCCAAGGCGCTGTCCTCGGGAATGGTCCTAGTCATGTCCCTTTGGGACGATCACTACGCCAACATGCTCTGGCTGGATTCCACCTACCCCGTCGATGCTTCTCCCGACGAGCCAGGCAAGGGCCGTGGTACTTGCGATACCAGCTCCGGTGTTCCCTCCGATATCGAGACCTCTCAAGCCAGCAACCAGGTCATCTACTGTAAGTCTCCCATTCTAGTCCAACTATTTCGTCCATCATGCTAATTTCCCATAGCGAACATCAAATTCGGCCCTATCAACTCCACCTTCACGGCCTCCTAAGTCAATATCTTTGGTACGGCACGAGATGAAAACCATTGGCTGGACATTTATAGGGGAGCATATTGGGTAGCCCTAGACAAGACAAGACCCACATAGACAACAGCAGGATTCATGTTCATAGTTCACAGCACAATCATGTAAATACCTTCTTTGCAAAAGATAAGATGCACCGAGCAAGCCACATCCGTTAAAGTGACGAAAGGGGTTGTAAGACAAGAAATCACGTGATGCCCCCTTTTCCTCTCCTGTATCAGTCTTCTGCCGCTTACAAACCAGTGCACGTGGATGTATCTGTTTTCTTTGCTTGTTTGGCTTTGGTCTAGGTTCTAGGGATGTTTGCAATGATTACGTATCGAAATGAAGTGCTTCGAGGTGGACATCCTACTTAAGCAAGACTAGTGGTAGTGTGATTCAGAATAGAAGCCGTTGATGAAATACCGATGCTCAGAGAAACAAAGCAGAAAGCTCATCGGGATAATTTGCCAGGCGATTGTTCGCTTCGCTTGTCTTCTCTGAAAGCTGCAATGTAAGATCTGGGGCATAGCTGAACTGTCCTAGCCATCGGACGGCAATCCAGCCCCAGGCCCCAAGTTTTGAGCAAGTATTGGTGAGGAAGACCCAATCATGCACTCTTAGTGTTAAGAGGCGTAGAGCCGCATGTATGGATAAGGCATGACAGATCAATGAAAGTGGGCTTTGTTGTCGATCCTAGGGGTCGGTCTTATGTCCGAACATCATACAGCAGCCCCTGGGCCAGGCTGCCGCACATCAGCCGTAGTGCTACTGTGACTATCAATAAGCCCAGATAATTGACTCCTGCATTGGGCACTCAAATTGAAAAGGGTTGGGCAGCCTGAAGGCTTGGACGTGCATGTTGGGATGCAGGCAGCCACAGGGGTGTCCTCCGGTTTGCATTTCTTGATTTCTGGATAGTAACACGTCTAGCCTAGGTGGCGGCCTGATCGTACCATTTGTGGAAACCGCCCTCTTGGGCGATTTTACAGATAGGTTTTATGATTAACTTCTGATCTAGGTACAAATAGAATGACTGCTCTGCTCATTCGACCCTTGCATGGCTCTAGAAAATCTGTCACCCGTCTCCCAAACGCCACAACTGATGCCAAAATGGTAGATGATTCTGTAACTGTGTATCCCTGAAGAGGTTATACCTCTCTGTGAATGAGAAAATGCAATTATCCTGATGTTGCCGTATACTCCTGCTAACTGGTTCCAAGATGCATGTAAGCCATGTTTGTGATCTCTCAACTCCTGAACTACCATCCCTTCCAATGCTGCATTATTCGTTATCTCGTCAGCCGCCAATGAGGCAATATCTCAGAAGTGAAATCCTAGCACATTATCAAATCCCCTGATTCAAGCCAGACATTGCCAGCTCATCGCACTGAAAGCCTACGGAGTATCGGTAGTAGTCGCTGTCCCACTGAATGGGGATAATCGTCAAGAGATTGAGAAACTGCTGTCCATTCTTCTTGAAGTTGACGACCTCGACTTGAACTTCCTGATTCTGATCGACCGACATCTTCATCTTCTTGACTACGTCCTGATTTACGTACTGCCGCAATGATCCAGCCTGGACAATGCCGCCGGGTGCTTGCAGAAATCGACAGTTCCGGCCGAGAATCTCGCTCGATTGGTACCCTGTCAGCTCCAGAAATGGATCTGAGGCGTAGACTATTGGCCGGTCCGGAAGGGCCAAATCGCATACGAGTAGCGCGACTGAGCAATCAATTGGACCAAGATCGATCTGAGGGTTTGGCCGAGTCATCACACGAGTGAGGGCAGTCAAGATGTCGAAGCCGGTCGCTGAGTATAGCCCTGGGTAGATGAGCGGATCGGTTGTGTTTGTTTGCGAGACCTCTTGTGATCCATCGTTCCCCTGAGGCTCGCCGATGTTGGGTAGGTTATGCTGGATGCAATGTCAGTATATACTATGCAATACATACCGAGTGTATGTTCTCTACGAGACACACCTCCAAGGCAGACTCTTCCCAGGGATTCATTGTAATAGCCGATGAAGGAAAATCGTATATTGAAAACTTAAAAAGATAGGATTCTCTCAGTTTAAACTGCTCGAAGTGGAGTATGGAATGTGTGCGCCCTTGTAACTCTAATATGGCCCCGAAAAGGGGGTAATTCACTAGGGGTAGCGGTGATTCATGATGTATATAAACAGAATTGAAAACAGCGATACTTGCAGTCAAGGTCTACTTCTCACTCAACAGACAAAGCCGACACTTGTCCAACTTTCAAGATAGAGATGTCAAAATGAGACTCCTCCACAGGTGGAGCATTACTCATCGGAGTTCACAGAGCCGGCCCGCTGTTCGATGCCGAAATGTCAACGGCAAGAAGCCATCGAAAGACGCAGGCAGAGGATCTGTGTAGAACAACAGAAGTGGAGAGAGACGCGGCCAAGTTTGCTGGTGCTTGCCACTAGGATTGCAGCCATTTGTGTCGCATATACAACCTACCTGAACAGGACCATTAGGTGGCCAAGTACGGCTCGATCGCGGGAAGAACCTGCAGCTCGAGTGATCGGAGAGAGCTGAGTGGTGAACCTGCGCCAAACCGTGGCCGTCAAGCGAAGGACCTGGTTTGCGCGATAGAATAGCTTCTGGTCTAAGCCAGCCTAACGTGCAGAGACAAGGAAACGGCTGATTCTTGCAGTGGATTGTCAATGCAACGGTGCGGTAGAAGAAATGAGAGTGCGCTTTAGAAGTCCATCTTGCGTGAGACTTGCATGACAAGGGTCCAGATTGGGTAGTCGTTGGATCCTGACGCTAAGCTTGCGGAGCGATCGCTGCGAATACGCATTTCCCACCTGGATCTTGACCAGGGGCGGATCGATCGTGAACCATGCCATGCACTTATCTGCCAGAAGCAACAACATCGCCGACTGTTCAACCTTCCTCTTGCACCTACCTGCCTTAGCCTCCTGTCACAACTGCCACGTGCGAAACGGACTAACTATTGTTAGGCATGATGCTGTCTGAGGCATGTTGTCACCAGTGCCATGTGTCACGTCGTCATGCCATAACATCTGGTCATTCGCATCGAACTGCCGCCCAGAGCGTCGTCCATGATCAATTCAGTGCCCACGGTGCACCACTGCCTCAGGATCGATCAAGGTAGTCATTCCCCTTCCGGGCCATCCTTCCGGCGACTATTGCAACAAAGTCGAGGAAGAGGTCTCAGATTGCATTCTGAGGTAGCACGGCAACAGAAGTTCCCATTCAGCCTCTAGTCCCTATATCAGGGTATTGCATGCAGGAAGACGGGTCGATCTCTTCTAGACCGCGCTGGACCAGGAGGAAATGCAGACAAAGTCTACAAAAAAGTTCATTGTGGCGGCCAAGCTTGCTGGGGAGACCCGTCTTGCCGGACTTAGCGCGAGGCTATCGTCCTTGAATTTTATGACAATGGCAGCTGTATTCTCGAGCTCCTGTATTTCGGATGCGGCTGATCCGGCCTGAGACATCGGATTAGACTGCATTGCCAGTGCGGTCCTTGTCGAGCTGAGCGAGGTCGGTTTGCTCTCTGAAAGAGGCCTGGATGGCGATGTACTCCTCCAGGGTAATAAATGTTAGTTTGGCAAGGGTATTACTACCTCCTCAACAAGAGGTCACTACCTTTATAGAGTTGATAAACCCATAGTAATAAACAAAATATTCGAGACCCTGATGAGTATTACGACTCTCAATATTGAGTATCTTTACCCTTCCTGGCAGAGGAGTAGGTGTGTGCTTCCCAGGGTTGATCCTGATCGCCATGGCCCGCCTGGAAACATCCGAGCGAGGATTTTCCAGCGTTGAGATGCCGCCCTGCAGGGATTGGTGCGAGCTAGAAAGACATGCAGAGACGCAGATTAGCGGCGATTTTAGGCACAGATGCCTGCCGAATCTAGGTACAGGCCAGTAGTTCACCTTTACCCCACGTCGGAACGAATCCATGTGAGCAGCGGGACAGTCGCGCTTTCCAATTTACGCGTCCACCGCAACCACACGCACACTACTATCGCTACATCGCGATATCATTTACGACCACCCAACTTGCATCGAATATTCTCTACGATGACCTGGATCGTGTCGTGACAGCCGAGATAGATCCATTCCTCAACACAAGTACGCCCACGGCCGCAGAGCCCTACCGCCTCCGTCATGTCCTCACGCAGAGGTCTTCTCTCCAACGCCAGGCGCCACCACGAGGCGTCCACCTCCTCCGCCCGCCAGAAGCAAGCCGGCCCAACCCCCCTGCCGCCCTACGAGCCGCCCTCATGCCCGCTCAACGACGCCGGCAAGCGCGCGCTGGCCGAGCTCGCCAACAGCCGCGACACCAAGAAGTACGAGACGCACGTGAACCGCTCGATCGACCTGCTGCGCGGCAGCGTGGGCGCCATCAACGACCGCCTGCAGATACGGCGCAACCACGCGCAGCGGCTCGCGGAAAAGATACAGGAGGGCGGCGGCAGCAGCGACCGCGCGGACGAGCTGGCGCAGGCGCAGCAGCTGGCTGTGGAGATCGGCGAGGAGGTGGACGGCCTGACGGCGCGGTCGGAGACGGCCATGCGCGAGGTGATTGATCTGAAGGTGGCGCTCGAGGACGAGAGGGCTGTGGTGCAGGACTTGCAGGGGCAGGTGACTGAGCATCAGGAGAGTGCTTCGCATCATAGACAGAGAGGAGAAGCCGAGGAGGGCGAAGACGAGGACGAGGAGATGGTCGATGCTGCTCCGCCGGTGCCTATCCTTGATCTTCTGAAGACCGGGCGGGAGGCCAAGGCTGCCGAGTACAACAAGCTAGGAATGTATGAGAAGTATGCCACACAGAACGACTACATCCTGTTCAAGAAGACGTGGCATGACGCTGTCCACCCGGACGACGATATACCTCTCCCCGATGCAACCACGTGGTTCGGAAAAGATGGCCAGTCAGCAACCACAGGGAAGAAACGCAGAGGTCGTAGGACTACACAAGCAGACGACGACGATGACGAGATCATGGTTGAGAGAGAGGTCATAAGCTACAAGTGCCCTCTCACTCTAGCTACTTTCAAGGAGCCCTATAGCAGCAAGCTATGCAAGCACACTTTTGAGAAGTCTGCGATCCTCGGCATGATACGGCAAGGTGGCGGACAAATCCAGTGTCCTCAAACTGGATGTAGTCAGGTGAGATTCTGGAAGTCTCTTTATGCTCGGTTACATATGACTGACGATTGCGCAGGTTCTAAAAGCCAAGGATCTCTTCCTTGACGATGTCATTGTCCGAAAGATCAAGCGTGCACAAGAAGCTGAGAAGCGGGCACAAGAGGAGTCTGATTCGGAGCCGGACGAAGATGGTGATAGAAGCATGGCTATTCAAGGAGAAAGAGATATCAAGGCAGAGCGAGTAGAGAGGAGCCAGAGAGGCCGACGTGTTGTTGAGGATATTGAAGATGAAGAAGTTTAAGATACCCCCAAAGAATACAGACTTGCTTGTGACAACCACCAAGCTTCAGAATAAGCGGAGTCGTTGTGATTAAATACTACGTACTTATATGCATATAGATATGTGCACTGAGGTGGGTATCATGATCTGTCTGAATGAATAGAAACGATGCAGACCGCCGAAGCTCAAACCGAGCGTGCGTTCTGTGGTCCCAACTCCAACGAATGCAGGTTGTGCTGAAAACACACAAAAGAGTAATGAACCGTGTTGCTCAAAGTTCCAACCAAAAGTAGCATCATGCCGAATTCGTCGACCGGCGCCAAATAATCAACGCTGCAACGCCCGCGCATGCCACCGCTCCAAGCGCAACGTACAGGCTCGTCCTATCGGGCGGTGGCTCCTCGCTCTTCGGGAAGGCCGTGCTGGGGTTCGTCGCCGCCTCAGCCAGGGCGACAAAGAGTTCACTGATGCTGTTCCATGTCACACTGACGTGCAGCGGAGTGCTCATCATCAAGCCAGAAGTATAGACATCCGGCTGCAGCTCGCTGCGCTGAGTTGTTTTGTCTTTGTCCGCCTTGAGCGCTGTATAAATGGCTGGTAACTCGTCCAGCTGGGGAAAGCGTTTCCGCAAATCCACGATGTGAGAGAATGAGTCTGGGTCAGACGAGTCGTACGTATAGCATATCAAGTCGCAGGCGTCCAGTTTAGCCTGGTTCTCCAGAATGGCCGGCTCGAGTTCTCCCAGCTCCTCTAGAATAAGGTAGCATTGCTTTCCACCATGCAGTTCGACACTGTTGACGGCCCTCCGCGGTTGGATTGTGGGATGATGCAGAGAGTCGAAAGGCCTGTTGAGAAATGCATCTAGTAGCGAGGACTTGCCCGCGCCACCTGCTCCTAGGACGTAGCAAAGCACCACATTGCGTTCCACCCTGCCTGGTCTCCGCCGCCGTTTGCGTGCCTTGGTTATCTTCAGTGCTGTAGTAGTGCCCTGTTTAGGGCTCAAGGACTCGAAACCAAGGTATGCTAGGTATTCAAGGGTCGTCTTAGGCTCCATGAAAGTGGTCATACTCCATTGTGCGAGCCAGCCCTGGAGGGTGATATGTCCTCCTTCGTTGCGTACGGTTGACGAGGGGAAAGAGTTCTCCTTCCAAGATGTGGGAAGACCAGGTGTGGGAGCAAACAGGGCAGCAAGCTCCTGATCGTTTAAACCGCCATCGTTGTCTTTATCAAAGAGCAGAAACAAATCGACGAAGAACCGGTAACCTGCAGGGCTGAGTTCTGCAGATGCATACTCGGGCACGTCAAACTTGGGATGCAAGAACCCGTCCTCCAAGCTAACGCTGTCATCATAATGGTACTTGCGCAAAATGATCCAAATCGTTTCGTGACGGCCCTTTTCGGCATAGATCTTGTTGAGTTGTAAAAATCCGGCAAGGTCTACACCCTTCTCCGTATTCGCCTCCGGTGTGCTCCTGCTTATAGTCAACTTGATATTTTCCAGATCATCTGCTGAAAGAGGCTTGTCGAAAGATTTGGCCTGGAATTCGTGCATCTCTTGGTCGTTAAGATAGCCGTCCTGGTCCTTGTCGCAGAGATAGAATATTCTTTTCAGAGCGGCTACACAAGCCGGCTTCAAGTTCCCTTCTTTGTAGTCAAAGAGCGGGGCGATCGGGTGCGTAACGGCCTTCTGGCACAGGAAGAAAACCTCATTGACATTCCTGTGTTCCCTCGCGCTTGTGCGGATACACGAATCGATCTCCCTGAACTCTGCCATGACCGGCAGCATCTCCTCCTCGACGACCTGCGCGGTGTTTCCATCCCCGGTCAGGTCTGACTTGTTCGCACACAGCACCACGGGGACATTAACACCGAGGGAACGGAAGTATGGCATCCAGAAGAGAGCGACGCGTTCATAGCTGTAATGGTCGGAGTAGACGAGGAGGATGACGTTGGACTTTCGGATCTCCTTGCGCAGAGTTGTCCGGTCCTGGGGTCGGGCCGAGGTGTCGACGATGGTGGTGGTGACATTCTCCGGGGTGCCGATGCTGGGTGGGATCGTGATCTGAGGGAGGACGGACTGGATCTTGTTGGCGACAAAGACATCCTTGACGAGCGAGGCGATCAGGCTGGACTTGCCGGTGCCCTCGTCGCCGCAGACACAGATGCGCACTTGAACGGAAGTCAGCCCACCTGGAAAGAGCGGCATGTTGGCGGCTGCATTTGATGCCGGGGCATACCTGTGGCCATGTTGGGTTGAAGCCGATGAGCTTTGGGAGCGACAGCTGGACAAGAGCTACGGGTAGCTACCGCTGCCGCCTCATGACATCAACAAGCAAAGGGCAGAGCAGCTCGAGGTGGCACAAGCTTTCGGGGCCTTCGATTTAGCGCTTGGGAAGAGTGGATGTGTCTCTCGACAAGAGAACGCCCCGAAACTCTGCGCGGAGGATGGAGGATCACGAGGGTTGTTGGCGGAGGGCTGCAGGAGGGGAAGCTACCCTATTATCAGAGAGAAGAAAGCACAGCACAGCAGCTGCAGATGCAGATGCAGATGGATACCCAGGAAGATGATTAGATGAATGAATTGGACGACCTCATACCACCCACAGCCTACATACGATTGGACGGACAGTTGGGAATGCTGCTCTCCTCTGTCCAAAAGGGCAACTGGCCTAGCCAATTCGATCATGATCAACAGCAAATTCGGGGCATTCCGACCGCCCGAAAGAGACCTGCCTCTGAGCAGCCACTAAGATGCCCTGCTATAGCATCCCAAGTTCCCAACTGGCGGGTTGAGCCCCGCTGGAACCACCACCTCAGTGTCCTGAACTGATGATCCTGGGCCAGATGCCAGATGCCCTGGTGATCTCTCTTCACCTCTACCGTATTCGCTCGAGGTCATATATCACGATATCTTCAACCTGTTGGCCAGACGATTGAGGGGTCCATTGAAGATGGCAAGCTTTGCTCTTCAGATCGGACAGTACCTAGGTAGGTAGACTAAGGCAGAGCCTGCCTACCTAGAACAGAAGCTGCAAGGTTATACGTAACACATTTCTGGCCTGGGGATCTGTAGCGTACCTTATAGCGCCTGTGAACACTGAGGGGGCTTCATTGGTGCGTTTCTGCGCATCCAATTGCAATGGATTGGCTGACCGGTGCCAATTGAGCGCATCTACTATGTATGCCCAGGTGGTCCCAATCCCCTACCTAGGTAGTAGGTAGTAGGAAGTAGGTAAGACCTCCATTACCCCACAGATGCTTCCTCTGGGGGGGCCGGCCATCCACCCCAAGGATAAGAAGTGTCTCCTCACTCTACCTTCTTAGCCACCCCCTGCAAACGACTAAGCCAAGTTGATGGTCCTTAACAGACAACGTCTTCTCTTGGTCATGTTCTTGTTCTTGTCTTGTCTTGTCCTGTCCTGACTTGTCTGTTGTGTGCCTGGGCATATGCAGCGACGTTTTCCAACGTTGTTCCTGAGACTCCAGACCTAGACGCCGTCTCCGTCTCGCATATCATCTCCACCAGATCGCTCCCCCGCCGTCATATCCATCTCGGTCCTCACCTCACCACGTGCTGCTGTATGTGGCTTCCTGCACGACCACCTCAGAGGGCAACACCAGTCGCTTCACGTATCACCCGCCAAGCAAGCAGGCACTGACTTGCACTTTGATAAGTCCCTCTTGGCAGCCATTCAGACGCCATGTTGTAAGACAAAGTTCCTATCTCTCTCTGTCTCCGTCTCTCGCCGTCCCAGCCCCAAAGCCCCGGTTGCGCAACCTCTGATGTGCTTTGGATCGCCATGGCGCAAATGGAAGCGGCAACCCCCAGTAGCTGAGAAGTGACTGACCCGGGCATCATACAGCGTCCTGCCTCCTCCGCCACGATATCCCACCCAGGCAGCATACAATGCCGCTCTGGGTGCCGGCCATGTCGCCCCCATGATCGAGACGAATAATATCCTCTCGAATCCGGAGGACCAGTTCCTGGTCGGCGAGGGTGAGTATCATGCCCCGACCCGCGCATTGCCGCCGACGACAGCAAAAAGAGATCTAGAACAGGGAGCTAAGCAGGCTCGATACAGGCACGTACGTCCTTAAGGAGGACCTACACCTCGCGACACCGCCTCCGCACCCCTCGGAAGCCCCGATCATCAACCCGAACCCGCTCGCGACCAACCCGCAGCCGGCCACCGCCGGCACGAAGCTGTCGCTGCTCAACCTCGATGTCCGGCCCACCCCGCCCTTCTTCTACAAGGGCATGTCGGTGACGAGCCTGCCGTCCAGCGGCCTCGGCGCAAGCATCCAGGAGCATCCCAACGAGAGCGAGCTGTCGACCGACCCGGCGCTCAGCAGCAGCGAGGGTCGCGCAAACTCGAGCGATGCGCCACTGGTATCCAACCCATCGCTGGCCTCGGCGCCGGCATTTGGGGAGGGCAACACGCTGTTGACGCAGGTCAATGCCAAGGATGCTGCCAAGAAGAGGAAGCCGAAGAACAACATGACCAAGAGCAACTCTTCCTTCATCAGCAGAGTGATTGTACACGAGACGCTGTCAAAGAGGCTGCAGGAGAGACCGAGTGATGGCCTGTATGCATTTGCAAATATCAACCGGGCTTTCCAATGGCTAGATATGTCCTCCTCAAATAAGGTCAAGACATACCATCACCCCCGATGCTTGTTGAACTGGGAGCTGACAAGCTATAGGCTGAGTACTTGACCAAAGTGCTCTTCACAAAGGCTCACTGCCTCTGCCATGATGTCAACATTCTCACCAAAAGCGCTGCTCACATAGATGTAATAATGGGCTTCTCAACAGGCGAGATCATCTGGTGGGAGCCCATTTCACAGAGATATACACGTTTGAACAAGAACGTATGTAACATGCTTGGATGATAGCTACTGCAAAGGGTTGAGTACGTACTAACAGTTGCAGGGCATCATCAATGGAACTCCCGTCTCCGAAATCAGGTGGATACCCGGTTCAGAGACTCTCTTCCTGGCGGCACACATGGACGGCTCCCTAGTAGTATACGACAAGGAGAAGGAAGATGCCATCTTCTCTCCCGAGGAAGAGGCCAGGGAGAATGGCACTGGGGAGACTGAGGCAGCTACCACCAATGGCAATGGGGTCAATGGCAACAGCCACGCGAACACGATACAGATCAACAAGTCTGTGCACTCCAAGAACCAGAAGTTCAACCCAGTGGCAGCATGGAAACTCTCAAACCAGCGGATCAACGCATTTGCGTTCTCGCCAGACAATCGACATCTTGCGGTCGTATCAGAGGATGGCTCATTGAGAATCATTGACTACCTTAAGGAGGAGTGAGAAGAAGCGCCAAGTCACCATCTAGAAGGATAGACCTCGCTAACAATGCTCTAGGCTACTCGACCATTTCTACTCATACTACGGCGGCCTGATATGTGTCTGCTGGTCACCTGACGGCAAATACGTTCTGACAGGCGGGCAAGACGACTTGATTTCAATCTGGTCAGTCGTCGAGTCCGCCATCGTTGCGCGCTGTCAAGGTCACCACTCATGGGTGACGGCCGTGGCTTTTGACCCCTGGCGATGTGATGACAGGAACTACCGGTTCGGCAGTGTGGGCGAGGACCGCAGATTATGTCTGTGGGATTTCAGCGTCGGCATGCTTCACCGGCCAAAGGCAGTATGTGATCCTCATAAATCTACTCGTACTTCATCAAAGTCTCATAGTCTTCATCATTAGGCTTCCGTACACCACCGCGGCTCCGTCGCATCCCGCGGCGCGGCGCTGGCACGGGCGGAGACGCAGAACACGTCGATGAGCCGCCTGCGCTCCAACTCGGCCATCTCAGAGGAGGACGGCGACCAGTCGGGCCCGCACCCGGTCGAGCCCCGCTCGCGGGTCGCGATCCTGCCGCCTGTCTTGACGAAGGCGGTGGATGCCGATCCGCTCTGCTGGCTCGAGTTCACAGAAGACTCAATCATGACGAGTTGCAAGTCTGGTGCGTTGAGAGACCCAATCCGTCCACCCCTTTCACTGTGCTCTTCTCAGCTGACAACGATGTCCATCAGGTCATATACGGACGTGGAACCGCCCAACCGACTCTCCCGCGCAAGCTGGAGAGATAATTGAGAGCTAGAGAGGGAGGGAGAGCTATCTACATTCAGGGGTAATGCTGTTTCGCATGTGCATGCACGGAGTTTGTTGAGGCTGACTAAGGGCACGAATGTTTTGGATGCGATTGTTTGCAGGATTGAATTGATTTGAGTAAGTATCATGTACGAAGAAGTTACAAACAGGGAGGGGGGGGAGTCACCTCCCCAGCGCAGTTGTACATAATCTACCGTCGTCATCACTGAGGGCATCGTCAAAGCATGTCTGACGAATCCCACGGCGCGGTGCTGTTGCGTGGACAATGGATTGCTCTTCCCAAACGAAACAAGCTTTTTTCAACATTTCTGCGAAAATTTGATGGGCCAATATGGCGCAATCGTTTGTGAGGGCGGGCTGGTCCATCCACTTTTGATACGAGCTCCCCTTGCGTGCGTCCGCATCGCGAAACACTTAAAGAGGGACCTCGAACACTGGCATGAGTCACCACTGCTGAGAGATGGAGAGGCAAGGGCCGTAAGGCACGACCAGTGCTGTCAGACGGCCCGACGACGAGGGCTCCATCGCTGCTGAGGATCCATCAGGCTATCCTAGCCGCCCTTTTAGAGGCTCTAGGTTCCAGATATCGTAGGCGTGGACTCCAGTATCAGATAGATTGTTTTTTCTCATGTCGCCGCCTCCGCGCAGAGTATCATGCGAGGAAAGGTCTTTGTGCAGTATCTTGGCCATTCAAGCTTCACACGTGGGATCCGCTTGCGCTCATTTCGCCGCTGAAATTCCTGCTTGGGGTCTTCCTCTAGGCAAGTAGAGTATTTCGCTCAATGGGGCATCTGAGGTTCTTATCTTCCAGTTTCGCATTCCTACCTATTGAAAGGCACCAACTTGCCTGCTTGCGGCAACGTTAGGCCTTTGCCTAACGGATTTAGTTATCAGTGGAGCCGCAATCCAAAGATATCACAAAATTTTGCTCTAATCCCAGATCCGCTCTTACAAGCTTGCAACCCTCTTCGCGGCCTAGAATGATGCAGATGTAGCCAATGGAGGTTCTGCATCGCTTTATCTCTGCTTCTCTGGCGGCGTGGGTTGGCGTGCCTGCGCAGGGGCAGGCGGCATGTACAGTACAGGAGGCTGATGTCAGAGAGCCCAACGCTGGCGTCTTGCGTGCTGCGTTAGATAGGCGTAAGGACGACAGCCACAGTGGATCCACCGCCGTGGGCCTACTGTATGTATGTCTTGTTCATACCGGTTTACCTCCATTGGTGTTATCTGTCGTGAAACCAGCCTGCTGCTGCTGTGTCCGGGCACGGTCCCGTAGTTCGTACACTTGAGGGTAGTCGATCAATCTACAGTAGTACCTTACTTATCTCTGGGCGAGCAGAGAGGGCTGTTGGGGATCTTTGTTTTCCCCGTCATCGGCGGCTCGGTAGGTTGATAGACACACTGTCGACATCATTTCCATAGTGTATCGTCATCGTCACTTATCACAAGTAAAACGGCCGCCCGGAGAGGGTCAGCCTGTTGCGCCAGGTTTGCTCCGCGGTGGATGACCGTGCAGTACGTCGCAGTACGAGTGCAGTCCCTCCACAGCACTGTGTGCGTCTGCACAGCAGCGAGATGACTTCATTGTGTGACGAGATGATATCCAGCCATAGGGCTGAGTGGACTCGACGTCTTACGAGGCAAAAGCTCTCTCGGTACTTCCCATGTGGAAACTATGCTCCTCATATATGTGGTTCTCTACGCGTCTCTAGCACTGAGGTGAGAGTTTTTAGCTGTGAGGAGCAGGAGGCAGGTGGAAACGGGCCGTCTCTCTAGGACGGTCATTGAAGCCCGGCCTGAAGGGCTCCAGCGGACTCCACCCGGGCGGTGGCATGTCGGAACTACAAAAATCAAGCTCGTCAACGGGAGCAGCTCCGCAGAAGGCGCCAGGGGAATGAGAAATGTACAGTGGGCCAGGCTCCGGCTAATTCTTTGGGTTTTCCATTCCCAACAACCGATACTCGGAGATTGATGCCGGGAGAATGCGGCTACGAGGCCCTGAAAAGATTCCGTTTGTTGGCCTGCCTGAATCAAAGTTGCGATGGCTCGTAGTGGTTGGCACACCGCCGACCGCTGACACAGTCAATGTCGCGCCTCAAAGGGAACATGATTCAGGCAACGGGGCGAATCGGAATGGCCCCTGCAACGCTGGAATACAGCGATATACAATCTCGTAGCCGAGGATTACCCAGCTTTACAAGCCAGAAACCGGCTAGGATTGACATGTTCGTTATCTGGCCGAGGCCTAGGGTATTCCAGCCGTAGGTCTTCCAGTCCCTGTGGCCTCTGTTATGGCAGATCCGCAGTTGCAAAAGGAACTCCCAGCAGTCTAGGCTATCTTGATCAACAAGCGTCGGATTATCTCTTAAGCTAGCGAGCAAGGCGACTTGACTGACAATCGGTCGTCTTTGGGCCGACAACCGAGGAACAAGCGGTTCGGGAATTCGGACGGCGGCATCTCACAAGATCTGGTGCTAAACAATTTGGCAGGGCCTTTTAGTAAGGCTCGGGAAGTACCCGTGGTTGCACATGGGAATTTAGGTCTTATTCCCATTCTAGGCCGCAGAAGTCGGTAACATGCCCTGCATGGGCCTCATGTGCACGTACTGTAGCATAATGCAGTGCTGGGCGGTGTGGTGGTATCATGTTTCCTTTTTTTTTGTGTGTCCTTGATCGAGAAGGGTGGTGCTGCGACGGCGATGGACCGATCTGGTCATCCGGTGGCAGAGCTCGGCCGGGCGCGAGAGCTGTGCTCAGCATACCTTACGTAGGTACGAGCATGCCAGCCTGTCATGATGCCCGTCCTGTGCGCCCATGCATGTGCAGACAGGGAGCGGTGATCGTATATATGTACCAGAGGCGAAAACGAAGAGCTGCTGTCTGGGAAACGATTCAAGACGAGGGGCGATCAGGCCATGAAGACGGCGGGCTGCCACGGCAAGTGCAGGTAGGTGCTGCAATGGTGCGGTGTGTATCATGAAGAGGTTGCTTGGTGACAGGATCAGGCGCTGTTCGAGATCGCCTGATCCCATACCGTATGTACATACGATACCCCTCCTCCACCCCTCACATATCAGATCAGATCAGGAGGACCCTGAGATACATCTCAGTCAGGTAGGCCACGTTAGCCGCGCAACTCGGTAGCACACACCAGCAGTTGTGGAAAACTGCTTCCAGCCTTGCCTGGCTGTCATTGCTGTTGAATTGATCATCATGTTGCTGGTCAATGTATTTCAACGTGTTTCTCGGGTACAGAGTTGCGAGGTGAATAGCCACCCCCAAGTAAGACTGGCAAAACCCTTCGTTCCTCCCGGAAGGCGCATTTGGGAACTCCGCAATCTTCGTACCTGCCTTTTCTCTTGCAGACACCGCTGAGACAGACTGAAAGAGGCAGTGTCTCCCCTCGTAAGGAAGGAAGCTTCTCAAGTACTGTAAGCTCGGGTCTCTTGCCTCGCTTGGCGGGCGGGCTGAGGAAACTACGGCGTTGAAGAGTTGCTTCTGTCTGTGTGTGGGGGTCACTGCCGTCTCGAGGCGGCGGGTACTTACATCCAATAAGGTACTTTAGCATACGGCGGCAGTAGGGTAGGTACAAGCTGAATATAGATATCTACCTAGGTAGTCCGGGAAGAAGGCCGATAGAACGCTGATAGAAGGCACGATGGGCCAGCCAGACCTAGGTTGGGCAGGTACGTTCTGGGCTCTGCCTAATCCAGGCTTAATCTGAAGTACCTGCCATTTGCTTGCGAGTGCTGCATCGGAGAGGCCTGCGGCTGGCGGGCCTACACTGAAAGGTTCAGTGGCCAGCTCGGCCAGGTGGGCCTAAGCAGCCATCTTCCGCGCCTCGCAGCCTGTTCTGGGCGTAGTGTGCATGCTAGGAACTTTAATCCTCACGCAATTACGCTCGCAAACCGATGCTCTCAAGGCTCTGAAGGGTGCTGGACCCCACGCCCAGCCCACTCTCGGGACCATTTTTTTTTCTTTCTTGACGACTCTTTTTCTGGTCGACATGTTCCGTCAACGTCCGCTATCGCACGACTCGCGCTGCCACTCTCCACCAATGCGCTTGCGGCAAACCTTGGGCGATGCCTGTCGCTCCCTGTCTTGCCTGACTTGTGCTGTCTGGCCTGTTGCGCCATTGAAGGCTCAATCGCCCATTGAGGGACCACGAGGAACCATGAGGGACTATGCTGGTCCATGCTGGTCCATGCATGTGCTGCCGATGGCCGCCGCCGCCGCCTCTCATTCCCATGTCGTGCTCGTCATGTCTGTATCGATGTATCGATGTATCGATGTATCGATGTACCTAGCAGGCGTGTCTGTACCCCTCCAGTACAAGAAGGCGTGCCCTGGTGCAGCAGATGATGCACATGAAGCGTATCGGCATCCCAGCACGGTGGGCTGAACACGGTGATGCCGCCCGCCCGCTGGAATTGCCCATGTATCTCTGTGTATTTCTCGATCCTTTGCTTACATGCCACTTCCCATCGCTACATACCTAGCACACTAGCCCCTTAGTGCTGGGTAGGTACCTACTGACCCAGCCAGATAAACCCGCTTTGTCTGATTGTGCAGGTATGCTTGCTTGCTACATTTTGTGACCCTCGTTCCCCCTTTCACCGGATCGTCGAGCGTTTTCCCTGATTCCTGACCTCTTTCTTCTCTTATTCCCTCTGAGAGATTCCTTCCCACTCGTATATTGCGCCAGGTGAAGAGGCAGCAGTCTTTTGAAGACCTTTCGCCATCCATCACCTGAAAATTCCAATACTCTGCCGTCTTACGTCCCAAAGGACACTTGATGTGCATATTGTAAATTGCCCCACGGCGTGCCCGTCACTCATACCGTCATACGCAACCAGGTACATGGGCAATTTAATAGAAATCACTTAACAACCGCCCCTCCTCCCTCCCTGTCCTCACAATCACAATATTTTATTCGTTCTCGAACTTCAGGACATTGGAGGATGCCTTCCTTCAACCCTATAACGAATATTACGGGGCGCAATGCCTTTACTCTGTTCGAAATTCGGTAATTACATTCGTCTGGCAGGAGCAATCGGTATGAAAATGACTAACACACTTTCGCAGGCTAGACAATGACTTTCTTGTCTTTCGCGGAAACGAACATGAGTCGTCCGGGCAGATGCTGAAAGGAACCGTCGTTCTCTGCCTGCCTACGGCACTGAAGGTGGAAGATGTTCACCTCAGATTGTTGGGAACCGAGCGGTTAGCGTAAGCCTTTGCGTTTTTTACCTGGTCCAAGGGTTGAATGAGAAGTTCGCTAACTGAGTTTCTGCCTGCAGCTGGACCGACTCCAAAGTAACTCCCACAGGTATCTCGAGCCAGAAAGTCGACAAGACCAACACCATCTTCTCGCACAGATGGGAGCCGTTCGTAGGCGGCGGTGCTTCCAAGAGTACAACGCTTGCGGCAGGAAACTACGAGTGGCCATTCGAGCTGCTTCTTCCTGGTGACACCTGTGAGAGCGTGGAGGGCTTGCCCGAGGCGAACATTATCTACCACCTAAAAGCAACGGTCGCCCGAGGAAAGTTGGCCTACGATCTACACACCAAGAAGAGGGTTCGAATAATAAGAACGCTGGAGTCGTCTGCGCTTGAGTTCCTACACGCCATGAGCGTGGAGAACATCTGGCCAAACAAGGTCGAATACTCGATTGTCGTGCCTCAAAAGGCCGTCGTCTTCGGCAGCGAGATTCCCTTGGAGACCAGGTTTACGCCTCTGTTGAAGGGCCTCGAAATTGGCGACATCACCTGTAAACTGGTCGAAGTGCACGATATCATTGTTCAGTCATTCCAGGGTCATAGCATCCGCGAATACAAGAAGGAGAAGGAGGTGGCGCAATGGACGGTCGCAATGAGCCGGGAAGAGCACTGGCAGGACATGATTGAAGATACCGGCCAGGAGGGCTGGGTGATGAACACGACTTTGGATCTGCCGAGAAAGCTGGGCAAATGCATGCAGGATGTGAATGTCCACGGCATCAAGATCCGCCACAAATTGAAGATGGTGGTGGCACTGAAGAACCCCGACGGCCATATCTCCGAGGTAAGCAATTGATGTGTGTGGTGTTACTGAGGCAAATCGCATGCTAACAGTTAGCAGCTCCGAGCGACGCTCCCAGTAACGGTTTTTATTTCACCAAATATGCCACTGGACGAAGAAGGAAACCTGGTGCGGCAACATGCTCACGATCCGAGCCCAGAGCAACGCACCAGCTCAATAGCGCCGCCAGGCTATGGCGAGCACGTTCTGGACCAATTGTACGACGAAATTGATATGACAGGCCTACAAACACCAGGCATACAGTCAGGGATGAACAGTCCATTTTACGGTCATTCGAGAGCTGGTTCCGCCGAGAATCTCGCTGCGATGATGAACAGTAACGCCGTGCCTCCTGCGGTCCTCTCCACGAGACTCGAGAATATGACATTGGATCCATCGAACAGAAACCAGTCATTCAACTCCGTCACTTCGCACTCGACTGGCACAAACACTCCGTACATGGCTTTCCAGCCATCGGACCACAGCAGCCATACTTCGCCTCCACAATCGGCACCCCTGTCTCGGTCAAACAGCGGAGAGGAACATTCTGGCCATCACACCCCGGAGCATATCGACTTCCCTGAGCTTTCTGAGTTGAGCAAGGTTCCGAGCTACGCGACCGCAGTAAAAACGCCTGCACGAACCCTAAGCTCACTCGACAGCTGTTCGCTGCCGGATTACAGGACGGCAATGAGCGAGCCAACCACGCCAACAGCTGATGCTCCGTCTGTGAACCCGATGGAGGTTATAATGGAATCTCCGCATGAGACGCACTCGCGGCCGCACCGACCTAGCTTGGGCAGGCGGCAGACATCATTGGGTCTGTCAAATTTGATTCACTCCCATCACACCGGAGATGCGGATGAACGAAGAAGGCTACATCTGATGCAAGCCCGAGAACGGGTTGCATAAGTTCGAGATGCTTTTTATGACTGACGGGATGAGCTATCAGGGTTTGCGATGCGTTCGACATGATGGAGCGGCGTTCATGTTTTGTTTCTGGAGTAGAGAGTTCGATTTCATTTTGGACGTCATATAGGCTGCGGCCACGGACGAGAGCATATACATGCATATATAGACTGGATGGGGCCTCACGAGTGAAGAACGGCGTTTTCTTGATGGCGGATTTGTTAGAATACGGATTAGAATACGGATACTCTTATACCCATATTATCGCGAAATAAGACCAAACAGATATTTTCACCAATGAAGCTTATTATAACCTAATGCTTGTAGGCTCGTGAGGTTACAGAGAAATGAATGCGACCGAATCCTAGAGGAACACACGAGGTTCTTGTCAAGGCGGCAACAAAAAACCCACTGGCACACCATTAAACACGGCAACTCAGCCAGCCCATGATGATGGGGGCGTCAAAACTGCACTTCTGTAACGCAAATTGAAGCCAACCAGACAATGAGTTCCTTCGTGTCTGGTGGTGAAGAACAAGTTAGTGCAGCGTCAAGGAATCAAATGACCACGCAAATGGTTTGATTTCTAGATCCCGCTAGTTCAAGATAGCACAGTTCTGGTGGGTTGGGGGAAGGGAAATGGCGGTAGTGGCCACCCCTCTTGAAGTTTTGGAGAGAGGGCCGGCTGAATGCAATGACGATTTTTGGAGGGTGGATTTTAGGGGTCTTTCGGCCAGCTTGAGTCATTACGTCATTGCATCGCATGGTGCTTCAGCTGCCATTGACATGCAAAATTCCACTTTGCATTGCATTGCACCCTGCTCTGCTGAAGAGCGCATTGAGTTGAGGTGTTGCCATACTTAAATATCAAATAAACCTCCTTCTATAGCATTCATATGCCGTTTCATCCATCTACGACCTGGGCATTTTCTTAAACTACCGTGTCCTACGACATTTCATCTGATCTGTCTCTGTCTTTCGTCCGATCGCGAGTTAGAGTTACAAGGTAAGTGACACACGCTCGATTGTGTTATCGGCACCCTTGTTCTTGTAAGATGAGAGACCCCGCATATCCATCCCATCTGGGCCATCCCCATGCCTCCTCTCTCCCATGCCCAGACATACCATCAATTGCCTGATCAGCACAAGGATGGCTCGATCTCCCCACCCTGCTTTGTTCTGTTGGTGCCCTCGGTGCTCAAGCTACGCTGCGCAACGTCACCGCTTTTAAATTACACTTTTTACATCCAGTTTCTCGACACCTCGACTTTGTATCGTGGCTCTTTTCCCTCTTCACCGTCATCCCAACACTTCAGAAGCTTAGGCTAAACCTCTCCTTTCGTCTGAAGATCTAGCTTCCATCTCGATACCCCTCTAATCCAACGACCGTTGCACCCGTTCACCTCCAATTGCCAGGAGCGTGAAGCGAAAACCTCAACCTACACCTAATTTCACGATACCCAACAGCTTGCAAGCATGTCTGGCGACAGCAAGGATTTGCCCCTGCGGCAGGGGACGCAGTCTAGCGTCTTGAGCGACGATGCTGTTCCTGAGACGGATCCCAATAGCGTGAGTTTGCGCTCCCATGCCCTTTTGGCGCGAAATATGACTGACAGAAGACACAGACCGCCGGCCTCCTTGCCGAGAGGCTGCAGGCATGGAAGCATGCCGTTGTCTACCTCGAGGAGTACATGACCGCCGTGGAGAAGATCCACAAGGAGCAGGCTAAGGAGTATGAGAAAGTCCTGAAGGTGAGGACATCCGATGCGACGAAAGTCTATTCTCAGCACTAATGTCCCGTAACTAGAGCATCTCCAAGCCCTTGAGGGAAGGTCATCACTTCGATCAGAGTCTGGGCGGTGTGGCTGGCTTCTTTGAGAACATGCGATCGAACACGCAGGCCTTGATCAACACGAATGCGGAAACGGAGAAGAGCATAAAGGGTTCTGTTCTCCCCGTGCTCGAGCGGCTGCACAAGGAGATCAAGCACAAGGCCAAGGAGCTTGCCCATGGCGCACAGAAGGGCGCCAAGGATGTTGATAAGGCGCGCAACACTACGCAGAAGTTTATCGAACTCCTGGGTCAGCAGACAGCATCTTTTGAATCTACTGGAGGCAAGATGTCCGCCACTGATGACCCATATGTTGTCCACCGAGGAGTCTTGCACCGCTTGAACAAGCAGGTCATTGAGGAGAACAACCATCGCAACGATCTCATTGCTGTGCAGAACAACTTCCAGGAGTTCGAGGCTCATGTCATTGGAGTCATGCAGCAGGCCATGGAGGCTTTCAACCAGTTTGCAGGCGGTCAAGCGGAGAAAACCCGCGCTCTGTACTCTGATATGTTGGGAGCAGTACAGCGTGTGCCCCCTGATTTCGAGTGGAAGGGGTTCATGACACGCAGCGGTGATAGACTCATCAACCCTAACGACCCTCCACGCACCATCGAAGCTATCTCCTTCCCGAACCAGCAGCACAGCGCAACGAAGCCGCTCATTGAGGGCAGTCTAGAGCGCAAGTCCAGAAACAAGCTGTCATGGGGCTACTCGACTGGATACTACGTCGTCACTCCTTCCAAGTTCCTGCACGAGTTCAAGGACTCAGACTACGCTCGCAAGGACCCTGTTCCAGAGCTCTCACTCTATCTCCCGGACGCCGTTATCGGTTCGCCCAACGGTGACAAGTTTAACGTCAAGGGCAAGGACAAATCCAAATCCTTCAGCAGCAAGCTGTCGGGCAGCTCAGAGCTGTCATTCAAGGCTCACACCGCTGCCGATGCAGAACGCTGGTTCCAAGTCATCAAGGGTGTTGCAGGCGCAACTGGGCCTGCTGCCCCAGATAGCGTGCCAACTTCACCTGGCACAGAGGGTGAGGCTCCGCTAATGAACGAGGCCGTTGAGGAGGGCAAGGTCCCACAACTAGCCACCGGTCAGGAAGCCGGTATCACTGGAGGCGACACAGTGGCAAGCCCGACGGTGGTTTCGCCTGTCGATGCCAAAGATCATGCCGCCCCGGCTTCCGGAACCACGGCCCCCGCCGCTGCGGAGACGAAACCTACAGCTTAATCCAGACGAACTTTTCAACGAATTATCAACGTATGCTTCGAGACTGCCACCAGATTAATATCATTCGTGCCAGGATGACCCTACACACACCTCTTTTCATTCAAATACCCTGTTCGTTCATGACACGTTTCAATACGCAAGGCGACCAACTCAAAATGAAGGCAACCGCACTAGGCTGACCGGATGACGATTGCCCATCGGAAAAAGATGGAGGACCGATCCACAGGGGCACTGCTTGTGTTAAGGGAGAATGCATGGCTTGTTCAGTCTCTCATGGGACATGATATGTGACGTTGTTTTCCATATACCTTACCTGTTATTCGGTTTTATGATATACTCTTATGTTTAATTCCTCATATTTACACTATTTTGACATCGTTGGCGTCTATTGCTTCTTGTGATCATGCCTCTCCTCGCGGCAACGATATCCAGCGCTCATTGCCCCCAAGCCAAGAGATAGGGGCTCGAAAAAGTGCTGGGCTATATCATTCTGGCCTGCCCTCAAAACATCCGCCGCCCGGAAGAGCGCCCAGAAGAGCATTTCATGCTGCTGACGACGTACGTAGCACACCATCCTGGAACTGCAAATCGACTCTCCCCACCCGGGCACTTTCGAAGGCACAGTCGACTCTCATGCCTTTACCCCCTATCCATCGTGGGAGGCGAAAGCGCATCTTCGCCTCAAGTTTGCCTTCATGGAAGTAATGGCTAAGATGTTGGACGACGGCCCCTCGCCCCGTGCCGTTCCTGCATAGGGCTTGAGGCGAACTTCTAGCCACGGCTCGAACTGTCTCACTTCATCTGGCTGAGCAAATCAATTCCGACCTATTGGATGTTTCCACTCCAGCTTCCTAGTAACAAGGTTTCAGTTCAGCTACCAGCATGCTTCATGAGCTGGGCGCATCGCATCTGACCTAGACATGTCATCCCCAACCTACAGGAGGTCATCACCTAAGTTATCGAAGCCATGAGGCATGCTAGGCTCTGTTCTATGCATTAGGTGAAGTCAAACCTGTGTACCGTCCTGCTTTATCATTTTTACTGCAGGATCTCGGGGTAGACCGGATGCCGGGGAAGCTCACCTGCCTCACCGCGGGCAAGACAAGGAGTGAGCGAGACCGGCCTTTTTCTTACCGGTCGTGCATCCCATTCGCTACTGAATCTCAAGGGCGGGTGGGAAACTACGCTCGAGACAAAAGAAAATCAATTCAGTCGACCGCGGTATTCGGCGGGGGCGCCTTAAATAGCTACCTCGATTACTTGCAGGTCTAGAGCGGCGGCAGCCTTGCGAGTCACACGCATAGACGCATCCCACACATCCTCCGCCTCCACGGGATACTCCCTCCCCGCCAGAGCCTGCTCCTCAAAGTCTTGTCTCACAGTCGATTGCCCAGCCTGACCTGATATTAAATTAAGTTTCGGTCTAACTCTGGTGAAGCAACAAATCGTCGCAACCCAGATCAGAAAGATTGGATGAAGATCATCCCAAGATGGATCTCGTCAACACCCTGGACATATCAAAGCGTTGATAAACCTCGTTGGCAAGAGTTACCTCACAGTCTTACGCCGTTTGAATGATATGCAGAGTTACCGAAAGGTGTCCGGAGCATCTCGTCATAGGTTATATCCATGTCATTCGCAACTACAATTGGTCGCCTTGCGGACAATGGAGCTCACATCCATCCTCATGGAGGTTCCGCGACGCGCGAGCTTGCCGAAATACGCCTGGCGATTGCGCCTGAAACTGGGTTCTATGATAAATCTATGATAAATATAACCAATCTCTACTATCCTCACATCATCCTCGCTTCCCTTCTACATCGGTATTCGCGTTTCATTCATGTCCTCGTAGTCCACAGCCTTGCGCATTTAACACGTTGATGAGATACCCCTCTTCACCATTCATCCTCTCGTCCAAGGCTGAATCATGACGAAAAAATGGGCAAAGTATAAGGATGAAATCCTCAAGCTCTATTTGGAGCAGAGCAAACCTCTTCACCAGGTGAGGACCATTATGGTAGAAAAATATGGCTTCGACGCATCGTAGGTCTCTCCATTATCGAGCCCGCAGCCTCGTCTCCGTGATACAGTTACTAACGAACAAACAGTACACGAGCATACCGATCCAGGTTTGATAAATGGGGGATCGCGAAATACAAGGTTCAGAGGAGGAGAGACTCAACAACTACAGAGGCGAGCAGCATGAGCTCGCCTCGTAGTGACGATCTCTACAGTCATCCGACCTTCTCGACTGGGGCGCATCCACCCCCGATCGCAAGGCTATATTCGAGCCCAGAATTGAGTAACTTTGCTTCTGACGACCTCGTGCGCATGGACAAGTACGTTTCTATCTCTTGGTCATCTGTGGATGTGGAATACGCTCTGATCGGTTCGCTCATGTTATTCTTGCCAGTTCTCGATACGCTCTTCCACCAAATTCTCGTCCTCCCCAGGTCATTTATATGCCATTGGATACAGAGATGCATTCACCAAGCGAGAGCGTCAGCCCAGCGAGTCCGGTGAACACCTTTCCCCAGCTCATGCTTCCCTACAGCTCTGTGCTGGGCCAAGGATACGAGAATGGTCATGGTAGAGGATCAAATATACACCCTGCGCTACACCTGGGAAATGCAGGAGACGAAGAATCGCAGCTTGCGCCTTGGAGACCAGATCCTTCGAATTTCAGTTATAATTGCGGCAGCCAACTTCATGACCACCTGAGAACTCCATCTTGGTGGTTGAACCCTTCTATAGTGCTTATGATACGTGATGAGCTCGACTACGCCAACGTAAATATTCAGAATGCCCTCGGTGAAACGCCTATGCGTGTTCTGTTCAACAGCTTTCAAGCGCCAATTCATCCAGCACAGGTCGAGGTATTGCTGCACCTACTTGAAAGCCCGAGTTTCGATATGAGATACCATCCGCCCAACTCCTACAGCCCTCTGGGCGTCACCGTGGAGAGAGCCCTGGACTCTAGGCACTTCTTGATAGAAAACGAAGATATGGCAACCACTCTCTGCAAATGCCTCTGTAAACTCCTGGATCTCGAGGCAAACCCAGACATCATTGTCCTCGGACAGTCCATCGCTCATCATTTTTTCCAGAGACCAGACAGTCTGATGTCCTACACAGCCTTCTGGTCATTCCTCGAGGCACTCGTCCGGACTATTACGCCTACTATACCCGACGTCTTCGGCAACACGGTATTGCACTGCGCTCTCACATCCAGGGACGCCGGGCGCAACACAGGCGCCTCGGCTTTGGCAAGACTGCGCTCTGCGATCACCGTGCTCCTCAAGCGCACCGCTGGGCACGGCGCGCTGGAGAGGCGCAACGCGCGGGGCCGCACGGCGCTGCAGCTGCTCGTGGACCACTGGAGGGCCGACGACGAGTTCTGGAGTATGTCACGCGACTTCGTAAGGGCAGGCGTGGCAATGCAAGACATTGTGCCAAAGCACTTCGCCAGGGACCTGCACGAGCTGGCGAGCTCGAAGAGGGGAGCCCGGGCCGACCAGCTCCAGCGGCATCTCAGGGGCGACATCCCCCTCTCTGTCGTGATCTGGCTTTCTGCTTGCGCGCAGCGCACAAACGAGGCCTGGGGTGAGCATCTATGGGCATTGGAATCGTGCCCAGATGGCTCGGAGTTGAATACCCGGCTCCTGGAGTCTCTTTGGAGAGGCCATTAGTCCTGATTACCCCTTCTCCTTGCCCCTTTTTTTATGATTTGTTGTCGTAACCCGTAGCCCCGAAATCAAACCTCAAGGTAGGGGCCCCATGGTGACCTGATTTTTTTTCTTTTCGTTGTATACGTGTATGTCACGATTTTACGCTTCACATGAGGACACGAAGTTGTGACAGGAATGAGAATTAACACGGCGGCTTCCGTTGTCTTTTGATATGCAGGGGGGGATTACCAGCCAGAATGGATGACACAGTTCATCAGAGGCAAACGACAGCATTATGTTAGCATGAATGAACTTGAGTTTTTTACGATGCAATGAGCAGTCTCTTGGAAGTCTATACTTCTCTAGCAGCCGACGAGGAACCGCATCTCATGTGTTTGACCAGCAATCGATGCTCAAGGCTCTTAGACAGCTTATACCTTGTAAAAACAGAATCCCACATAGAAGCTCGCAGCTTCCATCTCCTCTGGCGTGACCAACAGCGAGCCATCATGTCTACTTCGCACTCCCATACGCTCACTCAACGGCCCCAGTGTCTCATCGTCCTTTTCCGTCTCCCAGATGTCTGTAAACGTCTTGTGGTACTGCAGTTCCAAATTGTAGTCTTCTGCCAGAGCTCTGAAAGCTTCCCACGGCACTACATACTCGGGGACTTCCTCGACAGCTTCATGCAGAAAGAAATTGTACTTCCAGCCAAAAGGGGGTCGGAAAATGCCATCCTCAGGCGTCTTGCCCGGGAACCTGACGCGGTAGATGCCGTTGCCCCATTCTGCAGTTTCCTCCGCCTCGCCTTCCTCACGCTCCTCACCCTCCTCCACCTCAACTTCAACCGGAGGAGCCTTGGCTTTGGCTTCCATCTTTGCATTGAAGGCACGCACCTGTTCACTGATGACATCTGAATTGGGGATCGTTCCAATGAACCGGCCTCCCTTCTTCAAGGCGCCAGCAACGTTCTTCAGCATTTGGCGTGCCTTTGCCTCGGTCTCGAACGCATAGTGCATGCAGAACATCATGCTGACCACGTCGAAGCCTCGGCTGCTGCTGATGTTTGACTGAGCGAAGCCCACCTGCCTCACGACATCAATGTCCTCGATCGACTCGCCGTAACAATCCTTGACGTGAAACCGTGACTCGAAAAGCCTTGGTGGAGGCCGTCTGTTAAACCCGCCCCGACCACCCCTGCCGCCGCCTCCCCTATGAGACATGCTTCGATAGCGCTCCTTTGCCTGCTCGATCGAGATTTCTGCCGGATCTAGGCCGACGTATAGCTGCACTGTCTGAGGCGCTTGCTGCCATTTCCCCAGATCACCACCCTTGCCGCAGCCAATGTCGAGAACGAGCAGCTCCGCGCCGCTCGAGATGCCGTACTCCCTCGCGCCCGGTGCGTGGTCCTCGTCGGGCGAGAACTTCTGGATGATGCAGCTCTTGACCCAGTTGTTGAAGGACCGCAGGCCCTTGATGCGGCTGTCCGTCTTGCGCCAGTCGCGGCCGCGCTCCGGCACGGCGTTGTAGTGGGCGCGCACAACATCGTTAATGGCGCCGCGCCGCGCCTCCTCGGCCTCGCGGGCCAGCTCCCGCTCCCGCTCCAGGGCGCGCTGACGGATGTGCTCGCGTTCGGCCTCGCTGATGCGCGCGCGCTGGCCGGGCCGCTTCAGCTTGCGCGGCGGCTCTCTGTCGCCGCCGCTGGGAGAGGTGCGCCTCTTGGCTGCGGCGAGCGTCTTTGCGTCGTAGGGCTGTGGGAGCTCGTCGGGGACGTCGTCTCGATTGGACTTTTTGGCGCGGTGTGAGGATGATGATGGGGAGCCATTCCTAGAGGGCGACTCGGATCGATGACGCTTTCTGGCGGGCTCGAGCCTCTTTGCGTCGAAGGCTTGAGGTTGATCCTCGAAGTCGTTGTCTCCTGCCATTGCGGGAGATTGGAAGGAGAAGAAAGGTCAAGGACAGGTGGGGTTGAACCCCAACGGTTTCTTTTCTGACAAACTCACAGACCAGAGGTCCAGTGAAATCCAGATGAAATATTGAACTCGCAAAAGCTGGTCTTGTTGGATATGGTATGTTTGTTAGTTATTTGGTGTGCGCTTTCAATCAACGTGATGTAAATGGTGGATGGACAGGAGGAGCTGTAGCAAGCAAGCTGCCGCTAAGCAAGGTTAGTGGCCTAACGTGGTAAGCGACAGGTACGTACCGTTGCTGCTCCAGTGTGCAATTACGCGAGCCTTGCCGCCTTGCCAGTGGGCACTTTGGCGCCCGGGCCACTCTGCACTCAGCCTGCCAGCCTTTCCTCCCCTACCTACCTAGAGCAATCTGGAGAGCTCCGACACACCTGCCATATTCTTACCTCGAGCTTCGTTTCCATCCATCCATCACCAAAACTCCATTTTCCACACGGCGGCATCCCATCATCCTCCCTACGCTTTGGCCGATACTGTCTCTCCCACTCCTCGGCGAATAGACACTCCTTCTTGATCGCGAGTCCAGACCTACGGCGCCACGATGGGCTCGGATCCTCAGTACGCAAAGTGGCCTCTGCTGCCGCTCTCGCAGCATGTCTTCACGCTGACAAACCCTTATGCCGCGCGAGCCTCCCAACAAGCCGCCGCCAAGAACTTGCAGGATGCCATAAACGAGCACAAGATGGCACCGCTCTATCGGTACCTGGCACACCCGCTCGAGGGGATTCTGAATGCAGTTGGTGAGGGCGGTGCAAACGTCCCCGGCAAGCCGCTAAGTAGGAAGTCCAGCGCCGTCGGCATGATGGTCACAAAGAACCCGACCGCGAGCGTCGTCCTGCCCTGGGACGAGGGTCTGTACCAGCAGCTGAAGGAGGACAATGACAAGGAACTCGAGGAGTATCAGAAGGAGGAGGACGAGGCGGTAGAGAAGGCTGGTGAGACCGAGATCCAGGCCGCTCGAGGGAAGCGCGCGGAGTTTTGGGCGCGCGTTGGTGACAAGGTACGTTTTCTCCATAGCTACTTGCGCTATTCTATTTGGAAGCTTTTCACTGATACCCCATGCAGGAGAAAGCCATTGCTGCTTATGAAGATGTCTTCGAAAAGACGGGCATCCTCGGCACCAAGATCGACCTCGTCCTGGCCATAATACGCATGGGGCTCTTCTACGGGGATAAGGTCCTGGTGAAGAAGCACGTCGACCGTGCCAAGACGCTCGTCGACAGCGGCGGTGACTGGGACCGACGAAACAGGTTGAAGGCGTATGAGGGTTTGTACCTGCTCACCGTGAGGTCGTACAATCTTGCTGCGCCGCTGCTCCTCGACTCTCTGTCCACATTCACATCCTACGAACTCTGCACATACTCCAACCTCGTGGTCTACTCTGTACTTGCCGGCTCTGTGTCTCTCAAGCGCGTGGACTTCAAGTCCAAGGTCGTGGATGCGCCTGAGATCAAGGCCATCCTTGGCGACGGCGAGGACAAGCTGCTCGCACTCAGCGGCGCCATCTCTGCGGGACCCGGCGTCGATGCCGACCAGCAGGATCTTTCTGGCGCGCCCGCGGCTGCAAAGACCACGGTGGTCAACCTGACGACCCTCGGTAGCAGCGTGGATCAGCCAGAGGCCGAGATGGCCGTCGACTTCAGCCCCCTGGCGCAGCTGGTGTCGTCGCTATACAACGGTCGCTACAAGCTGTTCTTCCAGGCGCTAGCACTCGTGGAGGAGCAGTTCTTGACGCAGGACCGTTATTTGCACGAGCACAAGAACTGGTTCGTTCGCGAGATGCGCCTGCGCGCCTACCAGCAGCTTCTGCAGAGCTACCGTGTTGTCGGGCTCGAGAGCATGGCCAATGACTTTGGAGTCACTGTAGATTTCTTGGACCGGTATGTACACCTCGGATGATAAGTTTTATGAATGAACGAACGTGTGCTAACGATAGCCCCCAACAGCGACTTGGCCAAGTTCATCGCTGGTGGCCGCATTCCCTGCACCATCGACCGTGTGACCGGCAAGGGCGTCATTGAGACAAACCGACCGGATGACAAGAACAAGCAGTACCAAGATGTTGTCCGCCAAGGTGATCAGCTGATTACGAAGTTGCAGAAGTACGGCCAGGCCGTTCGGCTCCGGGGTAGCGAGAGGGCATGAAAGTAGAATTTACCGTCAATTGACAAATCCAACAACTCTAGATTCTCAAAAGGGGGCTGGAGTGGAATGGCCGGGAACGCGTGTGCTAATATCTGTATGATACCTAGATACAGTCGAAAATGACTTATGGGCAATCGATGCGGTTTGGCTTTTTAGAGCTGGAGACTTTTAGCTTCAAATTTTGTTGTCTGTATGTCTCTGTCCTATGAAACTATCCACTACCGGGGAATAGATCCCCCTTTGCCCGTTGGCTTTCTTTTCGGTAACCAGGACCATCCTTCCATTCATCCATCCATCCATCCAATGACTTTTTGAGGTATATGTTCAGATAATCAAGCAAGTAATCCAATATGTTGATGAAAAGACATCACGCCTTACTACGCCTTCCAATGAGACTACTCTCTGCCAGAGACCATCAGACCTAGACTCACTTGTACTGAGCCATGAAATCCTTGTGAAACTTGACCATCAGCTCGACCCAGTCCGTACCGGGGGCGAGGAAGGTCGTCCTGAGATGCAGCGTGCCCTCCCTCTGGCCAAAGCCGCTGCCGGGCACGACACAGATGCCGGTGGCCTTGAGCAGCTCCATGCAGTAGAACTCGTCCGGCGTGCGGCCCTCCTTCTTGGCCTCCTCCACGGCCTTGGGCGGCACCTTGATGGTGGGGAAGAGGTACATGGACCCGGCGGGGTCGGGGCACTCGACGCCCTCCATGCGCTCAAAGGCCTTGTGCAGGGCCGTGGCACGCTCCTTGAGGCCGTTGAAAATGCCGTCGTACTCCTGCTTGTAGAGTTCGTAGCTGGGCTCGCCCTCCTTGGGCGGGTTCACCATCAGCTCCACGAGGCACTGGCCGATGACCGGTGCGCACAGGGTGATGGACACGAACTTGTAGATCTCGGCCTGCACCTTCTCGTCGAAGCCAACCAGCTCGAAGTAGCCGCCGCGGTGCCCGCACTCGCCCACCATGCCCTTGCTGACGGAGTGCAAGCTGGCCAGCTCAATGTTGTCGTACTTGCCGGGATTCTCCTTTTGCATCTTGCGCAGGACGCCTTTGAAGCTGTGGAACGTGCCGATGAAGACGTTTGTTTGGTAGACCTCGTCGGCCATGATGACAAGTTGCTCCTCACGGGCAAATTCGATGACGCCTCGGACTTCCTCCTCTGATAGCGACGCGCCGGTCGGATTGCCGGGGTTGATTATAACTACACAGCGGACGTCGACGCCCTTTGACTTGGCGTCCTCACATGCCTTCTTGATCGAGTCAATATCTGTGCCCCAGTTCTTGTGTTCATCAAGATAGTAAGGGACACATGTGGCATTGAGTACTGATAGAGAGGCAGTGTAGAGAGGGTACTGAGGGATGGGGACAAGAATTCCAGAATTCTGGTCAGCGCAGATGATGTGAAGCAGCGTGTTCACTCCTGATGAGGCTCCGGCAGACATGTAAATATCATGCTGGTTTGCAGGGAAGCCATCCCGTCCTATAACAGGTCAGCTGACTGATTCAAAAGACACTTTGGAACTACAAACTCACTCTCCAAAAAGTTGGCAATGCTCTGGCGAATCGCAGGAACTCCGTTGCTAGCACTGTAAGCTCCTACTGATCCGGCCTTGCTCAACAGCCACTTCGCTCTCTCAATGACATCAGGCTTGTAGTCAAGCTGGTTTATCAGGACATCCTCATGCTCCAGCAGCTTGGTGTTCTCTAGGATGCTGAGCACCTGTCTGAAGAAGGTGATGGGCTTCTGATCTAGCTGCTGGGGGTTGCCGATATTTGCAGAGATGACATGCTGGAAGGGCAGGTCTGTGTCGCCGTTGCCCAGCTTGGCACGGTACTCCTCCGACTTGACGGCCAACTCACCACGCACGGCATACTTGGCAGCCTTGACATGGGGGTTGATGTTGTCATAGTTCAACCTCCGGGAAGAGGTGGACGACATGGTGCGACAGTGTAGTGGCAGGCGGCCTATATGAAGCTGGTTGTGATACAGTCGGATTTTTGGCGGGGTAAACACAGACGCAGCAACAATCCTCGATGGTGGGGTAGATGTGAGCGAATCTCTTTCTGTTGTGGAGAAGAATGCTTGAGTTAGACTCAGATCTCTTTTTTGAGGATTTGCAACCGGTGAGGCCTGGGGACTCTAAATAGCGAGTATGACTCAGGAGGCAACTAATCAATAATGAAGGCGAACAGCACACACAGCCGTGGAGGCGCGTCACTTGAGGCAATTAAGGCAGGCTTGATAAATCACTCCTCCAGAAAAAGAAAGCAGGGAGTGCTGCAGCAGCTGTTCGAAGTCGCGATGTGAATGGGTCGCGTGCACCAGAAATCAGCGCACCTGGTTCTTGTGGGCTGATGATCTGTGGGAGGTAAGACAAAGAACGGCTTAAAGGAACATCCCACGCTGTATGGGACGATGTGATGCAGGAGGTTTGGAGGTTTGGAGGGCTGGAGGGCTGGAGGTTTTGGAGAAAGCCACCACAGACAGACACCAGACAACCAAGGTAATAAGGGAACAATCGGGAAGTCCCTTCGGGGAATCCCAGCTTCATCGTCGAGTCACCATCGGCTCTTCTGTCACTGCTATAGCAAAGAAAGTCATAGCTTCTAGGGCCGAAACCGGGGCTATCTTAGGTTGCCCGCGGTGGCTCTTGACGCGCTCCGCAGACGGTCTTCAAACCATCAACGACGGGGAAAAAAGTCTCAGGTCTCGAGACAGCCAGCCGCGGAGAGAGGCAGAGTGGAGTGGTTTGCCAGACAAACAAGGAGAGACCGAAGGAAACTCGTGCCTCACCTGTAGAGAGTGCTCCTCCGGCGCCCAATCGCCTGCCTTGCAATGGTGCAGGTGAGGTATATCCAGGCCATCGATAAGATCGACCCGCCGCCGTCGCCAGAGAGTTCCGTAGACCGGCCATCAGAGCCGTAGGCTCGTTTCCCTCGGACTAGAGCGTCCAAGGCGATGCTGAGCAAATTCGCACCTGTATAGTCGTAAAATTTCTTGATGGAGGATGGAAAAATTAGAGAGGTCAGAAGGCCGAATGGTTTCTTTCTTATCTTTGCTCAACGGAGGCCCCCAACAACACCTGGGCTCTCACCGCAATCCTCGCTTACACCCGCGACCTGCTAAGTCCGTCTGCTACAGGCGGCAGTCGCAGAGCCCGGTGCAGATCGGTTTCTCCAATCCGGCCCCTAAAATCCACTCGAGTTTCCTCTGCAAACGGGGCTCCACCTGCCAGAACCACACCCCTGGAAGACTGGAGTCTTGTTCGAGATAGCCAATGCCTCAGTTCCATAACTTGCCAACAGGGCGATGTTGATAGCGATAAGGGAGGCAAAGGCGTTGAGTTCGGTTGGTATGTTACGAGTCAAAGTAGCTGGAGAGAGAGTTCCACGAGATATAGTCATCTATTCAAAAGAGGAATCTTTGATAGTAGATAATCATAGAGTGATTTGGCGTTTGCCCTACCAGTCCAAAGCTCCTTCCTCCCTTGCCTGCTATGATGCTGCTGCTGGATGAGCTTCTATCAATAGAAAAGTAGGACAATTGGGTGCGGTAACGGTGGAACATTTGTCCACCTCCAAGCTCCAGCGCCCCACTTTGGCAGCTCGCTTTCTCAACTCCAAAAATTTCCTCTGCGCAAAAGAATTCCTTTTCGTAAACACCAGGAATGAATTCCATGTGCTGCCTTCCGCACACCGCCTCGGTAAGCTTCAATCTCCCATCTTTCTCCATCCCTTCCTCTGTTCCTGATGACAACCTCAATACCGCAAACTAGAGTCTTTGACCTATATGGAATGAAACTTCAATTGTAACGTCAGTCTGAAAAACAGCTGTCGTATTCGCTTCTTGTCACATCTATCTAGCCTGTGGCAGCTGCTAATACTCCTCAATAGGACTTCAAGTGATGTCTCGAGCATGCGTCGAAGGCTGCCGATTTAACTAGCTATCGGCTATCAACATTCACAACAATGGTCAGTTCTCCTCTATTGCTCGAGCTCCTACATTTTATGATGAACAATTTTTTTGCTTCGGCAAGTTGGAATTACCGACTGAGATCTTCTTTGAAGAAAACAACTGGCTGTTTCTGATCCCCATTCCTGCAATCCAATTTATTAGAGTTATCTGGGCTACGCAGTCTCTCTAACTTTCAATAGTAATAGGTACGAACCATCCGATCTCCCTACATCCTCCCTTCGAGACGTTGTATGATGAAGCGGCACTGGGCTCCGATTTATTTCCATGAGCAGATATGCCATTTCTGCGACAGGCCTAGAAAACCTCGTCCACTGATTCAACATTTTCTCTCGTTACATTTTGCGGTCGACCGCTGGGCATCAGTGGCTAATGCTCTGATCAGACTTGAAGCAGTGCTTGACGTCAATGTCTTTCTCTATCCGTCAAACGATTTTGAACTTGTTTTTTTCGGAGTACAGTCTCATCTAAACCGGTAAGCATATTATTTTCTTGTTAGAACCTTTCCTCTCACGGATGAGCACTAGATGACGAGTCATATTCGGGTTTCCGATGCTGACAACCTTTTATTTTTTTACCATTCATGCATAACTGACAAGAGATCCTTCACTGGCAGTATTTCAATATCTGACGAAGGTCAATTGCTAATGTTGGACTACAGAGTATATATTGTCTACCGTGGACGCCCTGTGACATGTGAAATGGTAAGCCGACATGATTTTCATTAAGGGGATACACCTCCCTTCCGCATCATGATGATCTGACTTAAAATAAAGACAAGCATATGTCAGAGCCTAACGGCGCAGATGACACCGTCATTTCTGAATGCAACCTTCATCGAGATTGCCTAGCTCTCCTTAGTGCTTTCGAGCCTTGGCTAACACTCGTGTAAAGAAAACTTTGATCTTCAGAACAAACTGCCAGCTGCGACTACTGAACATGAGCTTCTCCCGTAACCTGTGAGTATTATCCTTCTCATTCCCCTACTCTACTACCCTTCGGTCTACAATGATGATCATAAAATCTATCACGACGGTCTTCTTAGCCATATGCTTTGATGAAATCGCCTTTGACAAAGGCACCACGAACTGATATAGACTCCTCTCATAAACTCTGTTACACTTTATGTCATGGAGTCATTGGACTAACAATGATTCAAGATAGGTCCCTGTTGCCGCTCGTCTACTCCCTCTGCGACAAGTCTGGCTTTTGTAAAACGTGTAATTTGAAGGTAGGGTTTGAACGTAAAAGAGGCCATCGCCACCTAGCCATATATAGATCAGTTTTGTCTACTATAGCTCCGAACATTGTCTCGTTTGCAAACCTGCTCCTTGTATTTTGCCTTTGCTTGAGTATTGAAATTAATCATTACTTGGGTATCTTCTATGATATGCCAACCCATCGCCCTCGTGTTCTCCTTTCGCAAATTCTATTTACCTCGGCCCATACGCCAGTGAATCAAAAACCAATCCTGATGTGCACCGTATCCTCCTTTTTACGTTTATTTTGTACATACAACCAGCACCACCAACTCCATAAATGATTGTTTGCTCAGGCGTAGAACAGTCCCGCCACAGCAGCGACCATGCAAAGCACCACAACGCCAAGGCTACCTCGGGCATCAGCGCTCCTCACCACGCCGCTCTTCGGCGTGGCCGTCGCGGTGAACAGGCCGGTGAGCGTCTGGCTCGCGGACGACGCCGTGGTGCTGCTGCTGCCGTCCGCCGAGCTGGTGACGGTCGCGCCGGGCCAGTCGCTGTACGCGCTGTACCAGACGCCGTTGACGACGACGCCCTCGCCCTTGAGCAGGGCGTCGACCTGCGTCTGCGGGCACGACGACGGGATGGCGCGCAGGTAGCACGTCGGCGTCGGCGAGTCGGGCAGCTCGAGCGTCTCCGTCGCGTTCAGCTCGCCCGTCGTGTTGTACGCCGCCAGGTCGACGGCCTCGCCTGTGGACACGGAGTTGCCCATGATGATGCGCGCGAAGATCTGGAAGGCCGTCTCGGGCTGCGAGGCGGGCACGAAGTGGCCCGACTGGTAGACACGGCTGAAAGACAGGTTGCCATATTGCCGCACGACGCCCCCGATGTAGGAGTCATTGACGATGATGGGTGCATATCCCGTGATTGGGAAGCGAAATGCATAGTCGCCGCCCACTCTGTTTGCTATGTCGAGCGAGACGGCCTCGCCGCCCATCCAGTTGCATATATAATCACGATCGCCGTAAATGAGACCCACGCGCACACCGCTCGCAAGCAGTGTCGCCAACGCGGGAAGTGTCTCTCCACGCTCCATGTCACCCGTGCTCCTAAACGCGGTGTTCACGGCCGCGTTCGTGTCTGTGTAGTTGATGACGGCCCCGATAGCCTCCTGGACTTTCCGTGTGTTGAGGTATTCAATATATGTACTCGCGGGGAAGGCGTCCGGGGTATAATGAGCGATGTCATAGACACTTCTCCCGGATTCCGAGTAAGGTCCGTATAGCTGAGACTCACATTGCGTCTGCGCAGCCCTGCAGATCGAGCTGACTTCTTCTACATTGCCCAAATTGTCCGGATCGGAGACAAGGACCGCCGTCCTACATTGCAGGATGAGATCTCGGCACCCGTTTTCATTGTAGAATGAGCCGTTGGCGAGCGCAGCGTAAACCGGGCTCAAAAGCTGAAGACCGTACGAGTTGTTGACTGCCATTGAGACGTAGTGCGGTCCCTGAACCAGGTCATCCACACATCCGTTGACGATGCCGACCGAAACGAGGTGAATGTCTATTCCTGTGACATTCGTGTTGGTTGTATTGGTCGTCGTATTGAAGCTCTCCACGAGCCTCGCGTTCTCTTCCTCCCATGTTTCGGCATATATAGGAGCGTATCGCCCTCCATAGCTTTCGCCGAACAAATTGACTCCTAGAGAAGAGTCGCCCGGTGGATTGTACTCTGGGAAGGCACTCAGGAAGCCTTGCATCATATGCCAGATAGCTTTTGCTGCAATCTGCGTCGTGTTGGGGGTGTGGCTCGAATTCATGGAAGCGAAAGTGCCGTTGAGGAAGACGGCAGGCGTCAAGCTATGAGGAACCGGCTCCGGGCCAAAAGTCCAATTTGATGTGACGAGATTCAATGACCCATTCGTAGGGGTGTCGTAAGAGAATCCGACTTGGTTTGGCTGGTAAAGCCAGAGTCAGTTATTCACTCTCGAATGATACTGGACAATCTGGACGCATACCTGATCTATAAACAGCATGTTCGACGCCCTGTCCCATCCCCATGTCCGCGCTGCCGTATCGAGCTGATTGGCGCCCTTCTCAACGACTTCACACGGTCCAACTTCGTCGAAGAAGCCGAACATGGATCCCGATCCCGGCCCACCATTCAGCCATACAGTGAGCTGCGATGTCGGCTCTCGAGCACTAACGAACCAAAAGAAGATGTTCGTTGGAAAGTCTCCCGGCACATTGACCCAGCCAGTGTACTGCTGCTGGGTGTCGAAGACAGTCGCGCACACATTCCGCGGCACCTTATACGAGACGGTGATGTTCGGGTCGACGGGCGACGTGAAGGTCGTGAGGTTTGCGAATGGCCGAGGGAACTGAGCAAGGCATGGCGACGCGTAGAGAAGCGATAGAAGGCTAATTGCAGTGACTAGAAAGCAAGGAAAGGAAGGCATTTTCGTCTACAGCTGGGCCGTCGTCATCCCGCCAAGTCCGCTTGAGACAAGGGCGTACGTAGGACGGTCAGATGCTAATGGAATGGAGGAGAAAGACAGCAAACAAGTGCTCCGTCATGAACGCATGGGCGCGCGCAATGCAAGCGCAGGACGATCAATTGTTACGGGGGAACACGTCGCAAAGCAAAGCAAAGATGTGCGAAAAAGAGAGCAGAGCGAGGAGACGGCTGGATGTTTCGTTGAGGTGTTTGTGTGTAGCGTAGCACTGCGCTCTCAACCAAGGCACAGCACGGCGGCGGCGGAGGTGCGCACAAACATTGACTGGCTGGCTGACAGGCTGGAGCAGCCCCAGGATGACGAGGCCCGGCAGCCCGCCAACGGGGTGCAGCACCGGCATAAACGAAAAAAACTTGGCGTGAAAACGCCCCGCAAGTTAGCGCCGTCAGCCTTTGCAGCTGGATACCTTCGCCCTGCCGTTCCTCTGTAGCCTTGCCGAAAGCCGTTAAGGTGGCTGCAGATCTTCCATGTCTCAGCGGTCAAAGAGCCGGTAATCGACCTTCTCCAACGGATACAAGTTCACGTCTGCGACGGAACATCGTGATTACAAGAACCTACAAGAGTAGATTTATATGTTCATATCTCTCCGTATGACTCTCATAATCAGGTATCTTGGTTTTCAAAGTATACCTGACACATATGGCCAAATCGTAGCTTTCTAGCATAGGTAGTAGACGGGGTGTTTAACGCCCTGTCATCAATACATCATCCCTTAGCTACACGGTAGCCATCATTCACTCACATCGCAGGTTTTCCAGAAGACAGCACATTAGCTAGAGAGGCAGAGTAACAAAGAAAGCTCGTCGCTCTCCAGCCCGACATTATTGCCTAACACTGTTTGACTTGGTTCACTCCGGATATATGTATTGGCAAAGTAAGCTGGACACCCTGATTGTGTGTCATCTTGCTCTACTATTCTACATCGTATACAAGACAGCGGTATTACTTCTTCAGAGTCCGCCCTAGCCATCCACTTCTCCCTTTTTTTACTGCGGCGGAGAATCAATTGAACCTTAGGGATGAGGGCCAGCATCGAGAAGATTCACCAGAGCATAGAGTAGCCCATTGGTACCATGCTAGAATGTGCAGGGGAATTGGTTACGAGCCTGAATAAAGAGCGGCCCGGGCTTATTACTGCTCTATCTAGAAGGCGCAAAACGATTACTGTTGTAGTGAATGGCATGAGAGATTTGACCTGAACGATGTTATAAGGTGGGTGCAAGTTTAGGTGATAAACGTAATGACTATGGAAAATGATACTCTTTAACAAGCTATTGAGCAAGCAAGAAAAAGGGTTACTGGCTCATGTTTCTGACAGATGTATCATGGCCTATCATTGTCGAGCCCGACTCAAAACATTATATGAAAATCAGCAGAGATTTCGAGTATCTTAAGGGTTGCTTGGACGCTCTTCAACATGCGAGGTGTATAAGAGGCTAGACGTGCGGATGGAGATGAGCTGAACGCCACCAAAAAGCTTAGCTCGGCACTGGTGGATCGGACCCCTATGAGACTCCTCTCTTACTTTGCAGATTAAGATGCTTTTCTGGCTGTATTGATCAAATCGATGTAGGAAAACACGCGCTTACGCCGTGCAATTGACCTCAGCCATGTCGGGCTCGTACGCTTCCGATATCATCACGTACATCGGCGTCCCGCTGGCTGTATTGGGAGGTGAGTAGACTGTCGGTTACAACACTACAGACCATTAGGCTTACCGTTTGTCAAGTCCTCCCGATTCTCTACAACACCTTCGCAACTCTGGTGTCGCTGTCCCGCATAAAGCGGATGCTGCGGCGTGGTGGGCTCACTGCCCTCACGCGTAGCGATGTCGTGAACCGCGTCATCGAAATTGAGCTACCGCGGTACGCGGTCACACCGTGGGACCGCTTTCAGGACCGGAGCCAGTACTGGACGCTATCGCGCCGGCCCAGCAGCATACCTGGTGGCAGCTGGACCACGTTCAATTGGCGCACGAACGCGATCGGAATCAAGACTCAGCGTGTTGAGTATGCGGACCAGGTCCGGCAACCTCAGGTAGAGGTGGCCTTTGATGAGCTGGTCTCGTATCTACTCGACTTGGGCGCAGTGCCGGACCCCCACGGGTGGAAAATGCTACGATCCACAGGATTGTGGTCGCCTACTGGCTTATCACTAATGAAGTCACCCGATGGTCGCGAGAAGGCTTTGACGATAGCACCTTTGGATGATTCAGATGGGAACCTGTCCCTAGCAGTTGCGTGGTCGTCTCAGTGGACTACTCGAGACTACTCGCATTTACCGCCGTATTGGGTACGACTGCCTCCTCCACCTGAAGAGAAGAAACCGCAGGAAGAGGAGGGCGGAAGTTCATCTGATCCAAAACTTAAAGAAGAAGAGTCAGCAAAGGCTAAAGATGAAGGCTCTAGCATGGGCAAAAAGTCTCTCGACTCGGTAGACCGCACAGCTCAGTCCAACGCCAAAAGCCCAGTTACATGTCAGATTTCTATAGAGGGAATCGTGACGGCCTTGACCCAGGAGGAACAGCTACAGAGCTCACTGAAACTGGATAGTCTGTACATCGAGCACATCCGAGTTCGTCCGGGCAAGAGTAATGGTGTATGGTTTGCTAGCGCTATTACTGCATACGGCACCACAAGCCAGACGATTCTGTGGAATTACAAGATCCCAGACGAGATCCTCACTTTCTCGAGGAAAGAGACCGTGCCGTGCGGTGTGCTTGTGCTGCTGGGAGTAGTTGACGAGTCCGAGACACCTGAGTGGGCAACGAAACATAACGATCAGGCAGCCCATCTTGACCAATATGTGAGAAGGAATCAGGAGCAACGAGCTGCTATGCAGGCCGAGGCACGTATGCCGCCAGCACAAAGGGAACAGGCCGCCAGGGACAGAATGATGAGAGAGAATGAGCAGCGCATATACGATAGTGAGCACCTCCTACTCCACCACACATGCGTACATGGTTACTAATAGATGTATAGTGCGCGATAGGATGCGGCTAGACCAGCAGCGGAGAGAAGCCCGTACAATGGAGGCTCTGCAGAGTCCGAGATGGGCTAACAAGGTTGTTGCGGATCATTATCTACGTTGGCTGAAGCAGGGACGCCACCTGGCCGAGGAGATCACTCTGAAAGATGCTGTTGGCTACCTACTACACCGGATGGTGCTCGATGGGGACTTCGCTTCTACGATATGCCGCATGCTCGATATGTGGAAGGCGTGGGCTGAGATGGGTGGGATGAGAAGAGCTGACTACAACACTCTGCTGGAAGATCAGGTATCGTTTGCGCAGGCCACACTGCTGATCGCCATGATCAATGATACGTCAACAGCCATTGAAGGCACACTCTCAATGGACCTCCAAGAGTGTTTACGAATGTGGAGAAAGGTCCGCCTTGGGTAGATATTACGACACGTCTGAATACTGAATAGCAAGATATATATACTTCTATGTATTATACAAGCCACTTGGGCCATGTAAGTGGGTATTGGTAATGGTGATACAAATATTCGTACAGCCTCTTGCAAGCATGCCTTGAGCATAGGGACTCCCCAAGGCCGGCAGACTCGTTCCTCTCTTTTAATGAGAATCTTTCCTGATTCCGAAGAAGTAGTTCCCTACTTTCTCGCTGCCACCCACTTCCTTCCAGCCCAAGCCCGGGACATATATGACTCCCATAACGCGCGGACTATTCCAGCCAGCCTTCTTTGCGAAGTGGCCGCTCAACTCGTCGTCATTGATGTACTTGTTCCAGTCGTGGGTGCCCCTGGGTACCATCCTCAGTACATCCTCCGCCATGACATTCGTCACGAACCAGCTCGTCCACGTCCGCGCAATCGTGCTCAGTACCAACCATCCGCCTGGTTTGACAAATGCCCCACACCTGTCGAGAAAGGCCGCCGGAGTGTCCACGTGCTCCACCACCTCGAAGACGCTGACGACGTCAAATTGCTCCTCGGAGCTCTGCGGGGTCGGTAAAGCCTCAATCGTCGTGTTAAGGTAGTTCAGCCTCCCCGTCTCTGGGCGCAAAGCTGGATCACGGCTCGCGTGGGCGCGGGCCACACCTAATACATCTGGAGACGGGTCGATGGCGGTCACGCTGGCGGTGGAGGACAGACGGGCTGCGCTCTCGGCAAAGATGCCCCCTCCGCAGCCGATATCGAGATACCGGAGCCTTCTTGATTCCTGAGACGGCGGAGCTGGTTCAGCGTCTGGTTGTGAAGCGTGGCAGTCGCGTATAAAGTCGTGCCGTAGAGGGTTCATGAGATGAAGCGGGCGAGAGGGCCCATGGGGCTCCCACCAGGACGAGGCGAGGGCATTGAAGTGGGAGATCTCGCTGGCATTTACGGAGGAACGGTCGGGGCCAGATGAAGACGTGCTCGTGCTTTGTGGTCTACATCTAGGGATAGGCAGGTGATGTGGTGCGCTTGCTCGTGGATGTGCTCGACGGAGCTGCCGTAACAGTGCGGCTGCTGACCTTGACGGTGCCATGATGGCGCAAGTTAAGGTTGGACGTTCCGTCCCAACTCTGCGAGGTTGGGACTGTGGGATGACAAAGCACCGTGGAGCTTTGCTCTGTGAAGTGTACTGTATTGAATCGTAGATATAAGCTGTGACGGCATCTGCATGTGGTTACAAAGCTTGCCGCGCGCCGTACCCAGTCAATTGGCTTGTGGTCCCAAAAATTTTAGCGGCTCGGCGGGCTGGCCGGCCTTCATTGTACCTAAATGGCGGGGCAATACATTTTCGCACCAGCAACGACTCAGTGGGAGCATACAGTCCCGCGCGCCTCGGGAGTTTGTAAGCGTCTGTCATCCGAATATTCGTTCCTACGATGCAATCGCATTGAGGATCATGGACCTTACGTAAGGCTCAACCTTTAAAGACCGAGTTCAGGCCATTTGCCATTAGAGACGCCGAGTCTCGGAAAGCAGTGATTGCAAGAGTTCCGGACTCAGCTTGTCTAAGAGCTCACTCAGCGGATGTGCTAGACTAGGTAATAGTAAAAGGCACCCACTCGGGAACACGCCATATCGATTGCACGCAACCGGCTCGGAGCCTTCTCTAACTTATCTACCATATCCCGCCTTGCCCTGCGATTCAATTGAATTATATCCAGACCCCAACGACACTTCGCTCATCCTCTAGACCAAACAAAAAGACACCAGGCCCTGCATATTCGCCGTCGATCATCTCGCACACGACCTGTCAATTGCCCCACCAGGGTTCTCGATGACGCATATTTGGTAGAGCCGAACAGATCCGACCGGACCCCAAATCTTCTAGACCATCCAGGCCGAGGAACGGATTGAGTCCCGCCAACTACATTCCCAGAATCAGCACAGAGGTAGCCATGCCGTCACAATTACTTGACCGGTCGCAATTCGACTCAATTCCTGACACAATCAAGGCCTTCCGTAAGCAAACCCCGTCTCTGCAGCCTCTTCACATGCACCTCCAGTCACAGAAGGGCGTACTGACTGACAGCTCCGCTGCCGAACAGGAGATGGCGAGTTCATAGTCGTGCTTGACGACCCAGGGCGGGAGAACGAGGCCGATCTGATCATGGCGGCCGAGGACATCACGACGGAGCAGATGGCCTTCATGGTCCGGCACTCGTCGGGCTACATCTGCGCGCCGCTCACGCCGCAGCGCACCGAGCAGCTCGACCTTCCCCAGATGGTCGCGCACAACGAGGACCCGCGCATGACCGCCTACTGCGTCTCCGTTGACGCCTCCGACGACGCCGTGACCACCGGCATCAGCGCCCACGATCGTGCCCTCACCTGCCGCATGCTGGCCAACGACCAGGCCGTCCCCGACAGCTTCCGCCGCCCCGGCCACGTGCTGCCGCTGCGCGCGAGGCCCGGCGGCGTCCGCCAGCGCAGAGGCCATACGGAGGCGGCGGTCGACTTCTGCCGGCTGGCGGGCAAGAAACCCGCCAGTGTGATCTGCGAGCTGGTGGACGATGGCGCCGAGGTGGAGGGCCAGGCTGTTCTGAGGAACGGTGGGATGCTGAGGGGTGAGGGCTGCATAGCCTTTGCGCGCAAGTGGGGCTTGAAGGTGTGCACAATCGAGGACCTAGTCATTCACCTAGAGAAGACAGAGGGAAAGCTGCCTACCAATGGCTCATCGTGAAGGATTTCGAGCAATGAAGCTTCAGAGTTGGATAGAACTAGGAGCTGAGCTGTCTCGGCTCTTGGAGGAAGCGGTGATTGTTCATATGGCGGGAGTTCATCTTGCATACCCGGTCTAAAGAAGAAAAAAAAAAGAGTATACAAGCTCCGGCCGCAAGGCTCTACATGGGGCGCATCATGCATATAGTCCTGCGTCTCATCTCAGCGGAGAAGGCTCTCGGTTGGCAGCATCATGGAGGCGGTCAAGTCGATATCAAAATCTGGTTTGAGCATGTTAATTGAGTACTGGTAAAGCGTTCTACTCGTCATTTTGTGTCTTCTGATATGCCACTTGGCTTCCTACTTGTTATAGTTGTTCGTCCAGAGCTTGGTAGGAATATTGCAACTAATCTTCTTGAAGTACGTCCTGTGAGGAAAGGAGCAGCAAATACCCGTAGCCAGTCTCGTGTAACAGTTCAACGACCCAAGGCTCCCAATTCGATAGGTTCTCGCCAGCGGTGGATCTATGAACACGAGATGACGGACATGGACGGCAGGCACGCATATGCTGTCCTTCTCCAGGACACGGGGGTCGATGCGGGTATCCTTCGCATGTTGCTCTGTTGTGGCATATGAACAGCCTTGTTCAGTCCTGGGAACCAAGCCTAGTCTATTGGAAGCCGAGCCTTTCAATTGGGCAAATATTTCGAAGAGTGAGCACAGTACAGAATTTCCGGTGCCGAGCAGGCGCCCCTATTACACGACATTCAACCTCTTCCTTCAGTGCATTCATTAAAAGGGATCGACATTATGCCGAGAGTGGCCCGTGTGCTATGCCTCATGTGCTCAACAATGTGCCAGGATATCTGGAGAAGCCTGCCAGCTAACGCTATTGACCAAGATCCAGTTCGACCCCGTTCGAGATTTGCGCAAAATTGCCGGAAGCAATTGGGGGACGCTCATCATAACCGTTTTTTCTTCGAGGCGACCCGACCCTCTGGCTCTGCCGATTCCCACCGTGCCATTTTGCTGGATCCTCGCACGAGGATAGGCCGTTTCAAGGTGTGGCATTGCTCAGCCCAGTAGTGTCCGCTGGCAAGGACTGCCCCGGTCGTGAGCGTGCCCCAGGACTTCTCGCGGAACACATCCGAAGCCCGGCGCGTGGAGCAGTCCCTGCTGATGATGGCTTGACTTTCTGCTCTTTCACGACGCATTCCTGGGCGGCGGAGAAAACGAAAAAGTGAAGCATCCACAAAGGTGCCTGGACCCGGGAATGACCGTCCGGGGACCAACTGCCGGTCTTTGTGGATTTTTCAATTGCAAGGCTGTCATCATCTCACATGAGTCAATAGTTGCGGACAGAAGAAGGAATATCAATGCCGATCAAGGATCGTTCATCCAATGCAGATGAGAAAGTTTCAACTCTTGAATACAGCTTTTTTTCCCGCATACTAATCTTTCTGATCTCAGCCCCGGGACCCTGGCAGCTCCTTCACCTGCATATCATTATCACCCAGTTCGTGTAGTGTATATGTCTCTTGCTGTCCAACATGCGTGCTATTGGAAGCCGGGAAAAATCGGTCTGTACTGCGAGTAAGATCTGTTTTCTTACCGGGAATGCCATGCACCATTCCAGTATGTACCTGCCTAGTCCTCGGAGCTTTGGTCTTGAATACAAGGGCCGCTATGGCTGCCAGTAGAGCACATCCCAGCGGAAGTCCAACTCCGAGGCCAACTGTCAGTTGCCTTTTGTCACATTGCGATATCTCGATTGCTTCTAGGGCTGCAGTCCCCGTAGTTACCGAAGCGGTCTGAGTGTTGGAGGCGGAAGAGATGCCCGAGCTTGTAGTTGGCAGTGCCGTGGAGCCTCCAGGCCGACTGAGAGTGCTCCATGTAGGTATTGTCGTGAGTACATTGGTAGAGTTTGTGCAGCAAGTGTAGTCGTCTCCGCAACAGAGAGGGTTGGGTTGGTGCCCTGAACATGACTGGATGTAGATATAGCCATCATGTGCTGCTTAAAGTCAGAATACTGTTTCTAGTAATATTGCACCATCCGGCCTGGAAACGAAGATACATACAAGCTCCGGAGACGGGGCAGTGTAGATTGCACGGTGATGCCCAATTCTGAGCTGTGCATCCTTGAATAGTGAGGCCGTTGTTTCCTCCTGCATCTATACACAGACCATTTGACAAACAGAAGTCAACAGTACTGCAGCATGTGCTAACCTCCGAGCCTGGGTCACAAGGGACAAGGTTCGTGTTGACGGTCCCGTTCGGCAGAAAGCACACTGCCATGACATATGGGATATATGTTGCTATCATCCATACCTCCTTCCGTAGTACAAGACATCTTGGAACCAGTTTGGCCATAGTCTGCTGCCCCGATGGTAGAGATATTCACGGAACGGCTTCAAGTGTTGCAGATCACTTGAAACAAATGACTACGTCCGTGTATGACTACGAAATTATGGCTGAAATATAAGAGAAGAACATTACTATTCAAGCAAGATTAAGAGATAGAAACCACAGAGCTTCAACAGAGATCCTGAAGCCATGAAAAAGGCTCCAGGGTAGCAAGGTAGCTTCAAGATGCCAGGCCGGTTCTTCTGCAGGCTCTTCACAAAATACCCAAATCTGGCAATGTACATCGTCTCTTCGTTGGTGTCATTAGACGTAAACGCTGTGATAAGCGCTTCACGACAATGACCAGTCAGATGCACCGCGCTGTAGTCACTTACATTCGGTGTCTTTTCCTGGTCGCTGGTAAGAGGGCTATCGACATGGTATTGGCAGCTAGTTAGTTGACTTCGGTTCCGACGGCCTTTTTTATGGTCTTTTAACCGCCCTGACCCGACAGGTCAAACAAAGCTCAGACAGAAGATCCGACCAAGTGCGCCCTTGGCGTGTTGATGTTGGTGATTTACATTATACGGGCGGCGCGTAACGAGTGGACAGGGTTTCTCGTCCAATAGGCAACTCCTACAGCTTGCCAGTTTGTATAGCACACCGCTGAGGACAAACACGACCTGAATAGAAGAACAAAGATAACGGCAGAAACCAAGCCCGAAAATTATCTGTGGCTTGACGTGTTGTTGAAGATCGACAATTTAGGCGAAGTTAACTGGCTCGGTAATTGCGGAAGAGTTGTAAGGGCTCTGGGATTCAACAGTTTGCCATGTTACAGTAACAAGCTTCGTCAGAGAAAGCGACTCCGTGAGGTAGCTATCAGATCTAAGAAAGACATCGCCGGCGTCTAGACCTCGACTGGGGCCCCACGGCAGCCGGAGAGTGTGTGCGGACATGAGCCTCACGTGCAGGCACATGGTCACATTGAAGGAAGCTATCGTGAAGATCGCTATTTGACCCGTGCATGGTCAGATTACCTGGTTTCAGACCAACAATTATCATGATCCCGATGGAGAATGGCACTTGCAAACTTGGTTGATCAGAGCGGGCACGCTATTGAACGGTTGCCCCCACACAGAAGAAAGCGTGGGTGGTGGGGAGGTGCAGGCGTTGGACGAGGTTTGTGGTGCTCACCGCATACGCAGTGCTCGCGATTATACTGCAAGGAGATATTGTCGATCACTTGAGCCATGTCGCTTTTTGCTAATAAGGCTGCCATTACGTTCGGCTAGCCCGACACATTCGCAGCGCATATGATCAATATTGACGAGACAGATGGCTGGCTGGGGCCGAACTGGATGGGCTGAAAGAACAATCATCCGCATTTTCCGTGGCTTCCGCCAGAGCGGAGCATGTGGACAATGCGACCAAGCTCTCATCAGCATCCCAAGCAAACATAGTCTGGCACTCTTGTGCCGCTCGTTTCGGATTCCTATTGCTGGCCAAAGTCGAGAAGTGACTATCAAAAATAGAACGAGAGAAAAACTCAAGATAAAAGAGGACATTCGGGGTACGCCGGCGTATTCTTAGAACACCGCTAATGAATTGATGTATTTCGTCAATGACCTTGGCTACTCAAGCCACTCGGCAACTTCACTTGCAATAAAGCGTACCAGTATTACCTAGTGCTGGAACTTACACATGAAAGAGGTCCACAGATGCCTTATCATGGGCACACCCGGCTGAAGGATACCAGCATCGGAAGTAAATAGCGAGTTGTTGAAATGACACATTCAGACTACTCAATTAGGTGCAGGCACTACCTTCCATTAGCTGGAGGACAAGCCGTGGGCCACGTCCATCTTTAGATCTGGTGATGGGTTTGACGGGCGACGGGGCCCTCGCAAAGTGGGCAAGCATCCTCCTTGGATGGGGGTTGACGATGTCTTGCCGGGACCCAGGTGGTCTGTTCACCAAATGCTTGTGGAGCAGGACGCCTGACCTGAAACTTAGCGCATCTGCAAGACAAGAAAGCTGCAATTTGGCAGGACAGCAGACAGGGGGAGCCAAGTTGCAATCAGCCCAATGCAGAGGGCGCCGACCAAGCAGGAATAGTTCTAGAAAACTAATAGAATGGCCCCAGCTTTTCCAAGATTGCGACAGCTCCCCAACGTCACAATCTCTCTGAACACGAGGCATGCCGCCCAGCATCTTGCTCACGGTAATTCAAACTCTAATGAATGACGATGCAGGAATCTGGGAAGCATCGGCCAAACCTAAGATGAGGCCGAGAGGGAAGCTGCGTTGGTGAAATGAAAGGAGCAGCGCGGAGGCTGCTTCCCTTCCCTTCCCTTCCCTTTCTTCACCTTCCATTACGACAGACTGAGGCAGGTATGCCGCAGCAGCCTCTAGACTAGGAAGCAGCGTGGACTCGTCCTTCCCCGAATTATGCACGTCTTACCATAATTATCCATATGGATGTTACCTAATGTAACAAGTGCGGCTGCCTTTTCTAAATGAGACACCGCGAGGGAGCAGGTGCGACACACTTGCAAGGCGTCGGGTTGACTAATAATGCAACATAAGGCATCTCTCTGAGGTAAGGTGAGAGCGTCGAGAGCCGACAAACTGATGACGACGTTGATGGGGAAGAAAGAGCATGGCATGAACGGAGGG